GCAGGGTTTAAGAACATTTGTTGTTCGACCTGCTAGTCAAATGCGTTTTGTTAAGATATACTTTTTCACTCATTTGGTATTTTCGAAAATATTGTTTGTGCTGTATTTAGACCCCTCTACCAAGAAATTTGTTTTGCATGCACACGTATAAAAATTGCGGTTTTTATCCAACGCAATCATAGGTTTGAACGTTGTTTTCAATTTAGACTTGTTTATATTTTTTCGTTTGTGCTTGTATTATATTTGCCTTCGGGTTTATATGATCCGTTCATCCTATTTTGACTCCTCAAAATTCAAGAGTCTATCCTAAATTGAGGTAAATTGTATGGCTTTCCAAATACCGTTTCGATTCCTAACATCACTGAAGAGACATTAATTGTCGAAATCCGGATATGGTGTACAAAAACCTTTGCACCTTTTGTTTGCGGTATATCATCTTTTCCGCAAGTTTATTGTTTTTTGTTTAGTGTTCAATTTATAATTAAGATCCATTTATTACATCGGTGATCCGTTCATTTGGCAATCGCAAATGGCAGTCAGCAGGGTTTAAGAACATGTGTTGTTCGACCTGTTAGTCGACTGCGTTTTGTTAAAATATGCTTTTTCACTTTTTTGGTCTTTTGGAAAATGTTGTTTGTGCTGTATTTAGACCCCTCTAACAAGAAATTTGTTTTGCATGCACACGTATAAAAATTGCGGTTTTTATCCAACGCAATCATAGGTTTGAACGTTGTTTTCAATTTAGATTTGTTTATATTTTTTCGTTTGTGCTTGTATTATATTTGCCTTCGGGTTTATATGATCCGTTCATCCTATTTTGACTCCTCAAAATTCAAGAGTCTATCCTAAATTGAGGTAAATTGTATGGCTTTCCAAATACCGTTTCGATTCCTAACATCACTGAAGAGACATTAATTGTCGAAATCCGGATATGGTGTACAAAAACCTTTGCACCTTTTGTTTGCGGTATATCATCTTTTTCGCAAGTTTATTGTTTTTTGTTTAGTGTTCAATTTATAATTAAGATCCATTTATTCATCGGTGATCCGTTCATTTGGCAATCGCAAATGGCAGTCAGCAGGGTTTAAGAACATTTGTTGTTCGACCTGTTAGTCGACTGCGTTTTGTTAAAATATGCTTTTTCACTTTTTTGGTCTTTTGGAAAATGTTGTTTGTGCTGTATTTAGACCCCTCTAACAAGAAATTTGTTTTGCATGCACACGTATAAAAATTGCGATTTTATATCCAACGCAATCATAGGTTTCAACGTTGTTTTCAATTTAGACTTGTTTATATTTTTTCGTTTGTGCTTGTATTATATTTGCCTTCGGGTTTATATGATCCGTTCATCCTATTTTGACTCCTCAAAATACAAGAGTCTATCCTAAATTGAGGTAAATTGTATGGCTTTCCAAATACCGTTTCGATTCCTAACATTACTGAAGAGACATTAATTGTCGAAATCCGGATATGGTGTACAAAAACCTTTGCACCTTTTGTTTGCGGTATATCATCTTTTCCGCAAGTTTATTGTTTTCTTTTTAGTGTTAAATTTATAATTAAGATCCATTTATTACATCGGTGATCCGTTTATTTGGCAATCGCCAATGGCAGTCAGCAGGGTTTAAAAACATGTGTTGTTCGACCTGTTAGACGAATGCGTTTTGTTAAAATATACTTTTTCACTTTTTTGGTCTTTTGGAAAATGTTGTTTGTGCTGTATTTAGACCCCTCTAACAAGAAATTTGTTTTGCATGCACACGTATAAAAAATGCGGTTTTTATCCAACGCAATCATAGGTTTGAACGTTGTTTTCAATTTAGACTTGTTTATATATATATACATGTATATTTTAAGCATCGTGATAAAAAGGAAAATTCAAACAGATGGGTAACGGAATAAAAATACATCTTACATAATTTAAGTTATTGCCTGTCACTGATGGGATTTCATATTAACGCAACAGAATCAATGCCCCTCCAAGGAAACCAAGCCAAGACCAAGGTATAGATCTACCAAGAAGACAATTGAAGGAATTGGAATCATTATTATGAGATTTAAGGGATGAATCAGTCTAGGTTTACAGAATGTACCAATATTTTAAATGATTCACCAACCACGGAACTGCTCTTATTTTTTACAAGGTGCTGGCGTATAATGCTATATACAGGTAACACAGAAGGGGGCATGCAATATTCTAAGGGTCACTGTCAGTTTCACAGTAGAGTTGGATGTTATAGAACAATAATCGATAGGGACAAACTGCGAACTGTAAATTTGAAACAAACAAACTCATATTTACATGTGCTTCATTAGCTCCTTCTATCCTTGTTTCAAGAGTTTTGAAAATTGTATGAAAGTAATATTTCTGAACCTTAATAAAGTTATGTGCTACATATCAGGTTAACATGAGTCCACAATAACTTTTCTTGGAGCCAATGTTCCCCTGTATTATTATGCTATACATATATACCCACGCCCACCCCAATAAAAAAGAACAACAAACTTGAATGTCTAAAAGCAGATAACAAAACATGATCAGGATAGTAAAATTCAATAGCCTAACAATAAAAAAAAACTTTGTTATCATATATATCAGATGCCTTGGTTTGTTGTTGGTTTTTTTTAATGAAATGGGCCAAAAATAATTTGTATTGAAAAATTGGCACGTGTATCCACTTTGATTACTTGCAGATTTTTCAAAGCAAAGAGTTTTCCATAATAAGTGTGTAATGATCGATCAATTTTAAAGAAGAGAGCTATTCTGACAAGTAAGTATTTTGTTTTACATACTTGTTTAAAACCTGTAATTGTTTTAGGTAAATCATGCCATATGTTTTGGGTTTCTTGACAGATTCTAAATGTATGATCTGATCCTAACGATATTTTGATGATTTCTTCACCATAAATATATATAACTTTCCATACAAAACAATATAACATGATTCCACCAGAGAATCCTGAATCTGGCAAGAATCTACTTTTTATTGTTGACTTTGATTACTGTAGGATTTTACTAAAAAGATTTCTGCTATAAGTAGACAGTTTTTCAAGAAGCAGAAAAACTACGCCGGTACTTACATAATAGACTCCTTATCATGATTCAGTTAACTTAATATGAAAAGAAACAACACAGGAAACACCATCCCATCCAACAGAATCAAATAAAACATAATAAAAGCATGTGCATGGGTAAAATACAGGCTTCAACAGCTAGCTGCTTATACAATGTGTCGAGCTCTTAATTGAAAGTAATGAATAAAGAACTAGGGCTGATATACCCGAAATTCTCAGACTAATGAAAAATATTCCGATATGGCATACAACTACTGAAGAGGTTCTGAACTTGGGACATGGGAATAGTTTAGCAAGCAAAAGTAATTGACAATTACAACAATCTGTAGAGTCATTGTCATTGCAAAGGATATGATGAAATATAAATATTCAAATTAGAATTAATATCATTAACTTTTTACACCGATGATTAAAGTATGATAACATTTTTTTTATAAATTAAATTAAATAAATTTTCATTACTTTTTTCAGAGACGAGAGATCTCAGCCAAGATCTAGACGTTGATTTGAGAACGTAAGGAGACTTCTATTAGAAGCGCATATAATCTGCCATTGATTTGGAATCTTGCTCTATAATTACGTCAGATTGGACATCGATTTGAGGGACCGACATGGATCTGAGTCCTATATATTGCAATTATGAGAGCACAATTTGAATTGTTTAAAAGGTCAGTTGAGTCTCTACGTTGGTATTTTCCATATTTTCTTTCATATATGTTTCTTGTGGCGTGCTTCTTCATTTAATTTCTTTTCTGATTTATAAGAATCCACTCCTCTCTTGGAAGTGATCATGTTTTGATTTAAATTGAATGCTAAAAATGATCATTGACCGGGTAGGTTTGGTGGAAAATTAATAGTAGCATTGGATTGCTATAATCTCTATGTTATTCAATTTTAGAAGTGTTTTATTGTTTAAAATATCCAGCAGCTGTGTCTAGTTGAATTTGCAGATTGAATTGAATTTTCTGAAATTTTCATGGTGTTGGTAGATATTTTTTTTTACAGATTTCAATAATCTGAACAGAACGTAGTTTTTGTGGCAGTCAAGTGTTGCTCTTGTTCATTATTGATTTCTCAGCATTTAACAAGATTTTTGCCTTCCACAGCCAAATGCAAAACCTATTTATTCACCAACATTCATAATTCATATAAATTCACCAAATTACAGAGTAAACATGTACTGATCCAAATGTTTTTGTATGATGCATAATCCCCTGATGTGACTCAATCTAAACTTTACTGTGTAGTGCTTTTCGGACTGTCTTTTTATTGTTTTTCTTTTAAGTCACAGTGTTGCATGTTCTTATTCAATTTATTGGTTTTGATAATTCCCCCATTTCCCTCTTTGTATCCTTTTTAACTCTTTCTTCATTAACTTGGAAATTTGATTGTACATCTTAGCATAGATGTCAGTTTCTAACTTATTGAAAACCCATAACTTGAAAGATGTAAATCTATTGATTTTTAAACAATACATTTGGGGGGAAGGGGTTGTGCTATTTACTTGGTTTATTTTCTTTATTTTAAATTTCATTGCATTAAGTATTCATTATGCTAAATATCTTCCTTAATTCATACACAGACTATAGGATGTGATGTGTTTTAAAATACGCCAAAACTATTCTAAACCATGCAATGTTTCAAGACATGGATGTGACAAAAATTTGTCTTGAGACGTATCTCAAGATGTCTTAAGACGTGTCTTTAAGACACGATGTCTATAAGACGCGTCTTTACGTCCAACTCAAAACTTGTCTTGGCATTTTGTCTCAAGATGTCTCAAGATGTCTTAAGACAAGGAGGTCCATTTGCTATGTGCGACAATTGTCATAAAAAACCGTGAGTAATATCATTCATAAATGTTGTACATTTTTAGCGTTGCTATAACAAAGATGGCAAGTCATGCAGAGTAAGTTTTTGTCTTTTTGTATGTTTTTATTTCGACAACAGACATATCAAACAACTTGTTCGATATATTTTACAGAAGTATTATATATTTACCTTTCGCAATGACTACAAACATGACCGATATTTTGCATTGCTAATTCTAAAGTTTATCTTCAGGGACATATATATTAATTTCATCTCATTTATTCAAAGTATGTCAGACAAGTTTTGTTAGTCTCCAGATAAGAATATTGTATCTTAGATCATATGCGATTAAGTGTCTTTGATTTCAGTTCCGTTTCTGATCGTTTCGTCCAACAACATATTCGGATATAGGCATTTCTGAACTGCAAATTCATCAATCCATATATGAGAGGGTTGATAGCGCTTCCTATGAATAAAGATAACTGACAAAACATGTGAAACTGCTTCGATAAAACTGTATTCCAGTCCACAATGCCGGTGATTGTACATGGAAAATATGAAAGAGCAAACACTATAAAAATCATCAACATCATTCTGGTCATGCGCATTTCTCTTCGCTGGTTATGAATATCAAGCGACGAAAGTTGTCGACTGTTTTGTGTTAAACGATGATGACTTCTTAAAGTGGTATGATATATTCTCACATAGTAATAGACGATAAGTCCGCATGGAATCACCGCTCTGATAATCATTAGAAATATTTTAAAAAGTTGATTTTTGTGATCCAGTAATAAATTACAGGAGACCATCATGGCAACATAACCGAAATTCCCCCAAAGGCCTGTTAGCGCCGGAATTAAACAAATGACTGGTACAAACCAAGCAACTACTAACATGAAAGTGATGTTCCGGTTTGTATACAATGTCATATAGCCACCTGGGTCCAGTACTAGTTTATATCGATTGTATGCTATCATAGTTATCGTTATAATCGTCGTCCCTACGAATAAAAACAAATGTTAGCACAAAAATTGCGATTTTATACTTTTTTCATTTGTATCTCAATTGTCTGTAATTATTACAAATAGTCTAAATCCTAAATCCATTTAATAATGCAGTATCTACTTTAAACAAAGTTGTTTTATTACAGCTTACTCTTAAGTGCGAATCTACGTCATCTAGCACTAAAAAACTAACCAATCAGTCATGTCATTAATGTATTTTTCACTAATTATGATATATGAAACCATTACATTAGATTCTTCCATGATAAATTTTTGCAGAAATGTCTCTTAAGTAAAAATTAACGCCATTGATATAGATTCTGTAGAGGAGGAAATATTCCAATAAGAAAAAAACTTACGATTTTATCAATATATATTTAACCAAAAAAACCTTTGACATCTATACATCTCTTACATAAGGAAAAAAAAACACTTCAGGAAATCCTGTTTTCATAGTCTGATATAACTTACATGTTACATCATTAAATTCTAAATATATTGTTATGTTTATCAAAGAAGTTCAAAAATACATGAAAGATATACATTTGTACGCCAGACTTGCATTTCATCAGCGGCACTTGAATCAGCCAAATCAAAACAAAGTGATGACATAAGCTATATAGAAATCGACATTTATATTTTTAAGAAAATAGACGATTATTTTTTTTATCTTTTTATATAAAGGTAATGAATAGTACTTCAGGAATCTCATATAAACTTTAACCTGGTAGAAATAACTGTTCGTGTACATATATCTAAGAAAAAACATATAGCAAATCCTTACCTCTATTATAGCTGTGTGAGAGTAAATACTTCAGTGAGCTATTTTCATTTTAGTTAATTGCAGTAGTTTGAGAGTATTTTTCCTTTTCTTGTCTGTTTTCATAACTTTATTATTTGTCTCATGTTGTTGTTTTTTGTTTTGCTCTTGTTTTCTTTTGTTTTATTTTGTTTTCGTTTTTCCTTTCTTTCTTTTTTTATTTGTTGATTATTTTGTTGTAATTTTTTGCTTTGTTTTGTTTATTTTTTTGTTGTTTTGGTTTGTTTTGGGTTTTGGTTTGTTGTTTTTTTGTGGGGGGATTTTAGTTTTAGGCAACTCACCTGATAATGTGTATCCTAGAAATCCTATAAATTTGCATAAATACGTCGCTGTAAACCATCCGTCAGCAATATATGTATATATATTAAAGGGTAATACGCATACAACTATGAGCAAATCACACACAGACAGGTTCAACACAAAGATATTTGATACTGTTTGCAGTTTCTTTACTTTCCTAACTGCTAACAAAACCATAACATTTCCTGAAATGTAAGCATTTAAGATCTTGATATTTTGAAAGGACAAACAACGTTTACCTGATGAAGCGTGAAAAGAAGACCTGTAACTGACAACAAATTAAGTAGTTCAATTGTGAATACAGACAATTCATCTACTATCCACCTCCTTTTGCATACCCATATAGTATAGAAATAGCTGGTGCATACTTTTAAATTAAATGTAATACCAGAATGGCGCTTAGTCTGATTCTTCTCTATTTTGTCCTTTTTGACAGGAACAATAGTTATCATGCGTTAAAAAATTGAATCTACTATAATATGACCATTTATTTTGCTTTTAAATTTAAAGTATAATAATTTGTCAAACACGTTAAATTTAGATCCAAATTTATGCGATATTATCTTGCATGTTATTACACCATATCATATTTTAAGATGAAAGAAAACAATAAAGTTTACTATGTCAAATGCTGACGGAGACATTGTTAGGTTATTTAATACACTGAAGAAATCATTTGCAATGTTGATAGTGTCAAAGTCATTGAAAACGTCATCACTAAATGAATTATTCCTTTGCTTTGGGTTTTGTAAGTATAGGGATTTTGTGTCATGGATTTATTCATAATATCCTATTTATTCGTCTTTTAATAAAAAAAAAACTTCAAATTCTTCTGCCCACAATGTCACTGTTTTTCTGAAACCATATGTCTGAATTAATGCTGACACAGCATTTGTGCATATATGCAAATCTTGCCGAGAGCTTTGAAGAAACAAATAAAGAGGTAGTTGTCAGGATAATGCAGATGTTTTCCATTCGTTCCGTTGATTGATATAAAGAAACTCATCATAAAAACCAGGATTAAAATTTTGTAAGCCAGACGTGCGTTTTGTCTACAAAAGACCCATAAGTGAAACTCGAATCAAATATGATAAAAAGGCCAAATAAAATTATAAGTGAGCATTTGATTTTGTTGGGTTTTATGAACTTCCGCTACCTTAGGGTTTTTTTGGGAGTTTTTTTTTTTAATACTTTTTTGTTGAACATCTGGCAATTAAGTCTGTTAAAAAAATCAACTGATGACGGACCGGCCTACTTATCCAAATCCCAGACCAACTTGATACATAAATAGAAATACGACAACCTTCCGTTTTGGTTCAATAAAAATGTTCCGCCTAACACGTATCATCAGAATCGTTGTCACCGCAACATTAAAAAATAATTAGCTATCGAAAACCGACGAAGAATGGATATTTAAAAATGGGACAAAAATGATTTTATTTATAATTGTTTAGTCAAACAGAATAGAGTATGTTAAAAATCTAAATAATTTATCTGGGAAATTGTGACACGGTAAGATCATATGAAATCTTATTCAAGGAAGCGCAAGTTTATTTTAGGAAAGTGAGGCTGGTCATATTCAGGTATAGAACTCGGTCATTTCAAAAGATATAGGACCATTGAAGTACCATATTAAAGGCGAGATAAACAAAAACATTTTCAAAAAGAGTTATCATAACTATTATTACCCCTTGTTTCTATATTACCCAAATATAAATACATCATTTTTTGTCTAAATTAAGCGTTGCCTAAAAAGATACTAAACGTATGTTTAACTTATCATAAAGAGTATGTAAAATGCTACATAATAACATTAACGGTAAGTCTGGTGCACCAGATGCGCATTTTGACGATCAATATCTCTTCAGGGATGATCGAGGACAAAATATTCCAAAATCCAACAGCTAATACAAACGTTGTAGTACTGATAAAACCCAAACAGAAAAATTTAAAGCCAATCCCTGATAATGAAGAAGGCTCTTAATTTAGAATAATTTTCAAATAATATAATCGTGTCTTCGATTTCTTGTATTAAGTCCAGTTAAAAATATAAATCAATTTTGAATATTTTACTATATGCAGAGTCATTGGATCAAGAAAAAAAAGGTCCAGCCATTATTCCGTAATAGGACAAAATGCCGGATTTAGAAATGTAAGGGATTTTTTTTAGTTAGTATCCTGTGCTTCTTTTGTAAAACAAAATTTCTTGGTTGCAGCACAGGTGAAAATGTTGATTTCTAAAACAAGAAGTTACATAAGTTTTCTAAAGAAATATTGCAAAGTTCATATACCTGCACAACCAACTGCGATGAACAGTGTAACAAGACCTACTGCAAGGTATACCCATTGATCTCCACGATTCAACAATATCTTAACTGTTTGTACGCCAACCTTACTTCTATCTGACTCATTGGAAAATGTTTCATTCATCTTATGTAATGTTTATCTGTTATCAATTAAAAAAATAGATACATATAGTATTGTTAGTTTAAGCAATATATTCAGATAAATCAACACATAATGATATATTATACACTTGAAATAAAAATCTAGGATTCAGAAACAAGCAAAATTGCTTTTAAAAATCGGTGTATATTGGACAAAATAACAGGAAGTGCGTATTTGTTTATATATCACCACAACGACAGTTTCGGGAGTCTACTAAATTATGATGGAATAGGTGAGAATTCAATGAATTTAATTCATTCTTAAGCGAGCATGAAGAATTTGACCAAGACGATAACCTACGTAGTAATACATTGGGATCTTACTATTTTGGTGCGAATTTTTTTTTTTTTAAATGGTAGAGATTCACATTTTCTTGTGATCAAGTTAAGTGTCTTCCAATGTGTTGTTGTTGGTGGGAGAAAATATTCAGAATTCAGAATATAAACAGGTCCGTGTGTTGAGTTGTATAATTCTGTTGTCTTGTATAATGGTCATGTCTACTTCACACAGAATCAGGCATTAAGTCTCTTAAATATTCTGGAGTTATATCATTAAAAATTTTGTGAAAAATAATTAATATTTTGTTGCATCGTCTATCAGATAATTTTTCCCACCGAGTTTCCGCATATAAATTATTGATACTGGTAAGTTTAGTACCCCTTGAGACGATACGCCAGCATCAAGCTGGATATTTTCAAGTGTAGTAATAAAATTGTGAAGTATTGGTTGTAATATGAAAAACATCATGACTCATTAAATTCTAACTCAGTTGAATATTATATATTTAAGTAAGCTATTTATGTTGCATTTGATATATGCCACAACCTGCTGGAGTACTTGAGGCCACCATTGTTTTTGGTAGGTTTCGGGCTGCTGAAACTTCAGTTCTATATGTAGTGTTTTTCTGAACTGTTGTTGTCTCTTCGTCTTTTCCTCTTCGCTAAAGTTTTTCTGTTTTTCTTCTCTTATGTATTTTTATTATTCCATTGTAACTCGATCGTCCCTTTGTAACAAGCAACGAATATATTTATTATCATATAGCCGGAGGTATACAGTATTAAGGTTGAACTGTGATACTAGTTGAAATTGTTCGTTGTCCATGATATATGAAAAAGTTGATGTTAGACCAATCTGATATGGATAGATACGTGCGACATCACTTGAAAATGTTTATTTACTCTGCTGTTGTTTTGGTTTAAACCATTAATCTTTTGTTTTAATTACATGTCTAGAACTAGACATTTAACTTTATTTTACCGCTGGAATAACAGTTCAGTTTAAAGGGATAAACATCAGGTTTTTTTCAAGATATATAACGTAACATTTACCGGCCAATCCATCAGAAAACTATTGTACCGTCCCTAGGCCTCCAGTTTGAAGTGAAACGTGTAAAATGTCTTGAATGTACATTGATGTTATGACTCGTTTATCCAATTGTCTTGAGGATGACTTGGTATTTAATCAAATGACAAGAAATAGTTGTTATTTTAAGTTATGACGCGTATAGACTGTCATATGATATGCTATCTAAATAAAGAAAAAATCACTTTTATGACGAGGAGGATTGATTGTCAGTTTATTCAATGCACTTTTCCTAAACATTTTTATTGATGTTTCATTAACTACGTGTATGTTCTTGTTAACTTTCAATCGCATGTTGTCTACGTGTGTTTATATTTTTTAAAGTTTGAAACAGCGTTATTCTCTGGCATGATTTTTTCGGTTGATACTAATGATTTTAACAACATGTGCGATAATTTAACTGTTCGGGAATATATATATATATTTTAATAAAAAAAAAAAAGGGGCATTGATCCATAGAATAAGGTTAGATATGTGAAATATTCGAAGACATCAAAATTGAAAAATAAGATCAATTTTTGAAAAAAAAAAAGAAATAAAAATAAAAATCTCCAGATTTTAAAGTACATAAAACAAATACTTAAAAGATTAGATAATCCATACATTCAATTTAACATATCAAAATCTCATAAAAGATATTAAACCTTTGGAAAATTGGAAGAAATATTTTGTTTTAGAGCACTTGAAAATCTACATTATTTTGTATTTTCAAGATGTTTCGTACACAATATAAGTTCAGATACTTTTAATTGATTATCTTATTAATTGTCAGAATGGAACACAATATAAAAGTGAATTCATTCATGACACAAAAATGAACAACATCCTTAAACACAATTCACAATGCCCAGAGCATCTTAAAGTCACAGTGAGGTTTGAAACGAAGAATTCACTAGAATAAATAAGTCAGATTATTTCGTGTCGCACATTTTTTGTAAAGGATCAATTTGTCAATGTTTTTCAAACTGAACTGTATTGTTCAAATGGATAATTATGTTCCAATTCTAATAAACACTACATCCCTTTATATAAATTTCTTGAAAGTGACATCATCCAATAAGGCTTATAACCGAATTTGTATTAATATCAGCAACACGACGGGTGTCACATGTGGGCAGGATCTGCTTGCCTTTTCCAGAACATCTTCGAACAACCCCGGTTTTTGGTGGGGCTATTGTTGCTCATCTTTGCTTTTTCAACTTTCCAACTGTCAACGTCCCATTTCTGAGCAGCAACATACCCTCTGCTACATCGTATGGTGTTTGCATATCTCAGTTAAAATGCTACAACCATGCATGTTCACGCCATACGGACTTCATTAACATGGATGTGCTTCTTACACAAAAAACTGATGCAACAGAATTATGAGGAAGAACATTGAAATCGACACTAAAAAAGTGTTACTGTCACAATCACGAATTGGTTGACCGATATGATGTTTTGGCGTCTCAACTCACTAGCAACATGGCAACATGTTCACGCGGTCTTAGATCTTTACATATTAGTATCGTCGTCTGATCTGTAACTTTACTGAATGTGTCCTATTCCCCGAGTTTGAATTTGCATGGCGGGTTGTTCATGCATAGCAGGAGAGGCTTATTTTCGGCACGACCGGTCTCGCTCCACTTAGAGGTTATGCGATGCCCTCATTTTCTGAGGTATTACCTTGATTGTTATCTTCCTAATCGATTTACGTGATTTGAACATCAGTAAACTACAATGTACTGTCGACTGGGTTTGTCTTTTAGACGTTTTTCGTTTTTCACATGGCGTTGACAGTTTGTCTTCTATTTATGAATTTGAATATGCCTTTGGTATCTTCCGCCTCTCTTTTATTGCTTCTTGTAGCTATATAATGTGATCTCCTAAGTAAAGGTTTATACCCTTATTTTCACGATATAAAATTGTACCGAACGAATAAAATCGTAACATTATATATATACAGTTTAAAAATTAAAAAAGACCCATTCTGTACGGTACGATTGTGTTTTGTATTTGTTTTCTTGGCTCGATAGTAACACTAAAATGTCAAGCACAAGGGCGTTTAAGGTCAACTTCAACGAACGAATATGAATAAAAAATACGAAATTATAAACTCAATCCATAATGCTGCATGAATAAACGACATAACAAAAGTGCTTAAGAAAAAATAAAATGATGAACTATCAAATACTTATAAATTACATAGTGTGTTTCTGACTTCTGTATTTTCAACAAATTTTCTTGGGTAACTTTAAACTCTTGCATTCAGTTATCAACGTAATAAACATTATCTTTATACAAATCTTGATTTGAACGATAATGTTGTAGACGAATGTAAAGCAGTGGAAATGTTTGATGAATTGTAGATAGAATATAACAACATTATATCTAGAGTAAAACGCTAGTTACGTCTGCTTCTGATTGATGATTGATTGTTAGTTGCTTAACGTCCAGTCAGTGAGTGGCAAATATTTCATGCATGTTCAGGACGAGCTTCTGATTGAATATTTGTTTTTTTTTTCCTGACAGAAGAAGTTATAATATTTAAATTAAACGTCAATGCATGAGAAGGCAACACAACGACATGTCAGACTCAACCAAATTATACAAATAAATGTAATCATTGTGTACAGGCAATCAAACATCGTTCATGAAGACAAAGCAATATATAGCTACTAATGAAGTACCCAATTTCTTGACTACATTCTGTTTCTCTGTTTACCCAAGAATATCTTACGTCATTTGAACGATGGTAGATAGTTGTGTCTTGTTTAAGATTTAATTTATATTTCCAAAATTTTCGTTACTTGGTATGAAAATGTAATATTTTTTGATACTTAGTATTTTAATACAATATTTTGCTTACTTAGTATTACAATGTCATGTTTTTGATACTTAATTAGTATTACAAAGTAATATTTTCGATACTTAGTATTACAATGAAATATTTTGCTAACTTAGTATTACAATGTCATGTTTTTCTTACTTAGTATTACAGTGTAATTTTTATTTGGTTACCATGATTAGTTAGGGTTCTTTTGAAATACAATACAATATTTTGGTTACTTATTATTTCAATATAATATTTTGGTTACTAAATAGTACAATTGACAATAACGGTACCAATGTTACTGCACCATAATGATATATGTTGGATACTGAAATAGTTGTATGAATTGTATAAAACATTGATGAACCGCTAACACAGAAAACACATAAAAGATATAGTATATTATATCAAAATAAGCAAATAACATATCAGGAAAGCAACTTAATTAAATCTTCAAACATCTTTAACTTATTTTAATTAGAACACCTACCTTATGTTCGATTGATATATATATATATTATTAAGAGATCCAGGAATATAATCAGCGATGACACAAGCTTCTTACTACTGAAGCTAAGAACACTACATTTATTGATAGAAATGTAATTTAAAAATATTGCAGTTCAGTAAAGATTGAAATGTTGATTTTTGTGAATATATATCTCTTCTTCCATTAACATGTGTAGAAATGTTTATTTCCTTGGAGAGAAAGAGAACAATATAAAACTGTATCTGTAATTGAAATGTATAATTTATAATGACGTCACGTACAACTTTATAATGTATCGGTATCCATTAACGTTGTTCATGATACTTAGAAGGTTAAAATTTTGACACTGTTGATGTACGACTTTTCAACAGTTTAAATAAGGATTTTCCGAAAACCTATTAGTCTAATGGCTATAAACTCTGTTAAAAATTAAAAATAAAAGATAAAAGGTACGAACAGGTATCAATATAAATGTGTGAGACTTTTCAGGAAAACGAATATCGCATGTCGTCACCAAATAATATGAAAAGAAAGGACTTACTTCCATGTTTCAAACAAAACAAATGTTCATGAATTAAAATAACAGGTGTTTTACTTTATGTCTTGTAGAAAAAATTCAAAGATACCAGGCTTATCATTTTGCACTACAAAAGACTCAGCAGTGACGCTCGAATTAAAAACGTAAAAGGCCTAATCAAGTACGAAGTTGGTGAGCATCGAGGACCCAACATGAGAAAACCCTTTGCATCATAAAAATTAGGAAATAAGAAGAAGTGGTATCATTGTTTTTTTGTTTTTTAATATGTAAAGCCTATTTCAAGGATTTTCGTATGAATCTATCAATAGAGGAATGTTGCTACACAGAAATGTAATGTTTACGATGGGAAATATTAATATCGTCTCTTTTTTTCGTACAGTGTAGTTCTCAACCTAATTTCTTTCTTTCTTTTTTTGCCATGGCGTTGTCAGTTTATTTTCGAATGTCCCTTTGGTATCTTTCGCCTCTCTTCTAGATGTAATTAAGTCAAGCTATGAAGCAGACTGAAATGTCTGACCTGACAAAATGTAACATTATGCTATTAGAGAAAACAATTTTTGGGACAGGGGATTGTGAAGACTGTTAGTGTTTGACATTACAAAGGCAATTGATTATGAAAAAAGTACAAAATTCTTCAACAAAGATCAAAAGCTAGCAAAAGCAAAACATGTCTACGAAAAATACCGAATTCCAAGGCATGTTTAAGAACGGGGAATTCCATAAAAATCCAACGAACCCAAACGCTCAAATGAATCAACCATTTGAACAACTGGATACCAACTGTCATGTTTTTGACTTGGAAAAGACATTTTCCGTACAAAATAGTGTGTTCAGCCTTGTTTTATAGTTAGCTAAACCTCCCACTTGCATGACATATGTTTACTACAAACGCCCTTTAAAGCAAATTTGTGAGTTGCTCCGGAAGTTGAAGAAGTACCTTCTCCAAGAGTAGCATCCGCCTTGCTCCTCATTATAAAACCATCTATGATCAGTCGATGATGTCACAAAAGTTGAACACATTATCGGTTATCTGTAATGCAGATGTTCCCTACTTTTCAATCAAACTATAATGGCGTCTCTTAAAGTCTTATTTAAGGAACCAGGCTATAAGCTAGTACGCCAGATGTACGTTTCGGGGACAAACATCACATCAGTGGGCTCTAATAATAAACTGTTATCACAGAGATATGTCTCGCCTTTTTGTAATTTTGATAATGCAAATGTTGAAATTAAAATAGCAATACTTTAACATGTAAGTTATGCAAATATTCAAAGTCGATGAACCATGACTGAAGGTACATGGCTAAACAATCTCCATGGAATGAGATGTGCCAATGCTAATACAACTGCATACCAAATACCATCGACTTATTATAAGTCGTTCCCTTTAAACACACCTAAACACAAACATTAACTTGTACACTATGTAAAAGTTTCAAAGTCAATGAACCATGATCAGGGGTGGGGCTATATAATCTCCATGGAAACGATACTTGCAAATGCCAATAAATTTGCACACCAAATATCATTGACTTAACATAAGCAGTTCATCTTAAACTGATCTAATCACAAACTAATACATGTAAAGTAAGCAAAAGTTTCAAAGTAAATAAACCATGACTGAGGGGGCGGGACCAAATATTCTCCATGGAAATGAGATGTGCTAAAGTTTATACAACTGAACACCAATTAACATTCGCCTACCACTAATGGTTCCCCTTGAACTGACCTAATCACGAACTAATACATGTTAACTTAACAAAATTTTCAAAGTCTATAGACCATGACTAAAGGGGGGGAGCCAAATAATCTCCATGGAAATGAGATATGCCAATGCTTATACAACTGCATACCAAATATCATTGACCTATCACTAGTGATTCCCCATAAATTGACCTAATCACAAACTAATACATGTAAACTATGAAAAGTTTCAAAGTCAATAGACCTTGACTGAGGGGGCAGGCAAATAATCCCCATGGTAATGAGATGTGCCAATGCTAATACAACTGCATACCAAATATCATTGACCTACCACTAGTGGTTCACCATGAACTAGACCTAATCACAAACTAATACATTGTTGACGTCGCTGTCGATATCGCAGTTGGAAGGCAGTTTAATTTTAGTATTTTAGTGGATTATACTATGTTTTATCTCACCTGGCCCAAAAGGTCGTCGTCGTCTGTTAACTTTTATAAAAATTAGAGTTATTGATTTTTAATAACGAATTTTACTATTCTTTTGCGTTTTTGCCTACTAGTATCTTCAAAACTATATAGTATAGACTTTTAATAGACAAAATGATCAGCAAGACAAGATCAAAAAGTAAATCTAATGGCCGACACATTCTTTTAGAGCCTCTAGTTTATGCATAATTATTTTGGTGAACAATCGTTGAAAGCACAAGAAACATTTATTTGTTTTATATATAACATTGCTTTTATATCATGCATGCATCTGATCGAATTCAAGCTCCTTATTTACTAGGTTTCGCTGTTATTTGTTTTTAGTTGATTATAAAGTTTCTTTTATATCAAATTATTTCGTGAAATGTCACTCAAGGCAATAAAGATATACAACGTTGATTAAAAAAACATCTGCTGTTATATGAGACATATATTTCATCGAGTTCAAGGAATGTTAAATTTGTATCTCTACCGGATTATGCTTTTTTTTTTAACTAGTTTCTTTCTGGTAATTATTTTGTTGAAATATAACTTAGCAAAGTCATGAATCTTTAATAAAAAAAACATCTGCTGTTAAATAAAACTTGCATTGCATTGAATTAAATTGTTATAAAATTTCCTTTATTATATGCATCGCGATTGTGAACACTTTATAATCCAGAAAAGCGCTTCGGACGCATACAATTTATAAAGTGCTGTATTCAATTTTTACAGCACAGGGTCGATACCGCTGGTGTTCGACTATCAGTACCTGAAGGTATCATCGGCTCAGTAGTCAGTACTTAGCTACTGACATGATTTATAATTAACCTGTCTTAAATTGTCCGTTTAGAAATGAATGAATACGTTATTAAGACACTAAGTTAAAATTGACTTTAGATGGATTTGGCTATCATTTTTTTATGTCCCTTTTGGTCATATAGCACTTCAATTGTTTCGGTTCTTATACATCCTTGGCTTTCAAATATTCGGTTTTTAGCGTTACTGAGGAAGGTAGTTCGACAAAAATGATTCAGACGTACACAATTTATAAAGTGTTGTTTTATTTTGTTAGCCCACATGTAGTTAGACTTTACATGTTTGCTGTACCATGTTATGTGCTGGATTATAGCTCATATTTGTATTTTTTCAACTTTTATAACTACCGGTATTTAAGTTTAAATGTCACTAAAAATAACAAAGACATTTATCTTTAAAAATAAAGTAATTTGGTTGTTTACAGTGATTTAACATTTTTATATATATTATTCTCCCTGGAATTCTATTTATATAGGGACACGGTATTAATTCAATGGCGGATTGGGGGGGGGGGGGGGGTGTTCCGGGGGTTGGACCCCCCTTTTTTGACGATCAATGCATTTGAATGGGGACATATAGTTTGAACCCCCCTTTATCCTAGGTTAGGAAACCCCCCCCCCCTTTTATAAATGGCTGGATCCGCCCCTGAATTTAATCATGAGCCTACTTCGTACCAACCTAGTAAATTAGAACTGTCGGTCAATATGCTGATCTAAATGTGCTTGATTACTGTAGTCAACACTTTAGATTCTATGCTGGCAACAATAATTAATATGAAGACTTGTTTGTTATAGTTTGTTCATATATATGTTGTGCTGCTACACCACTGTCCCAGGTTAGGTGCCCTTAAACATGTTTAACCACGCCACAGTTGGTGGAGTGGTCTAGGGCGCTGGACACAGTGCAGTCGGTGTTGCCACGATATCACAGTAGTGGTTCGAATCCCGCTGAGAGAAGAACAAAAATTTGATTACACAAATTTGCAAATCTAACATTGTTGGGCTAAATTTAGACGAGTTGTATATATATTATGGTGTTGGCCTTGTATAACCACTGGCAACCCCGTCTGCACTATGTCCAGCGGGCTAGACCACTCGATTAAGCTATATAGAAATATAGCTTTCGTTAGTAGAGTATTGCCTTTCCTCATTGGCTTTATCTAGGATTGTAACACAGTACATGATGTATAATGGCAAGTAGGATGGTATATCTTTCAGATCAGCTATGTTTTGTCCGTCGTAAGGGATGATAATGTGATTACCATGCCGTCACATCAAATTTTAATTTTGTTACTTTTAAACAACTTAAAGACAGATGTTCTCCATCGGATAATGTGTGGTTATACAGGGCTAACACCATATATTTATATATTGCTATTTGCAATGACAATACCTTTCTAGTACTTACCTATACTGAGCATAAAAAGTTCAGCAACAAATGTTTTTAAATTTTCAATTTTATATTTAAAAAAAAACAATACTACTTAGTACTATACATATATAAATACATCATTGTAACAAAGAAAGTTAACCATAAGGTGCAATTTTATCCTCAAACAAGTTGGAATATATAAAGATTCAAATTTAGCTAATTTATAATTCATTTTTTTGTTCAATTAAACTGTTTGTTGCTAAACATTTTTCCTCAGTATATGATGTATTTGTTGTGCCTTTCCTTTACTGGAATGACTTCAATGCATTCTATAGGTAAAGGAACAACTTTATGTTTTAGTCCACTATAACAATTCCAGATAGTCTAGCTTCCTAATGATATGTTCAGTCTTAAGTTATGCTTTACTAGGTAGATACATAGGAAAATGATATATATGTTGACAAAACACTACTTTCTCTGGAATACATATTGGTACAGATTTCAAAAAAGGACCTTGCTCATTGAAACAGTTATTTCACTCCCAAGTGTAAATTATCAGATGTTTTGTTGACACTGCTGAAATGTCGTGATGTCCAGATGTGTATATATTTTATAGTTTTCTTTGGTGTTTATCCTGATTATATGTACCGACCTCTTTCCTTCTATATCAGTGATGACAAAAACTCCAAGCATTAAAAAAGACATGGGTAAATGTAAAACAATTACTGAACACAAGCATTTACTCCAGTTTTTATTTTTCTTTTCAAGCATGACTAAAGATGATCACATCTAACAAGTTAAGATGAATATTTTCTTTTAAAAAGTCTCAATTATCAAATCTTATACATAATTTAAAGCTGTAAATTTTCACAATAAAATCTGATATTCCTAATTAATACATTGTAATAATATGCACCTTAGAATGCAGACACAGTACTGTCTACATTATCTACAGTTTTTGTACACATAACAATTTTATTCAAGCATTATCAGTATAGGAGTCAAAAGGAAAAAGTTTTTATTTATACAGAACAGCAGGTTATCAATAACAAACATTTCAAACAAAGAACAACCTATATAATACTCATGTATCAAATGCTTTATTTATTATGCCTATTGCCCTTACATTTCTTTTTAATATAAACTTACAAGATGAATTACAAATCTCACAACTGGACTACAGATATCATAAGATGTGACCCTTTTAAAATCCTTTGAATAAGGACCTGGCTGTTAATGTTTCCTAAAACAATGTTTGAATGTATTAAAGCACCCACGCCCCACGTATATATCATACAAAGCAGCCATGTATAACCGTCACCAAATAGTACTGAAAAATCTTTACCAAACTTTCCATCATTTTTTTATATGACGAGAAGAACATTTAAACTATGGCAAGTATACAAATAAATCAAGTAGTAACATTTACATACTTACCCATACAGAATTTGAGGAATTTATGTTCAAGAGCTATATAAATGTACATGGTGGAATATGGCAGTTGAAAATACATGCATAAATCCTGTAAACCTTTGTAAAATAAACCTAAAATAAACTGTCACCTATACAAAATAAAATTTTGCATCAAAATTGTGAAAATAGATTTTGAAATGAAAGAATTGCCATTTTAAATGTTGTTCCATAAACTCTAAAATGGTTAAGAGTCTGGATATATAAATGCCAAAACGAAATCAAGTAAAATCAAATTTATAGATTTATACTAAAAGAAAGGAGACCTGATGTAATGTCAATGAGATAGCAACCTAACAACAAAAATAACCAAAAGATATCTAGATGACAACATACAGTCTCTTACAACAGACAGGTGTCTATACAATATGTTAACCTTTAATAAGTCCCAAGTCTATAAAAGTTGTGTCTTTACAAAATGTTAACCTTTAATTAGTCCGAAGTCTATAAAAGTTGTGAAACAATCAAAAGATATACCATTAAATAATATATAATGCAGTTTTCTTTAACAATTTGTTTTCTATATTAATTCATTTATTTGTTACTGGTAAGATTTTCACCAGACAATGTACAAACGTCTTACAAAATTGTATTATTTTATCACTGGTCATTTTCCCCTTAAAATCTTTACTAGAGGGTTAACTTCTATTTCAATACACAAAATTTACAAGAATTAATACTAATTTACTAGACTTAAACAGACATTTTCAAGTGTCACATTCTTTTATTATTAACAAAAATCAAGTCAATAGAACTTTTTTGAAACCTGGAATTTTTAAGTGTATTTATATGAATTACCACATGGCTCTACTGCTGGATCAAAAAGTTAAACTGAAAAATCATATTTCTGTTTCTAATAAATTCTGAGTCTTTTACATTTGGTAAATAACACAAAAATGTTTTAGGAATGTATTACACCTGAAGCCCTATTTACCTTTAATAAACTGTTGACACAGATATTTGTCTCTCTTATACTTAACTTTGATAGTAAAATGTAAATATTCAAATTAATTTGCAATACTAAAAAGAAAACTATGTAAAACATTCAGAGTCAATGAACTGTGACTGAAGGTTCAAGGCAAAATAATCTCCATGGAAATGAGATGTGACCTGTACAGCTGCATACCAAGCATCCTTGACTAATTATAAGTGTTTCCTCTTAAACTGACCTAATCCCTAACTAATACATTGTCAATGACACATGCTCAAATAAAAAAAAAATGAAATTTTCAGAACAAAATTAAATTTAAACAAAATTCAGCAGTAGTAAGTTGAAACTTTTCTGATTCAAAAAGATAATGTTTATGTAATGCACATGTATTTTCATTGATTTACTGTAAAATAAACACATAAATGATGAGTTGCAATTTGTACATAGCCTTAGAGTATATACTGTTTGACACAAGTGTATAAAAAAGAGGAATATTTGTCTGAAATTAAGGACTGATTTTATAATGTTATGAAATTATATATGATGGATGATTATCCCTTTATGGCACAAATATTTAACTGTTAATATGATTACTGTACATAACACTGTCATGTGATATAAAACAATGGACTGGTATTAAGGCCAACCATCTAATCTAGCTACATGTAGCTAATACCATCTTGGAATATCCATCAAGCCTTTGAAATGACAATAAAAAATTTGATTTGAATGTAGACTTTACAATGTAAATGATGATTTGTTTTAGAATACATGTGAACTGTTTGTGAAGAAACAGTCCTATATCAACCACAACCTTGCAGCTGAGTAAGCGCACAGGGATACAGTCCAATATCAACCTCACCATGCAGCTGAGTGAGCTCACAGGGATACAGTCAGACAACAACCACAACCATGCAGCTGAATGAGCTCACAGGGATAAATAATTATTAGAATTACTTATATATGACATATATTATACCTTACACCAAATACCATACATGTGTTTACCAATTTTCTTACAATGGAGATAATTTGACTTTATCCATAGCTACAAAAAACACCAATTCATTGTATCAAGTCGATATTTCTCAAGTCATTTAACTAACATCAGGAGACTCCACCTTTACAACACTGAGATTAACCCAAGTTTGAACTTAAGAAATTTTGGTTTCAAAAAGTGATATATTTTAAAATAGCTCCTGATAAAAATTAAAAATAGCAATGAAAACTTGCAAGGAAGTTGGTAACTCATGTATGATTTTAGTTAAAATATCTAATATTAATAAAATGAATAAATAATAATCATTTAACAGTAATACCCCATGAACTCTAGGAAAATATTCTTATTCAACATTGATAATGTCGTGACTTTTGTACGTAAAAAAATAAAGGATTATTTTCTGTAGTTAACATGTTTTAAAGTGAAAATTTATTTTAAAAAATTCCTCCAACAAAACAGGTGGTTTTAAGGCACTAACAATTTTAGAAACAAAAAGCTTACTAAAATCGTTTTAAAATATTATAAAATGGAAACTGATGGCCTCATGATGTATTTATCTGTTAAAACATCTGAATACAAACAGAATTTTAGTATAAAAGTTATATTTCATTGACTGACAGTTTCAGAGGAAAAAGAAAATTTCAGTAAAACAATCATGATAATCATAAGTGAAACTGCAAAAGTAAACGACTCTCTCTGATAACTTAAAATATAGGCAAACAAAACATAAACATAAAATTCTCCAACATTATGGAAAATCATAACCTTTAAATCAAGACATTTGAATCTATTACATTATGAATCCTAGACATATATTCATACTGATAATTATTTATGTCTGTGGTTGATAAGTATGTTGTTGTTGCTGTTGTTGCTGTTGCTGTTGAATAATCTGTTGTGACACAGGTATCTGTATACGTTTTTGCATTTCATTTTGATGGCTCATATTAAGTGGAGCATTGCCTGCATAAGCTGACGACTGGATAGGAACCATAGTAGGGGGTCCACCTTCTATCTGAGCTATTACACCACCTTGTGCAGTGGTCGGTAGATTCTCTAAAAATCTTAAAGTCTCCATGTATCCTAATAATGTGGAAAATGTCTGAGACTGTTGTCTATTATCATTTGTCTGCACAACAGTTGGTCGATTGGTCTGGTCACGGTTCACTTGGTATTCAGCTGGTATGACACCATTTGTTCTAATCATATCTAAATTAACATCTTTGTTTATAATTTGTTGTTGGGCAGGTTGCTGTTGGTTTGCCAGGTACATTGTGCCGTGTGTTTGCACCTGATGTTGTCGATACTCATTAGTTTGAGCATTTGGATCCATACCTTGCTGTTGATGACGTATGGCACCCCCACTAACATCTATGTATCTTTGATCCGTTAACTGCATCTGCGATCCAATTGAAGTAACCTGCATACTTTGCATTTGAGCAGGTATATGTTGTTGCTGATGTATATTCTGCATATTTGACATATTAATCACAGACTGAGCATTATTTTCATACAATTGAATAGGAACGGCTAATTCACGGCCGTCAGCTGTTTGCATGGTATGATAAATGCTGTTAATGTTTGGTTGTGATGTGACCAGCACTGTTGGATCTTCCCTCGGAATATTAAGAGCTTGAAACACTGCAGCACTAACTTTTTCATACTCCTTCAATTTTTCTTTCCTTTCTCCTCTAGGTGCTCTAGGAGGTTTGTTAGCATTGTCACCACTATGAGAGGATCTCAAATGACGAGTCAGGTGATCCTTGCGTCCAAATCTTTGTGGACAGTATTGACATAAGAAGTCTTTTTTCTTTGTATGAGTAATCATGTGTCTTCTCACATCTTTCCTTGTATAAAACTTCTTTCCACATTCAGGGCAAGCATGTATTTTTTCTGTACAGTTTTTCACTGAACGGGCACCACTGTGTACTTTCAAATGATACAATAATTCTTCCCTAGTCTCATGCTGCTTGTGACAAATTCCACACTCTGTCGACCTTCCTGCATCGGCATCGTGAAATGCCTTGTGAGTTCTGTAGGAAAAGTTGTAAGAATATTCCTTTCCACACTCTTCACACACCCATCTTTTCTTATTTGGATCATGAGTAATCATGTGATTTTTCAGGTGATCTTTACGATTGAATGACTTGTCACAATAAGGACACTTGTGATGACGGGGACAGGTATGAATCAAACGATGTCTTTCTAATTTAAATTTGGACATAAATCCTTTAGAACATTCAGCTACTTCACAAATAAACGGTTTGACTCCAGTATGGTCAGATACATGTATTACAAACAATGCTTCTTTTGTAAATGTTTCTGTGCAATGGGGACATTGCATTGGTTCACGTCTAGATGCCCTAGGTCCACGAGGAATCCTTCCCTTTTTACGACCACGTCTACGTGGCATAGGTTCAGGATAATCTTCGTCTGCTCCCAATATTTCATCTAACATTTCTGTAGTTGTCTTCTCCTCATCTTCCTCATCGTCCATGACTTGTTCCATGTACGCTTTATCTTCTGGTTCCCCATCTAGAACCTGATCATCAGGTGTCTCCTCAACTTGTAGGGGTGGAGGAATATCCAAGGCTGGTCTTTTATTTTTGGGAGGTCTCCCTCTCCTTCTTGGTGGAAGAGTCTGTGAAGGATCGACAACCTTAGCTTTTAACATTCTAGACTTCTCCAGTCTAGCTCTCCAAGTTTTGGATGGTTTGATATACTTTCTTGGCCTTCCTTTCCTGGGTCTGCCCCTTAATCTACGACTGTCAGGTGGAAGTCCTGGACACAGGTGGGCTTCTAGATCAGCAAAAGCACTGAAACCATCATAGCAAACTGAGCACACCCACTTCGCAGCCACACCTATAATACAAAATTTTATTCTCTTAACAAAGATAACAAATTTTACAACAATACTTATATCTTATACATTTTAAATTACTGGTAGTATACTTGTGATTAACTTAACTGTGGTCTATATCTACAATGTAAATGGAACAAGGAGAGCTTTCCATATATGCAACAATTGGAGTTCATCCATTTTAAAGTATGTCTCTCGAGGTTTAATCTTCATTCTTATTCAAATTCATGTACATGTAAAATTTTGACAAACGCAGTCTTTAAATGATAAAGTTAAGATATACCAGTTAAATGAATTAAAGACCAAAACTTTAAGACATGATTCATATAGTGGAATAACAATAATCAGAGTCTTATCTACGAAGTTCACATGATAATATTGCCAAGTGTTTTTTTTTAATTTACTAAGGAAGTATAAATATTCATGATTTTTTTCTGTGGGTCTTTTAATTTTGTTCGCATATAACTATATATCCAAGTTAGGTTGCAATGCCAAATTTAGTCTTTGATTTAACATCTGGCAACCACTTTTCTACACAAATGTAAGTCTATTTCCAGTCACTTTTTGTCATTGACCTTTGATGTGGTGACCTCAAAATCAATAGGAAATTTCATCTCATTATATGTGACCACATGTCCAAGTAAACTTAAAATCCCATCTGTAGAAATTGATTTTGCACCCAGAAACCACTTGTCATTTCAGTCTTATTTTTTAGTTACTATGACATTGACATTGAAAAGTGTCCACAAAATCAATATGTATCTTCCACTCATTATATGTGACCATATATCCAAGTAAGACTGCAATCCCATTTGTAGTATTTGATTAATGGTTGTAATCTGATATAAAGTATTGGATTTAGGGTCCTGAAACAAAATCAACTGGCAAACTGATGAACAGTAATTCTCTATGGTTGTCATTTGTTGCTGTAAATCATATTTGTTTTGTACATAAAGCAGACTGTTTTCTCGTTTGAATTGTTTTACATTGGTCATTTCGGGGCCTTTTATAGCGGACTATGCCGTATAGGTTTTGTACATTCTTGAAGGCTCTATGGTGACCAAAAGTTGTTAACTTCTGTGTCATTTGGTCTCTGGTGGAGAGTTGTCTCATTGGCAATCATACCACATCTTCTTATTTTCATATAGACTTAAGGACTGGTGGACGGATCAAAAACTATATACCCAGCACTACTAACTACGAAGAGATTACTATTGACTCACCTGTTGCTTCTTGATCAGGTGTCTCTGTAATGATAGGTTCTGGATCAGGCAGAAGTGGTTTGTCCATCATCTCAGCATACTCAGCAGAATACCAAACTTTTATCTCAGTGTTAGAAGGAATTGGCTGTGTCAAAGAAGAATTAAATATTCATTACTTAAAATACTGAAATGTAATTTCACCTATCTTTTCTATCCAAGAGAAATATTCCCAAAGGTTCAACTATAAATCTTATTACTTGTGTCCTGGAACATCATAACATATAGTTTTTTTTTAAATTTCAATTTGTTAAACACCTGTGTATGGAAAAGACACTTGAATAAAATGAATTTTAAATCTGTGAATGGCCATAGTTCTGTTTAAATTGTTAAATATAGATTCTAGCACTGCACAGGGTTTCTGCTGGCAGTCGCCATTTTTGCATTTTTCAGAAAAAATTAAATTGTGGCAATTAAAAATCATGATTGGCGAAATAATTTCATGAAAGAAATATAATGTTCGACTTCGTCCATCTTCTTAATTTTGTTTCAGGTTTCTCTGACTTTTTCCCTAATCAGACAATTCTCAGATTTCACCTCGAACTTGAATCGATTTTGTCAGAAAATCAATAATCAGCTGATTGCATTTGATAGCAATCAGAAACAATGGCCTTGTTAATAAAGGTGTTAATTTTATTGTTTAATGAAAATGTGTGATATATTGGCGTCACATGTCACCTGAAGGAGTGTTTTTACAACTTTGATAACAATGACCATTTTGAGGTGGGTACTTCACCATTGTTTTAGCGGCGCACCTGTTTTACATCTCAACTTTTACTTTTTACGATGGTTCGGAAGTGAAAATAACTGTTTTAAAGAAAGTGTTCAAAAGTAACACAAATCTCTAATTTTATTTGTTGTCCTTTAACTAGACAGGAAGTACCCAATAAACTGATTGAAGATAAATCTCGAAGTCAAATTTTACAGTATCTTTTTTAAGTTCAAGAAAATTTTGTCCTGATTGAGTGTTCATTTATTACAATGTGGGATATATAAAAGATTTGTAGAATTACAATAAATGAGACAACTGTACAATGCTGCAATCTGCATTTTTGGTTAGAAATAAGGAAAACAATTTCGAATTAAAAAAATACTGTGTTTGTCAATGTGAGTTGGCGAAAAAAATATTGTTTTGGCGAAAGAGCTGGTGAAAAAAGAAATTGACCCAGGGGAAACCCTGCTCTGCATCAATATGGGAGAGTTGCTGGAGTTTTTTGGTGTGCACAAAGTTTTTACACAGAGTTTGGAGCAAGGATCCGGAATTTTTTTCACACAATTTCGGTCATTTTGAGATGACTTATAAGTTGGTGCCCTTTTTCAAATTGTCGATATCACATTAGAATCATAGCATCAATGAACTTATATGACTGTTTCATCGCATTTACTTCGTGAATTTTCTTACCATTTTTCTAAACACGTTCAAGAACAGTTTAGGGAAGGCAACAGTTTAAAATTGAAATGATTTTAATGACTCAAAATAGTTAATTTCTCAGACATTGCTAACGTTTCTTTCGATTTTGAAGACGAAATTAAAACCGGAAGTTTTGCGACAATACTCAAGTATGAGTAATTCGGGATTCATTTCCGGGATTCGTTTTGTTTATCAAATTGACAGGAAATCACCAGCTTTTTAATTTTATGACCTTTGAAAGTGTTTGTATACAACAGAATGATAAAAGTTGCACTCGATTATTTAGCATGAACTTATTTTGCATTTTACTATTAAGTGTCAAATCTGCTGAAGACAATTTCACACATGCGTATTTCATAGTAAATAAAGCACATGTGTTACTTGTGAAAAATTACTTTTTTCTCCGTAAATTAAATTAAGGTTCAATTGTAAATCAGAATTATTGATTGTCTTTGCTGAAAAGTAATTAAGTAATGAATACTTAAAGGAATTTTAATTTCTTTATGATATTAGTTCAGAGCTTGTGATCAATGTCAGGTGTGAATTAAAAACACAGGTAAAAAGTGATTAGCGATCATTAGCCAATATTTCCCGGAGGCATTTATATAGTTATTAGGAGGGCCCTCAGGATTATCGAACTATACTAGAGTGGCAGTTTTATTACAGGAAAGGGATTATAAAACAAAAACAAGTGCAAAATGGAGATTAAGAAACCCGATCTCAATGAAATGACCGAAATTATTTCTGTAAAAAAATTAAATTTGTCCTAAATTCCAATTTTTCGATTCGGACAAATAGCTTTCAGTTCAGGTCATGACTGGCAAATATGACCGTTTCCGGACCTTTGGTTTGGAGTATGAGAATCAGAACTCTCCGTGTGTAGTGTAAGCTCACAAGGTCCATCAGGGCCAGGTGAACTAAAAAATATTTCAGTATATGATTTCAGTAACAAATATTGCATGTACCAACCTTTATAGATACAAAGAAAATATGCTGGTCTTGTTGATAGACAACAACATTTTGTTCGGCTGTATTTCTGGCCGGTCTAACAAACATCATCCAGTTACATTTATCTTCATCAGAGATATCAATATTATCAACATAGTCGTCATCCTTAAATATCTGCAAGGAAAAAGAGATACCAATATTATCAACATAGTCGTCATCCTTAAAAATATCTGTAAGGAAAAAGAGATATCAATATTATCAACATAGTTGTCATCCTTAAAAATATCTGTAAGGAAAAAGAGATATCAATATTATCAACATAGTCATCATCCTTAAATATCTGCAATTCAAAGATATCAATATTATCAACATAGTAATCTCCCTTAAATATCTGCAATTAAAAAAATAAACTGTTAACACAGAGATATGTCTCGCCTTTTTGTAATTTTGATAATGCAAATGTTGAAATTAAAATAGCAATACTTTAACATGTACATTGTAAGTTATCCAAATATTCAAAGTCAATGAACCTTGACTGAAGGTACATGGCTAAACAATCTCCATGAAAATGAGATGTGCCAATGCTAATAAAACTGCATACCAAATACCATTGACTTATCATAAGTCATTCCCTTTAAACAAACCTAAACACAAACATTAACTTATAAGCTATGTCATTGTATGTAAAAGTTTCAAAGTCAATGAACCATGATGAGGGGGTGGGGCTATATAATCTCCATGGAAACGAGAATTGCAAATGCCAATAAATTTGCATACTAAATATCATTGACTTTTAACATTAGCGGTTCATCTTAAACTGATCTAATCACAAACTTATACATAAACTAAGCAAAAGTTTCAAAGTCAATAGACCATGACTGAGGGGCGGGCCTAATATTCTCCATGGAAATGAGATGTGCTAATTATTATACAACTGCATACCAATTAACATTGGCCTACCACTAATGGCTCCCCTTGAACTGACCTAATCACAAACTAATACATGTAAACTAAGCAAACCTTTCAAAGTCATTAGTCCATGACTGAGGGGGTGGGGCCAAATAATCTCCATGGATATGAGATGTGCCAATGCTAATACAACTGAATACCTAATATCATTGACCAACCACTAATGGTTCACCATAAACTAGACCTAATCACAAACTAATACATTGTTGACGCTGCCGCCAGAAACAGCATACCTATGTCTCGCTTTTTGACTCCGTCAAGGAGAGACAAAAATGGTTTTAATTTAAACTGTGAAATTGAATTGATATCAACAGCATTTACAAAACCTTTATCCTTATAAAATACCTGCATGAAATAAATTATACTTGTTAATGAAATTAACACTTTATAAAACATGTGCATCTGAATCAGGAACGCTCAAACTCGAACATTTGAAAGCCAAAGATATGAAAATATGCTGCAACCATGAGCTATATGACCAAAAAGAATTCATGTGTTTGGATGGTGAAACTTGTTGTTTCAAACAAACCATCACTACAATTTAGGCTGTAATTGATCATGAGTGATTGTCGTTTGCTGCTGTTTAACATATTATTTTTTTTGTTTATTGTTTTGTACATAAATCAGGCTGTTAGTTTTCTTGTTTGAAATATTTTACATAAATTTGTCATTTCGAGCCTTTTATACATGTAGTGTGTGTGGTATGGGTTTTGCTCATTCTTGAAGGCTGTATGGTGACCTATAGTTGCTTACTTCTACACCATTTGGTCTCTGGTGGAGAGTTGTCTCATTGGCAATCATACAACATCATCTTATTTTAAATGCAATCCTGAACCAAGTCACCTCTGAGTTTAATGTTATAAATGTTTGTTGTTTGTTGCTATTTACCTTTGCTACTCATTGACTATGAAGAACATATTACTGATGATGAAAAACAATTCATTTATATTGGACATATTTTAAGGCATGGCCATCTTAAAAGATCAAAAGATTGAAGTTTTGTGTCATGATTTTGAAATATTTTAAACTATTGCAATCATTTACCGTATATACATGTATTGTAGTTATTTTTTTTATCTTTTAAGTCTGTTATAACAATATTATATGGTTGTGTACATAAATTTGTAGAAGCAAACACAATTTCAATATAAAACTAAAAACAAAAGAGAATGTAAGCACCATTGTTTCAACAACTTGAACCCAGTTGACAAAATGAATATGCATAAATATTAATGTACACAAAATGTAAGTTTTAAAAGCAAACCTTAATCTCGTAGGTATAATCTAGTTCTTTTTCTTCTGTTTCCTTTTCCTTTCCCCCTGTCTGTTCTGTAACTTCTGTGGCATGAGGTTCATCAGTGGTGTTTTGCGGCCGCTGGTCTGATTCACTGGTAAGTTCTGTAGGCAAAGGTTCAGTTGAGGCAAGAACAGCATTTTGCTGTAATGACTCAGTAGTATTATGCTGCATGTGTTCAGTTGAAGGCAAAGTAGTATTTTCCAGTGAAGAAAGAGACATACTACTTGGTGGTAAGGGTTGTTGATCAGAAGTCATGTTCTGAAGTTCCTGTGTGGCTACAGCTATTTGATGCTCTAAAAGCTGTGTTTCTGTTAATCCTTCACTAACATAACTATCTGCTGGTGTTATACCAGCCTCAATTGAAGCTTGCAGAGTTAGGTCTTGTGACAATTGTGGTTGTTCAAACTGACTGACAGCTGTATCCCCAGACAATGTTGTCACTATATCTAATGCCTGCTGTGGAGTATAGCCACCAGATAAATGTTGTAGCCCTGCATCACCGTAAGGACCAGCATGTAAACAGTTCTGGATGTTCATTATCTGTGTAGCCTTGTCAATGTTCGGGTGTTGTAATGTAAAAGTATTGTTGTTCTGTTGTGTATATTGCTGAGATACTAACTGTTGTTGCATATTAGCAGTATCAAACCCATCAATGTTCTGTAACAGTAAATGTCCTTCGTCATTGTGTGGGATCATTTCAGAACTGTTAATATGTTGTTGTTGTTGCTGGGTTTCAATGCTTAATTGTCTTTGAATGTCAGCTTCTTGTTGCTGAGAATTTTGAGGAATATTTTGTGAAATTTGGTTAGTTATTTCAGGCTCAATAAGTTGAACACTAGGTGTTCTTTCCTCAGTGGTTTCCTTAGAAATTGGTGATTTTTCATCTCTACTAACATCTGTTGTGTCTTTCTTTGGAGTATATTTTTCTGTTGATTTAACTTGTCCATATAGAGGTCCAAACTGTGATCTGCATTGTATTATTCTTTTAGCAAAGATACCATAAGCTGAAAAACAAAAGTATTGAAATGCAAAATAAATCAAAACTAATGTTCAGAGTGTTGATCAATATGTATCAATGCAGTCAGATCTATGTATGAACTGGTCTATTTACCAGATATTCTCTGTATTTGTAACACAAACCACAAACAATTTACAGAACTAATTATCAAACAGTGACCTGTAGTTGCTAGCATCTACATTGTTTGGTCTCTGGTAGACAGATCTTGTCTCACTGGCAATCCTACCACAACATTTATATAATTAATTTTTATAAAGATGACAAATGTATTTATTTCCAGTTGGTTCCTAGTTACTGCACACCTACAGTGAAATCATTCAATATTAGACAAAATCTTAACTTAATATTGTTAATAATTTAACAGTTAACATACTTTTTGGTGTATCTTTTCATACACAATTACAATGATATACTCACATGTTTTACCATCATCTGTCTTCACCTGCTTAATTACAAGACCAGCTGGGCATGTTAGTCGTGCTCTTGAGGGTATTGCATTATCAAAAACTTGTGTAAAACCACCATGTTTCTTGCATATTCCTGGTACACTCTTGCCACAGTCATGGCACCCTATTCAAAAAGGAAATTAGTATAAAAACCTTCTCTTTACCTTGTCTCATTGTTACTGCATTAATCCTTAAACATGGAACTTTAAAAGGATAGAGAAGTTTAGTCAGATTAATCATATACTAACATTCAAGACTAAAACAGTTCTTAAACTATAGATGATACATTGTTTTAATGTTTGGTAACCATACTTATTTTTTAATTACGAAAAATTTAAACAATTTTTTTGTCATGCTGTACATAGAATAGCTGAATAAACATGATAAAGGTATCAGTAGATTAAACAATACCCAGTTTCTTACAATTAATTTTTTTTAAATAAAATGTATATGGATTGTTTTTTTATATGTGATGATTTTATGTTTCAGGTCACATTATAGCAATACATTGCTTACAATTACAATTTTCATTGTTCCTCTCATTTCTAAATCATTTTGCTGAAATTTGCCTGTTGCATTCCATTCAAGGTCTAAAGCATACATAATACAGTCAAGGCATTCAAAAGATTTTGAGGCATGTATTTAAAGTAATAACCTACTTATGGGAAGATTGTATCATGATAAAATAAAAGTGACGCTACCCAAATTTGAACTTGATCTGAGTTTTGTGGTAATAAGCATTGTGTGTAAGTCTCATAACATTAGGTTGAGGCTAACTTAAGTAGAGAACAGAAACTAAAAATTCAGCAATTTTTCTATTTGTAAACACACATAACTCTAGAACGGTTGTGTATAAGTTTTATAACATTTGGTTGAGACAAACTAAAGTAAGGGAACGGAAACAAAAAAATTCAGCAATTTTTATGTTTATAAAGAGACATAACTCAAGAATGGTAAAAGTGTTGCCACCAAATGTCGTACTTAATCTGTATTATGTAGTAATAAGCATTGTGTATAAGTTTCATAACATTTGGTTGAGGCAAACTAAAGTTAGAAAAAGGAAACAAAAATTTTGTACTTGATCTTAGTTTTGTGGTAATGAATATTGTGTATAGGTTTCATAATGTTTGGTTGGGGCAAACTTAAGTTACAGAATGGAAACTAAAAATTTGGCAAACTTTCATTTTATAAAGGGGCATAACTCAATAATGGTTAAAGTGACACTACCCAAATTCAACGTGATCTGTGTTTTATCAGTGGAAGTCAAAATTAAACATTGCATTGTATAAAGCATTGATTGTAGTTGATTCAACTATAATCATGGACAAAGGAAGATAAATCCAATTTTAAAAATTACTTGATATTTAGAAGAAAATAAAAATTTTGCAATTTTTCCATTTCTAAAGGGGCATAACTCTAGAACGGTTAAAGTGACGCCACCAAAATTCAAACTTGATCTGTGTTTTGTGGTAATAAGCATTGTGTATAAGTTTCACAACATTTGGTTGAGGCAAACTAAAATAAGAGAACGGAAACAAAAAATTCAGCAATTTTTCCATTTGAAAAGGGGCATAACTCTAGAACGGTAAAAGTGACGCTACGGCGGGGGCATAAAAATATATGGTAAATTTGTGGTTAGGCTGTTTTAAATATATCCTACTTTCTCCCTATACAGATACATGTGGTGCTCCAGATTTTATTTTTTACTTACACAACTCGTCTTGCTTGTGGGATGACATGACTGCTTAGCCAATCCTACTGGTACACACTAAAATGCAAAAACAACATGACATGTACATAACGAAAGCCAGCACAATGTGCTTGTTTATATACATGTGTATGCATGTACAACTACAATGTGATATATATTTAACTATCAAACTAATTAAAATGATTTTTATGTACTGTAAGCAGTAAAACTGATCACGTTATTGTCAATTTAAATAAATAAAGCAATAAAATTCACTTCTGCAACTACATTTGTACTGCATGTTTATTCTTACTTCTCTTGATATGATCAATGATTATCAACAATTGAATGCTAATTCTCCAGATAACACCATACATTTTGTATGTATAAAACAGTAAAATTTTCTTAATGACATATCTAAACTTAACCAAGGAGCTTGTATGTTCATGCAGCATTTTTGCATAAAACTGCTAGAACATGCAGAATGCAATACGATTATTTCTGGCAAAGGAGCAAAAAATTGAATATTTTACTCATTCAAGGGCAACAACTCTTATAAAGAGTTGAATGACCATTTTTGCCATTTTGATTTCGATTTGATTATTTTTGCTCTATTAGTTTTCACTTTATCTTTTATCTAAGAATTATAAAACAAAAATCATTAAAACTTGGTAAAAATCGTATTTAAGGGCAATTACTCCTACTTATGGAATGGTCCATCAGTTTTTGTTAAAATAGGCAGTAGGTAGCTCTTGAGATTCTGAAAATTTCTGCCCTGTCATTGTTTTACTTTATCGATACATGTCTATATAAAGGTTTAAAAGATAGTAAACAATACTTGTTTTTTACCCTAATGTTCTTTTTTTACACTTTTTTGTCATATTGGTTAGCAGCACATGGTGCATTGGCCGTATCAAAATGAGATTGTTACTATTAAACTACCGAAATGAAAAACTGAATTTCCTTGACGTACTAGAATTAATTCTTTTTTTTAAGTCTATTAAGTAAAACCTTGCACAGACATAAAGCCTTTATTACAATGTGACTGTTTGTTAAATATCAAAACTGTTCATTTTCATCTGAATGCAATGTCAATATTAGAAATTCATCACAAAAACCAACAGATTGATTCTTGGTGTTTAATGCCACTTTAATCACATTTAGATATATCATGGCGGTCAGTTTTTATTGTAAAATAACAAACAATATATATTGGTCTCCATTTTCCAGGCAGCTGAACTTCTACTAGTTTTTATCCACAGAAATCAATTTAGTGTATACAAAAAATTAAGTTGATTTCATAAAATGCTCAAAATGAGATTTTTGTAGTTTTCAGTAAAAATTTGAGATAGAAAATACCAACAATCCTTTGATCTGTTACTTTGTCAATTGCAATTTTTAGTTAAGATACACATTTCTTCAGCTCACTTCAGCTAAGAAATACTTATCTTCAGAAGTCTACTCTATAAAATTTGAAAGTCTGAATCGATTGAATGAAAAATAGTGAATGAAAAATTTACGAGTGTTTTAACATAAATTCTTTTATTCTTTATATGATTTATCAGGTTTATATCATAGGAAAATTTATTTGGAATTTGTTTAAAGTGAAAAATTGACAAGCTGTGTTCAATAAATTGAAACAAAGTACTGTAAATTAATGAGTGTAAATACTAAAGTGTTTGTACATTTGTACATGATGTATGGCGGTTCAAATTCGTGAAAAATAAATTAAATATTCCCTACATGTATTCCAGTACCCCATTTCTACCCTCTTTAAATTTTTTAAAACCATTCAATTTTCATTTTCATAATTTTGAACAAATGCATACATGCATTATATATGCATTATAAATCCTAAAAGATTTTTTTTTCTTTTTGTAAATATGCTTTCTCTCTCATGGTCAGTGGCATTCATTGGTTGTATGTAATCTTGAGCAATCATTGAAACTTTTATTGGAAAGTTATCCATTTACATTTAATGTGTGTTCCCTTTAAATAATCATGATTATTAGGGGCCATAAGACCACACAGCATAATGATTCATATGTTCTAATGATCAATATGCTGACAAAGCTCAATTTCATGACAGAAAATTTCATAACAGCTGCAGACTGAAATATACAAAACACGACAAACGATAAACCAATGATTATGGTAAATAATTTGTTGTTTATTTAAAGTATTTTATTCATAATAATTTGGAAACCTTGAATCCACTCTCGAGCAACACAGTCGGTGGAGGTACCAGGGAGGGGTCAACCATTCAGAGGCATTTTCGGGTGTACGGATTATTTGTTTCATTATTATCAGTTTCTTCAAAGCTGTTAAGCTTCAAGGAACCAAAGTACAGACTTTTTAATATGATTCTTACCCTTATTAACCAAAGCTTTGACGTTCTATTTTAGTTTTGTAGACAAAGAAGGGTTTTGTCCCAATGATGGCCATTATCGCATTGCATTATGGGATCGCCAACACAAAATTACGTCAGTATTCCAAAATGGCAGCGCCCATGTAGAATGTAAACAAACAACCGACTGAAGGACATTTACATAAGAAATATTAAAGATAACTAAAAATATGCCAGAAATGTCCACAGATGATTTTGACCAAAGACATAAGAGTGCGAACGAGATAGTTGAAGAACGACGAAGAAAAACAATTGAAGATAAGAGGAAGAGGGTGAATGAGATTGTAGAAGAAAATAGAAAGAGAGTGGCCAAGGAAAAATTGGAAGCCGTACTAAGACATCCATGCAATCGTGTAAGACAACTTACTAATTGCCCTTTCTAAACTAATTGTCCAATCACATTGATTACAAAGGCCTTGACATTCTGTTGTCAAATTTTGAGTCTGGGACACCCCCCCCCCCCCCCGAATTCTAGTCACTTCGACACCTGGTTAAATCAGCACCTGGTCAATTCGGGACCTAATGTATTAAGTACACAGGAAATATAAAAAAAAACAATTAAAATTACAATGATTAAATTTGTTTTTATCCTCATATGTGGATGCTTCTTTGTTTTATCTCAGTTATTTTAAATATAAAACATCAAAAACTACCTGAAAATGGTTAAAATAACAAGCAGGTTATTCCATAATTTTTTTAAATGATACCCAATCAAACTTAGTTAATTAAATACTGAGAAAACTTCAAACAGCACACTTCTGCTTCTGCTTCTGCCTGATAATGGCCACAATCAACGAGCTGATTATTATGCCATGACTTAGGTGTGCATACAGACCCCCTCCCCCCAATTTGATAATTTAGTTCAGCTTTGTCAGTGAGGCTTTAAAGGCCTCGACTGACGATGCTGATGCTACCCCAGGAGGGAGAGCGTTCCAATCCCTGATATTTCTCGGGAAAAATGAGTATTTCCTGTATTCATTTCTGGATGCTGGAATTTGGAAACTTTTGTCGTGCATGTTCCTCGACAGTCGTGTTGGTTGCATAAGACGACCTTCCTTAATTACAGCCACTTTGTGGTTTTGTTATTTTATAGAGCATAGTTAGTCTAGCGTCTTTTCGCCTTTTTTCCAGAGATGGCCATTCCAGGTGCTCAATCATTTTGCTGACACTTGAGTGGTTATGGTGTTTCAGTAAACAACTGATTATTTTTTATTGTGTATTCTAACAGCTTAATTGCATGCGCTGATTTTTGAATCGGGGTCCGTTTTGTCATGTGAATTTCTCACTTATTATGAGTAATATGATAACTATATTTGGTATATGGGTTCCTTGCAACGTCTACATGTCCGTCAGACAGAGTTCACCTGACCTCAACCTCATTTAATGGATCAGTGATCAAGGTTTAAATTTCGTGTTTAGGTCTATTTCTCAAATACTATAAGCAGAAGGTCAGCTATATTTGGTGTATGGAATGATTGTAATGGGCACATGTCAGTCTGGCAGGTATCATCTGAACTTGACCTCATTTTCATGGTCCATTGGTCAATGTTAAGTTTTGTGTTTTTGTCTGTTTTTCAAGTACTATAAGCAATAGGTCAAATATATTTGGTGTATGGAAAGATTGTAAGGTGTACATGTCTGTCTGGAAGGTATAATCTGACCTTGACCTAATTTTTATGGTTCATAATCATTGGTCAATGTTAAGTTTTTGTGTATTTGTCTGTTTTCCAAGTACTATAAGCAATAGGTCAGCTATATTTGGTGTATGGATAAGTTGGTATGGAATAATTGTAAGGTGCACATGTCTGTCTGGCAGATATCATCTGACCTTGACCTCACATTTATGGTTCATTGGTCAATGTTAAGTTTTTGTGTTTTTGTCTGTTTTTCAAGTACTATAAGCAATAGGTCAACTATATTTAGTGTATGGAATGATTGTAAGGTGTACAAGTCTGTCTGGAAGGTATCATCTGACCTTGATCTAATTTTTATGGTTCATTGGTCAATATTAAGTTTTTGTGTTTTTGTCTGTTTTCCAAGTACTATAAGCAATAGGTCAGCTATATTTGGTGTATGGAATAATTGTAAGGTGCACATGTCTGTCTGTCTTGACCTCACATTTATGGTTCATTGGTCAATGTTAAGTATTTGTGTTTTGGTCTGTTTTTATACGACCGCAAAAAAATTTTGAGGTCGTATATTGGTATGACGTTGGCATCATGATCGTCGTCCGAAGACACATTGGTTTTCGCACTCTAACTTTAGTTTAAGTTAATGGATCTCTATGAAATTTTACCATAAGGTTCAATACCACAAAAGGAAGGTTGGGAATGATTTTGGGGGTTATGGTACCAACAGTTAAGGAATAAGGGGCCAAAAATAAGCATTTTTGTAACTTCCAGACAAAACTTGTGAGTTAGTGTATGGATCTCTCTGACATTGTACAAAAAGGTTCCATATCTCAAAGGGAATGCTGGGATTGATTTTGGGGGAAATTGCCTCAAAATTTTAGGAATTAGGGGCCAAAAAAGGGGCAAAAAACAAGCATTTTTATATGGACAAATTCTTTAGTACAAAACATAATTTAAAGCAGTGTAAGGGAGATAAATCAAATACATCATTTGAATTACCTCCCTTACACTGCTTTTAAATTATGTATAAAGTAATGGTTAATGAACAATTAAGACAATTTAAAACAGTGTAAGGGAGGTAATCCACATACAACGTTTTGATTACTTCCCTTACACTGCTTTTAAATTATGTTTAAAGAAATGCATATTTATAAAGGAAGACCAGTAAAAATATCTGCAAATGTTGCATCTTTTTTTTTTTACAAAAAAATCCATATGAAATATTTGACACCATATTTTAAATTCTATTATAAAATAGACTAAGTTAGCACTATGGTAAATTTAAATGGGTAATTATGGTTGCAAATTCCATTGGAAATTTGAATTGAGATTATGACCATATCTTGAGGGAAAGATTTTTTGGGGGAAAAGGGGGGGGGGGGGGTAAAAAGAAATTGTGGGGGTCAATTTTTTCTCATTTCAGATTTAAAAAGAATTATTCTTCAAATATTATTTTTTTTTTCAAATTTCAAATATTGAAAAATTTCAAGAAGTAATCTTTAATTGCACAGTATGGCGCATTAGATTTGTAAAATCTTTGACCACATTTATTTATTTGTTATGCCATATCTGAACTTGTATTTAGATTTTTAATTTTGGGTCCAGTTTTCATATTGGTCTACATTAAGGTCTAAAGGGTCCAAAATTAAACTTAGTTCGATTTTAACAAAATTGAATATATGGGGTTCTTTGATATGCTGAATCTAAACATGTATTTAGATTTTTGATTTCGGGCCCAGTTTTCAAGTTGGTCCAAATTGGGGATCAAAATTAAACTTTGTTTGATTTCAACAAAAATTGAATATATGGGGTTCTTTGATATGCTGAATCTTACCATGTATTTAGATTTTTTATTTGTGGGCCCTGCTATCAAATTGGTTCATATTGAGGTCACAAGGGTCCAAAATTAAACTTTGTTTTATTTCATCAAAAATTGAGATATTGGGGTTCTTTGATATGCCAAATCTAACCTGTATTTAGATTTTTAATTTTGGGTCCAGTTTTCAAATTGGTCTACATTAAGGTCCAAAGGGTCCAAAATTAAACTTAGTTTGATTTTAACAAAAATTGAATTCTTGGGGTTCTTTGATATGCTGAATCTAAACATGTGTTTAGATTTTTGATTATGGGCCCAGTTTTCAAGTTGGTCCAAGTTGGGGTCCAAAATTAAACTTTGTTTGATTTCAACAAAAAATGAATATATGGGGTTCTTTGATATGCTGAATCTAACCATGTATTTTGATTTTTGGGCCCCGTTATCAAATTGGTCCACATTGAGGTCAAAAGGGTCCAAAATTAAACTTTGTTTGATTTCATCAAAAATTGAATCTTTGGATTCTTTGATATGCTGAATCTAACCATGTATTTAGATTTTGGATATTGGACCATAATAGGTAAATTAAAAAATTTTAAGTTCTTAGACCACATTCATTCTGTGTCAGAAACCTATGCTGTGTCAAATATTTAATCACAATCCAAATTCAGAGCTGTATCAAACTTGAATGTTGTGTCCATACTTGCCCCAACTGTTCAGGGTTCGACCTCTGCGGTCGTATCAAGCTGCGCCCAGCGGAGCATTTTATTTTTTATATGAAATCATTTTTAATATGTACATGATGTAGTAGGCGACTGGAATTAAAATTATTGAAAAAAGTTTAATATATATATTTTATAATGGATGGAAAATGCATATTTCCCAGAAAGTCTTCACAATTTATTCAAGAAAGTGTTGAACTTTTCAATTATAGGCAACTTCCAGTTTATAATTGAAAGTCTCCTTGCTAAAATGGGACAAACATTGAAAAGATCGGAGGTAATATTTTGTCACTAGATTTCCCACTGTATACTAGTATAATAGTCCCAGGTAATACTTCTACATTCGAGCAATGTTTGATCAATAACCATTATTAAATGGATTTTGCTTTTATGTATTTATGGTATTATTCTTTTAAATAAGATGTAAATTTATGGGGAAAAAAACTAAAAATATTATTGAAATGAATTAGTCCTATGCTGTTTGGCTTCATTTATAGTTTAGCAATTAATTAGAATAAAAAGTATATGTGTGGTTTGGTTTCCTAACTGTCCATTTTTTTTCCCTTTCTTATAAAAATAAAAAGTTAAAAATAGCATCCTTGACTTCTCTTGGATTTATTTATTGTTGTTTTTTTTACAAACTTGTAAGTAAATCCAAACAGACTTATTTTAAATTCAGCAAAGTTATTTTTTTGTTTTTTTTAATATTCGTTCATTATTTCTGTCAGACCACTGGACAATTGAAATAAAATGTGAACTTTTGTCATGAAAAAGGTTCCTTAGAATTATAGAACTGTATAATGCCTTATTATGATCGTTTTTTTCTTCCCCAACATCTTCGAATTCCTTAGTTGGGTCTTCACTTCTCCAGTCTGTTTGGTTGCCAGGGATAAATCACATCTCCCTAAAATTCTGAAGTGTGGTCACCTCTGATCAACCAACATTGAGGTAACATGTACATTTTCTAAAATCATTACTAATCATACACAAAGATAAGTGAATATCATCCTTTCTATAAAAAAAATAAGAAATAAAAAAAAATAATTAAAGCTCTACCTACCTACCCTATTTTTTATTTGAATGAAACCAGAACCACACATACTTTTTTATTTGGCCTTATGTGTAATAAATTTTATCTCCATGACTGTTTAAATGACTACAATTCACATGAAGCTTTGGTGGTTTAATTTTGAAAGTAACATCTTTGTAAAGTAAACTAGTAAGCTAAGAAAAAGTTAAAATAGTGAATAGGTTTTTAGGCAAAAAGGATGAAAACCATATGGAAAAAAAATCTCCCTCTGTTTGCTCATGAATTCCAATATTCTCCACTTTAAATGGTTGAATTTTTCATCTAAAAATTAACTATTTTGAGTGAAGAAGTAATGTACCTGAACTCATCCACAACAGAAGGAGAGTCTAGATATCAAAATCACTTTCAGGAAAATTTAAAGACAAATTATTGAACTTTTATATTGATTTAAATTTCTATCTGCCTCAAGCTAAAATATCAAATTAAATGTGAATATCCTTAATTTGTTTTTTGCATTATAGGAGAAAGAAATGTCATATCAATGTTTAGAAGATAATGGCTATGATAGAAGTAGATGTGAAATGTATTTTGAAAATTACAGAAACTGTTCCAAGTTTTGGGCAAGTATTTAATCAAATTAGTTTTGTGTAAGTTACCTAACAGTTACATGTATGCAAAATTTAGATATGACTATAAATATTTGGCTTATTCAGTCTTACATACAGTTGCTTTTCTTTATCAGGCGTCACCAAAATCTAACATGTTATATCATGAGAGATTTCTTAAGAATGATTGCACTGCATTACTAATGTAAAATAAGGAGATGTGGTATGATTACAAATGAGACAACTGAGTCCAAATGATGTGGATTTAAGCAACTATAGGTCATCATACAGCCTTCAACAATGGGCAAAAGCCATACTGTAAAGTCAACTATAAAAGGCCCCAACATTTATTTGAACCATCATTAGGATGGCAAGATTCATTGATCTTAGAACACTATATATCATCAGTTATATTAAATGAACCAACTCAACAAATGAGGGTTGTGTATTGATATGCTTTTGTTGAAATGAAATCCATTGAAACAATGAGTTGAAGCAAATTAAGTTTTGTGTTGCTTCTCTATCAGCGTTAACACTACACTGTTCCCAGCCAAGATGATTTCCATAACTGTGAGTAGAGGTTGTTGCCACATAGATCTACCATTGTTCCCAGCCAAGATGATTTCCATTACTGCGAGCAGGTTTTTTTCCCACTTTTCCCACTGTTCTCAGCAAATATTATTTCCGTTAATGTAAGCTGAGCAGTGGTTGTTTTCCCTTTGCAACTGTTCCCAGCCAAGATTATCTCCATTGTTGACAACTTGTGAGAAGGGGTTGTTTCCTAATCTGCCACTGTTCAGAGCGAAGATGATTTCCGTTACTGTGGGTACAGTAGAGGTTATTCCACATCTGCCACTGTTCCAAGCCAGGATGATTTCCGTTACTGTGAGTAGAGGTTGTTTTCACATCTGCCACTGTTCCCAGCCAAAATGATTTCCGCTACTGTGAGAAGAGGTTGTTTTCACATCTGCCACTGTTCAGAGCCAAAATGATTTCCGTTTATACTGTGAGTAGAGGTTGTTTTCACATCTGCCACTGTTCCCCGCCAAGATGATTTCCGTTTTTGTGAGGAGAGATTGTTTCCACATTTGCCACTGCTCCAAGCCAAGATGATTTCCGTGACTGTAAGCAGTGGTTTTTATTTCCACTTCTCCGACCGTTCCCAGCGAAGATAATTTCCATTATTGTGAGAAAAAGAGAGATGAAAGATACCAAAGGGAATTCAAACTCATTGTCGAAAATAAACTGACAACGCCATGGCAAAGTAAAATAGACCAAAAGACAAACAACAGTATACAATACACAGCATAGAAAACTATTAAAGACTGGTCAACACAAACCACACTAAAAACCGGGGTGATCTCAGGTGTAAGCAGATCCTGCTCCACATGTAGCACCGTCGTGTAGCTCATGTAAGTACAAACCCGTGATAAGTCTTATTCAGTAGGTCATATTTGAGGAAAAGGAGGACGTGATTGTGGTTACGACGATGTTCCTGATGAAGGTAAATCTTCGTCCATAAAATTTTCGTAGGGATGATTTCGACTTCACCACTTGGAAGTCTTGGTTTAAAAGCTTCCTCGTGAGCAGCAACACTCTACCAAGGAATCATGATAGAAAACGCAAACCCTGGAATATCGTATCAACTGGGAGATATATACTCCATATGCAGGCGCTGTTGGAATGTTGCTACATAGAAATGGAAAGTTCACAATTGGGAAGCTGATATCATCTCTCTTGTTGTAAAGTTTTGTTCTCAACAGACCCTCATTGTCAATTTCTAGATGTAAGTCAAGATATGAGGCAGACTTAACTGTATCTGTTGTATCCTTTATTTCAAGTTGATGGGATAGATAGGTTCAATAGTCTCCAAACTTTATAAATTATTTAGTAAGAGGGCATCATCTTTTTAGCGGAAAGTGAAGTTAAAGGATAATGCTAGCTCTTTTTCATTCTTCATAAGAAGGTCCTGTATGAAGTTAGTCTCATATGAATAAAGGAACAAGTCGACAAGAAGAGGAACACACTTGGTTCCCTTGGGAATGCCGATTGTTTGTTGAAAAACACGTCCTCCAAACGTAACAAATATGTTGTGAATCAAGGAATCAGGCATGTTGATAATGTCACTAGACAATTTCAGAGAATTTTTTGTTTGGACTCAGAAGTACGATTTTTTCTTCCCTAGGACAAGATATTTGTATCTACGTTGGCCATTCTTTTTTATAAAAAATTTGTCTTTTAGTTTGAAATGGGGAATACTTGTGTAAAGTGTAGAAAAGTTAAATTTTTTAATACTATTGCCAGATGAAAGAGTTTTAGATTGTATGTTCTCTAACAGATCTTTGGATTTTTTTAGTATCCACATCTAATTCACGCCGCCTCTAGAGTATGTAATTTCACTATAACTTTAAGGCCCGGCTTTGATTGCTGATAAAATTTGTTAATAATTTAGAAACAGGTTTCGTGGAGCACTTGAATTGATTGATTGATTGGTCTTTAACGCCACTTTCAGTACCTTTGTGCTATTTCTTGGCGGTCAGTTTTATTGGTGGAGGAAGCCAGACTGCCCGGAGAAAACCATTGACCTTCGGTAGGACAAATGACAATCCTAGTCAATTAAGATTGGCGTCGAGCGCACCTACCGCGTGCGGGATTCGAACTCACAACCTCAGTGTGGACAGGCTAGTGATACAGTAGTTTGACTACTTAGACCACTCGGCCACCGAGGTCCCTGGAGCACTTGTAAGACCAAGCAATATAACGTTGTTTGTAAGGCTACTTATATAATTTAGGTATCCAATACAGCGAATGAAGATCAAGTTCTTTATCCTTGGTTGAAATTCCAAAGGAACATATAAAAGACCTATGATTATCCAGGATTTCCTCCTTAGTAAGTGTCGTTGGCTTATATGTTGAGGTTCCAAATAAATTGTCAATACCTATTTCATTCATCAAGCAGTCTATGTAATGTGATTCACACACAAAAACGATGTTGTTTGGGGCTTTATCTGCGGGACAACAACACATTTGTCATGGAAGTAGGGTAGGCCAGGTTCTTTGCAACATTTGGGTCTTTAAAGATTGATGTAGCATATGTATTCATAGACCCATTCAGTTTTTTTAATTTTGATTTGTATGAACGACCTCACAGCCATAATCCATTCGGAAAGAGTATCTACGTCTTCTCGCGTTTAATCCATTGCCTGGCATAATCCTCGGCTGAATCTATCTGTATTTCAAAGTTGTGTTTCCGATTGATGGATTTAGGCTCACGATATTTCGAGCCTTTGTATAGCACATTTTGCAGAGAAGTGTTATTGACAATGTTTATGTCACCAATAATAACGTGGTCAGTCGGATTATGTATGAAAGGGGAACTAGCGCAGGTGCAATCAAGAGGTTTAGACTTGAAGTCGTCAATATTGAGATCCTGCAACACGTGTTTGTAATTGGAAATTTTAGTTGCAATTGGTTTGGTATAGGTTTAAGAAATGATAGGTACAGGCTGATTTTTAAAATAGGGAGGTATTTTCGAGTGAACTTATTTATGACGAAGGATATTGCCCAAGTTAATGGCATCAAGACCTTTGTTGGCAAAGGAAATTTTAGAAAGGATCTTTTCTCCTCTTCATCTTTTCCAAATGTCTGTGACTAGCAATACCCGAGATGATAGCTGTAAGTTTGTATTGGTTTGAATTGGGGTTTGTAACAGTTGTTTTTTTAAGCAAAAGTTGTACAGAAAATAACGTTTTGAAAGGGGTAGTGAATAAAACTTGGGGCGAATATGATGAATAACCAACGACTTTTGTATAAAACTATAAATGGCAGAACATCATTTATAGAGACATCATGGAGAGAAGTTGATGTATAATGACGATGACCATGACTGCTTATATGTCGAGGAGTAGAGTTTAAAATGTTCATCACATTCACCGAGCTACAGACAGGACTAGATAGAATAGATAGGAAGCTATTAAACCTAGAGTTCCAAGGAAGAAGAGGTTAATTGTTTCCACATCTCCTACTGTTCCCAGCCAAGATGATTTCCATTACTGTGAGTCGAAGGTGTTTCAAAATCTCCCACTGTTTAAAGCCTAGACGATTTCAATTACTGTCAGCATTGGTTGTTTCCACATCTCCCACTGTTCCTAGTAAAAGTGATTTTCATTTCTATGACCATAGGTTGTTTCCACTTTTGCCACTGTTCCTAACCAAGATGATTTCCATTACCTATACCAATGTTTTTTTGTCACATCTCCCAATGTGTTTAGATAATATGATATCCATGGCGGTGAGTAGAGGTTATTTCCACATCTCCCAACGTTCCCTGTCAAGATGATTCTCATTACTGTAATGGGAGTTGTTTCGCCATCTCCACCTGTTCCCGTCCAAGATTATTTCCATTGCTGTGACCAGAGGTTGTTTCCACATCTCCCCCTCTTCCTAGCAAAGGCGAATTCAATTATTATGAGCAGTGGTTGTTTCCACACCTCCCACTGTTTCCAGCCAAGGTCATTTCTGTGGTTGTTTCCAAATTTTCCACTGTTCCCAGCCAAGATGATATCAATTGCTGTGACGAGAGGTTGTTTCCACATCTCCCACTGTTCAAAGTCAATGTGATGATTATTACTGTGAGCAGTTGTTGTTCCCTCATCTCCCTACTGTGTCAAGCCGAGATTATTTACATTGTTGTGAACAGAAGTTGTATTCACATCTCCCACTGATCCGATCCAAAGTGATTTCCATTACTGTGAGTAGACGTTGTTTCCACTTCCCCTACTGTTCATAGCCAAGATGATTTCCCATTGCTGTGAGTTGATAGAAGTTAACAACTATAGGTCACCATACGGCCTTCAACAATGAGCAAAACCAATACCGCATAGTAAGCTATAAAAGGCCCCGAAATGACAAATGTAAAACATTTCGAACGAGAAAACTAACGGCCTGATTTATGTACAAAACAAGGAAAGAAAAACAAATATGATATACAGCAACAAACGACAACCTAGCCAAGGTTGTTTCCCAACCTCCCACTGTTCCGAGTCAAGATGATATCCATTACTGTGAGTAGAGGTTGTTCCCACTTCTCCCACTGTTTCCAGCCAAGTTGATATCCATTACTGTGAATAGAGGTTGTTCCCACTTCTCCCACTGTTTCCAGCCAAGATGATATCCATTACTGTGAGCATTGGTTATTCCCACTTCCTCCACTGTACCAAGCCAAGATGATTTTCATTACTGTGAGTAGTAGTTGTTTCCACTTCACCCACTGTTACTTACCAAGATGATATCCATCACTGTGAGCAGTGTTTGTTTCCACTTCTCCACTGTTCCCAGTCAAGATGATATCCATTACTGTGAGTAGAGGTTGTGTCCACTTCTCCCATTGTTCCAATCCGAGATGATAACCATTTAATACTGTGAGTAGAGGTTGTGTCCACTTCTCCCATTGTTCCAATCCGAGATGATATCCATTACTGTGAGCAGTGGTTGTTTCCACATCTCCCGCTAGCCAAGATGATATCCATTGCTGTGAGTAGAGGTTGTTTCCACATCTCCCACTGTTCCAAGCCAAGATGATTTCATTACTGTGACCAGAGTGTGTTTCCACATCTCCCACGGTTCATAGCAACGGTGGTTATGCTACTGTGAATAGAGGTCGTTGCACAACTGCCACTATTCCCAGGCACGGGGATTTCCATTTGATTATTATATCTTGAACCACTGACAGGATTTCAATCACTTTTTCAATGATAGTACATTGACAATCTGATTAAAATTCTGATTTATATACTCATTTGAGATGTATGAGGATAACGAAAGCAGAGATATATATTTTAATTAGATTGATACATTGACTTTTGATATACACAGTGTACTTGATATTTTATATTTTTGGAAAGATTGGAACTATTGAACTAAAATATACTCTACAACTTTTAATCTTTAGTGTTACATAATCATGATAACTGTTTTCAAATTCAATAAGCAATTATTAAGAGGAGAAAAATAGTATACCTATGTTTCAACTTACAAAATGCCCCCAAAACAACCTTTTTATATAAATTGTTGGAGACAATATAGATCTTAGTTTTATCTGTTGGTCCCATGTCCTACAAGGATAATTCATAAACTTTATTAGAAGAAGAAGAATCTTTATTTGGTGAGTTCTGTTTCTAAAGATAAAACGTTAAAGGTGAAACATGTAACAGGGAAGATTATTTGGTTAAGATATGAAATTGCAATTTAAACGAAATTGTTGTGCAAATTAAGGGACCCTCTATCCTTGATTCACATTTAGCTCATTTTATTTACTGAAAAGGTGCTTATCCTTCTAAAGACCTGCAGTTAATACAATTTTCAGCAATAGTGTTATATTAATGTTCTTTTTTGTCCACACCATACCTAAATATAATTTGAAATTATTCAAACTACTCTTCCAATCTTTCCATGAGTGATTTCCATCACTTTGATTTTTTATGGTTTCCCGTAGGAAACATACAAGTTCCCATGAAACTTTAGCTGCGACTCTTTTAATTATTGGCTGGATGTCAGTGATACTATTAGAGATTTTTGTACAGAAGTACATACTGCACCTATTATATTTTTGTCTCGCCTCAAAGAAGTCATGACTGGGAGAATTAGGCGTTTGAGGAGTCAATAGTGTTGAAGTTTGTCATTAAATCAGTTTTAAAGGGAAACAACAATGGTACAAATGTTGGTCAATGATATTTGGTATGCAGTTGTACATGTATAAAGCATAGGCAAATAATATTTCCTTAGAGTTTATGTGGCCTTGTTCCCCAGTCATGCTCTATTGGCTTTGTAATTTTTGCTTAGTTTACATGTTAATATGTGATAAGGTAAGTTTAATTACCGCTAATTGTTAGTCCATGATAAATGATGGGCAGTTGTATTAACATGAGCACTACTCATATCAATGGAGATTATATGCCCTTCACCCCATCAGTCATTGACTGTTTGACTTTTGCATAGTTTAAATAGTTTGTAATGAGGTCATTTAAGATGAACCACTTATGGTAAGTATTTGGGGTCTCAAGTAATAAAAGAAAATGAATTTGTATTTTTGGTTTATGAATTGGAGTTGCCGGGACAGTTTATTAGATTTTATATTATGATCAATGTAAATGACATTTTAAAATCACGATTGATAGTTTTATTTATTTTTACAGAATCGTGTAAGCTGGGAAAGATTGTTCAGAGGCATTAAACCTTCAATTCCTCCTCCTGAAGAAAGAGATGCTATTAGAGAAGAATTTGCAAAAAGAAAGGGCTATAATTACTGAATCTATTTATTTTGTGTATCTGAGGAAGCTACCATCTGGGAAAAAATGTCTACAGTGTGACCGTTTCCAATTGTTTTGATAAAGGCACATAGAGTTTGTCTGAATGAGTTCAAATGAATGTTACTGAAATTGGAGACGCTTGTATTTTAAACTCATCAATCGAATTAATACAAAGGCCACAAATTATATTTTTTTACATTTCATTGACATGCTTCATGACAGTCTTTATAGATGAAATATTAGTTTCTAGATATTGAATTATATATTTCTTCATAACATGTTGATGTTGTTTTTGTCATCATTATGAAATGAGGATTATTTTCCACTTTTTATCCAACCTGAAAATTTTAACGATTATGTCCATATTTGTAAATGACTTTTTTCCTTTTTCTTATACACTGCTATTTTTTAAAATTTAGCTTTAATACCTTCAGCCAAATATTTTTTTTTAATCATCTTTTTTTAAATTGTGTATTACAGTTTATCATAATTTTTTCTATCAGTTATAAAGTTAATCTCTTTGTGTTGATAGGGTGAGCCAAGATGTACATATTAGGAGTTATAAAAGAAAATCTTGCCGTTATTTATGAATAATGTACTTGATTTGTATGTATTTATAAGTCTTAAAAATGTTTGTTTATATGTAATGAATAAATGAGAAACAAGATTGTTATAAATTGTGTTGACAAGTTGTAGTCATTTCTTTTCCTGTGACTTGTATTGAGTTGAATAGGAATAAAGAGGGTAGCACCTTTGACATGTATGATTCATTCTTCATGTAATTTAAAGTTGTGTTCTATATCCAAGCACAGTTTTCTGATACTGAGTGACATACAATCAAATAATTTGGTATTATGGACTTTCTCTAGACAATAGAGGAATTAAGCAGCCTTCTAGGAAATGAAGATCAAGCTTACTTACTGCCCTGGACGACATTGGCCACAGGTCAAGCTAACAATCAGTTAATGCTTATTATACTATACGCAATAGGTCAACTATATTTGATGTATGGAATGATTGTAATGTGTGCATGTCTGTCTGGCAATGGTCATCTGACCTTTATCTCATTTTCAATATCGGTTAACAATACCACCAGCTTGTTGAACATTCACAAATACTCTTAGCAATAGGTCAACATATTTTGTGTATGGTAAGATTGGTAGGTTTGCATGTCTGTCAGACAGTGTTCACCTGAGCTTGACCTCATTTTCATGGTTCTTTTTGCATCGTTTACTTTTCATTGTTAGGTCCGGTTCTCAGACACTATATGCAGCAGATCAACTATATTTTATGCATGGAATACCTGTAATATAATTGTTATAACCAACTCCCCTTGAAATTATACTTCTAGAATACGACTAGCACTTATAACCAATTCCCCTTGAAAATAATACTTCTAAAATACGACTAGCACTTATAACCAATTCCCCTTGAAAATAGTACTTCTAGAATACGACTAGCACTTATAACCAATTCCCCTTAAAAATAATACTTCTATAGAATACGACTATATATAGATATAGGAAGATGTGGTATGAGTGCCAATGAGACAACTCTCCATCCAAGTTACAATTTATAAAAGTAAACCATTATAGGTCAAGGTAAGGCCTTCAACACGGAGCATTGGCTCACACCGAACAGCAAGCTATAAAGGGCCCCAAAAAATTACTAGTGTAAAACCATTCAAACGGAAAAACCAACGGTCTAATCTATATAAAAATGAGAAACGAGAAACAGGTATGAACTACATAAACAGACGACAACTACTGTAATCAGATACCTGACTTGGGACAGGTGCAAACATTTGCAGCGGGATTAAACGTTTTAATGGTACCAAACATTCTCCCTTTTCTGAAACAATAGTATAACATCACAACATAGAAAAACACACTATAAAATATCAATTGGAAGGCTTAACTCAATCAAAAAACGTAAATTAACACACAATGAACGAATAAATTTGACCTGTGACACCTGAATGCAAATACACAGTTAATAAAAAATTACAAGGGATAAATAATTAAAGTCAAAAGTAAATAAACAGGTTTAAACAAAGTTAAAGTATGATATCACTGTGAAATGTCAAACAATTTTTAGAAAATCATCACTTTTGAAGAAACCTGTGTCATATTATACACAGGTAAATAAAAATAATGTTGTTGTTAAGTATACTTCTTCTTCTGTTTGTATAAAATCTTCCGTGTAGGAATACCAAAGAAATTTCTTTAATATCAATAAAACTAACCTAACACTATATAATACTTCTAGAATACGACTAGCACTTATAACCAATTCCCTTTGAAAATAAACTTCTATAGAATACGACTAGCACTTATAACCAATTCCCCTTGAATATAATACTTCTAGAATACGACTAGCACTTATAACCAATTCCCCTTGAAAATAATACCTCTAGATACATATTTAGTTGCTTGCATTTACATAATATTTTCTTTCAAAAACATTTTAGAAATTTAAAACCATTCAAATTGACAGTATAATTCAACTTAATATGATTTTTTTTATTTTATAATTAAGTAGCGCAACTTTTGGATTTCTATCTTACTTTAATATACTTTCTTTAATGTCTCAATGCAAACACTTTTCTTTATATTTGATTGGCATTTTACTTTGAGATTGAGTAATAAATTGCTTCTTCGTCATCTAACCCCTCATAAATATTCATGTCAGTCTTTGATTCCCTTTTGTTAAGTTCATTATAACTGGTGTTGACTGGATCTAGGTAATAGTCTTTATTAGGTGGGACAGAGTAATCATTTACTGCTTTTCTTGATGGTAGTTGCTTTTGTTTATTCTTTGCCTTAGGATCATCGGTACTACTGCTTTGTTTCTTGCTCTTCAACACTGCCAGAACCTTTTTCTTTGGCCCTACATAATATGAATGTTATTATATATAAGAATCTGACTTATTTGAATACTTATCATTCACTCAGTGGCTAAATCATCTAAAGATGTAGTTATAAAATATATCTGGGCACTAATCCTGTAAAAAGTGACGAAAGGCCTTATATATTCGTGTAAAAATAAGGATGCAAGCTAAATGTATCAATTATTTAACAAAAAATCTCGACACATGTTTATGGTTGGTCGGGATTTTTTTTTTAACAAACAGACAACAGAATAGATTAGACACCTCTACTTCAGTACTTGGTACTGCGTTGGTATAAGGAAATTGATGTGTTCAAATTTTGGTGGAAAATCCCTTATCCCAACTCACGACATTAGATTATCTTTATTTTCCTCGTATTTAAAGCAAATATCCTACAAACTGGAAAGTTTACTCATAACGAACTGGTAATATATATTTATATTACTTTTACAGTACTGTATACTATAGCAGTTTTTGATGTAGATCTCTCTTTTTGTAATATCAGAAATATATATGGTAATAAGCCAAAATGATATATAAAATTCTTTTAACCAGTAGTCGTTCCTTGTTTTACCTAGAAAACTTAAAAGAAGTATACCATCATTTTTAGTTTTCTAATCGTTCTGAACATACATGAAATATTTGCCACTGGGCGTTAGGCAACCACCAATTAACCAATCAATCATTTTGACTTGGCATGCCAAGCAGTCGCATTTTTTACCACGTTACCCAGCTGGTTGATATTTACAGACCTCTTTATACACAGTCAGTTAAAAATAGTAAACATTTCGAAATATAAAATGTGAGGCAAGTAGAGCATTTTGAAGTTTAAAAATGATAAAATGGAGGTCTCCTAAATTACATACAAATTTGATATATATATATACATGTATATATAATATATGTGTGAGGATTTGGTAAGAAAAGGTTCAAACTGTCATTGTAAGCCATACCTTTAATTCCTGGTAGTTTCTTAAATAACTTCAGTCTGGAAAATGAAAATAAACATCATGAAACGTATGTATGGCACGACGAGTGTTTTAATTGATACAGATGTTTGGTGCTATCCATTTTCATAATAAACTGTTGTGTACAAGTCCCTAGCTGTATAACGTTGAGAACTTTGATTTATTCCAGTGAAATTTGAGTCGGTGTGTTTAGTGTTACAAATACCAAAAGGTAACAGGGATGTGCTAGAAAGTGAATAAAAAAATCCTTTTAAAAAGTACAAATCAAAGTAGGGATAAAAGGAAAATTTGATGAGATTAGCTCCATGTTTAACACATGTATAAAGATATGAAACGGGTTGACAAACTTTGTTTTTTTTCCACGAAAAAAATAAATTGTTTTAACGCCTACACTCCATCTACTGAGGTACACATTTGTCATTTGTCGATCTTTAAAAACACTTTTGAAAAGACGAAACTTCTTTTACATGCATGCTTACCTGCATGCTAATTTGACCACTGTCCCAAGAAGTACAGCATTGATAATGACAGCCACAGCTGTAACAGCATAAAATGTAGATGAGTTGACCATTCCATCTGGAGCCCCATTGCCAGACTGTTGTAAGGCTATTCGGCTACAAGTAGGTGGTTCCCAACCCTCTAGACACATACTATCTGGACAACTCCCATTCTGACTGTCACAAGCACCATGATCACAAAAACATCGGGTTTTGCAATTTTCTCCGTAAAACTCAGCTCCGCATTCTGTAAGATAAATACTATACGTTACATTATTTGGGGGTAGTTATCGAAAGATCTCTTTTAAATTATTTTCTTTTATAGAAATTTCTTCACAATCGGTAATAAAAAATGTAATACAATTTTCTTTGAAAATGATCGAACAACCTAGAGGGCATAAAATCAATCTAATTACAATTAAATCTTTTAATTGCTCCCGTTCTGATATGTCGCGCAGGATTTCATTTTAATTGGATTGAATGGCATAAAATGAATTTGACAGAAATAACATATATTGTGCTTACGTGATGTGCAATCAGTGCCCTGCCAACCAGCTTTACAACCTTCCAGACATGCTCCAAAAAAATCACAGGTTTGAGAGGCACAGTTTTCTGGGCACAACTCTGCTATACATGCTGTGATATCGGTCTCACAGTCTAAAGGAGAAAACAAATAGTAGACTCATTCAATAGGTTTTGGTATTGTAACTACACAAAGTGTGATATATGATGTATATGTAGATGATATGTCAGTATGGTGACCTATCATGACATACTGATCGAGGATAAGGAGTTGATGTACTTATTGCTATGTCTCATAAAAGATTTAGAAAATTAACTATATGTCACTGGTCTTTATTGAATGATGACATATGTAATAAAGCAAATTCAAAATGATAGCTATCAAAAGTAAAGCATATTACCTTGTTCACATTTAGGTCCAAAGTAACCATCTACGCACCCATATCTACAATCTCCAGTTACCGGATCACACTGACCATCTACACAATCTATTGGACATTCACTAGTACATTCAGTTCCGTAAAAACCTACTTGACAACCTAAAGAGAAATATACAAGATGTTTTAGTAAGTTTAGTGTTACCAGTCACATGTCTTAGACATTTCCGTTTTACTCTGTGTGTTGTATTAAGTTTCTAATTAACTCCCTTCTCCGGTGCGTGATTTACTGCTTTTGTGGTTCTTTTATTATTGTGAATGAATCTTATGTATAGGGTAGCACCAAAAGTTCCTTCTATCTATACCTAAAAAGTGGTTTAAATATCCTGGTAGTCGTATTTAATGTATAACAGAGTGAAACCGATGACATCAGGTTTCCTGGCCTGGGATAGGCGCATAAAAATGTGCGGGTTGAACATGGTTGTGAGCGCTCAACCCTCACATAAACTTGAACATTAGTGTAACTCCGGCCCTGCCATGCAAAGGTCGAAGTAGATATGACTAACGTCACGGGTGTCATTCGGTTTATCAAGAAAAATTATCGTGAAAGAATACCTAACGGTGGACAAGTATTGAGATTGGATCATGAAAGCTCTGATTTAGGATCGTTAAGGAAATCTTATCGAGAAGATATATGCAAGGTCAATTACTAATCTAATTTAATGAATTATACGGACAAATTTACAAAAAAATAAAACTGTCTGTCAAAATGGTTCATCAGTATGATAAGTATCTGATGAAAATCAAGGTTTAAAAGTACACCGTTTTTACAAAACTACAAAAGGCAGATTGCTCCTCGACATTTCAATGACATTAAATATGTAAACAAACAAGTTTTTTTTTCATAATTCGAATGACTAAACAACTTTTCTTTGTAAAATGTCATTCCTTTTTAATGATTCAATTGGTTCTTAAAGTTATTTTGTGTTAGCATAATCAGAAATTTTGCAAAGAATGAAATATTTACAAAAATTGATTTTTCGGATCGTGAAAGATCGCGTACCGCTTTCTGAAGATCGTGAAAAGGATCGTGAAAGATCGCGTACCGCTTTCTGAAGATCGTGAAAAGGATCGTAAAAGATCTGATGCTACGAAAACGTTCAAATCATTATTTAATTATAGGATAATTTATAATTTAAATTGGTTTAGCAAATACTGGATTTGCATGACTCATTCCGGTTCTCTTTTGTTGGTGAATAGGGACATAATCGTTCAATGCCATTGGAACTGATTATCTTATAATACCATACCGACTATGTGCCTTATAGCAATATCAATCTATCTTTCCGTTCTTCATAAGTTTTTGATTTCTTACACAAATTTAAGATTGATAATAGAACTTAATCGGCTAAATTACAGTTCAAGCTGGGTATCATGCACAATCGAGGTACGTTGATTGGTAATTTCCCTAATAAATTGGGTACAATGACGTATAGCTATTGTAAACAGATTGATCAAACAATCAAGTAAAAATAACGTTATCTTGGTACCTTTTTATTTAATGTCACCGAAGCCATGAAATATACAAATAAATTAGCCAATATTGTCATACTATGTAAGCACGATTGACATTACATATAACTGAAAGTAACAACCCTTACAAAAAAAAAAAAAAACAAAAAAGGAATGCGTACACATGCATATATTTCCAGGGTGGATGCATTAAGCATTACAGATACATATATACTTTTACTTTTCGACAATTTACGCTCCTAAAGATCCTTTCATCTTGTAAATCTACTTATCTAGACACGTTTTTTTAGTTATTTTAATAACTTCTAAGGAAAAGTGTTGAAATAAAAAAAAAAGTGAAAAAAAAATGAAAGCATTAATGTTCGTTCTTATTATTACACGCTTCAACTAGTTGCAAGTATATCAATTGGTAAAAGAAATATTGTTTTCTGATTATTAAGTCTGACTTGGCGCGGGATGTTTGCGCTTTTTGGTAGCACATTTGCGCTTTTTCAATAGGACATTTGCGCTTTATCAACATAACATAAAAAAACATTTAATATAAATAATAAAAAACATTCATATATTTATATACAGCTAAAAGCATCAAACTTTCCTCATCATGCTTGTGTCAGATGAAAACGACAACCCTCCAAGAGGGTGGATGGGAGTAAATTCCGTATAACAACCATGACTCTTTCTAAATATCAACAGATACAGCAGGTGGTTTAAAAATAAAAATTTCGGTCTTCATAAATTGAAACAATCTTAGATAAACTATGATGGTACAGTTCCTCGGACTATTCATGCAACAGAATAGTTTCCAATTTTAAATCCACTAATTAGAAATTAATTGAAGAATTTCGGTCAAAATTTAAATGTTCCATCCATAAAAGTTTCGTTTTCTCTATCATTTACCCAGAAACGTATACTATATTTTTTATAATATGTCTGGTTTAACCGAATATTTTTTTCTGATTTTGTCGTTTATTCGGAAGAACTTTCAAAGACTATGTGAACATCTTTCCATGACTTTGGTAAATTTTCTGAAGATTACAAGTAAACTATTATAGGTAAAAAGCACAAATGTCTTGTCAATTTTGTACAGGTGTATCAAAGTTTAAAGCACAAATGTCCATAGTGTTTGAAGCGCAAATGTCTTTTAGTGCTACAGGTAAAAAAGCGCAAACGTCCTGCGTCCGTCTGGTCACGCCTTGTCTTTCACGATCAAGATAATGCGTTGCCCGATCTTTCACGATCAATTTTAATGAAAAATCAACAAAATTTAATGTTTTTAAAAACAAAATGAGCGGTTTCAAGTAAAAAAAACTTTTATTTTACTGTACTATCTGACACACCAAAGATTCAGTTTCTAATATATCATTATATATTGGAATGTGACCGTTATAGGTACAAAACGTGTATTTTTAATGAATCCCATACATAGACTTGTGTTGCGTCTTTTGTGTTTTATCATAAAGGACTGCATATTTTCATTATCTTATTGCACAATATTATTGAGAAAGTTGAATAATTTTGACAGACATATTTTTTTTCGGATTTGTTCCGCCTTTTGAAAATACAGCCGATTTTTCACAGATTTTGAAGTAGAATATACAATTAATTACATTCACGATCCGATACCAGATCTTACTCGATCCGATCGCAAAGCTTGAGAATGACCACCGTTAGGTATTCTTTCACGACCATTTTTCTCGATATACCGAATGACAGCCGTGAACGTAAGAAATTTAACTGTATGATTTTAAAACCTTTATACTTTTTTAATAGAGGGGAGAGTAATACTTAAGGAAGATTTTTTTTCACCCACATGTTTGTTCGAATAATCATTTCGATGTTATATTATAAGATCTTATAAGTCTTATGTCATGGCAACAAAGAAGTTTATATGTTTAAACCCGTTTCGTGACGTCCTATTCAATTTCATAAAATTCTCCTTTCTTATGCAAGATGTATGCCAACAAGAAGTTAAAATCTGCAAAATTATAAATATCTTGGAGTTTTCCGATATTTTCACAATAAAAAACATTTGAATGCTCAAGTGTATATACACCTCGACTTCAGTAATATGAAGCTCGTCATAACGAATGGGTTAATACAATCTAATTAAAATATAGAACGCTGATTTCGTTATACTCCATATGAGTAGAACGAAATCATAGTTCTATATTTCAATTAGATTGGAGTTATTATGGATTTGTATTTCAGGTTTTGTGAATTCGTCATTACTAATTTTGAGGTGTGTATACATGTATATTATGAATTTTAGAATTTGCCATTAGAGATTTCATTAATCATTACTTATTCGAAAATCTGTAAATACAAATTAAACCAGAAGCTCTCAAGAGCCTGAATCGCTCACCTTTAATTTTTTGCTTAAATCTTTCATCAATGATTATTTTTGCTTTTCAATATATATTGATGAGTGGCTTAAAAATGCCATTTAAATGTTCTTTGTATCTGGGTATCTATATTTTCTTCAAAAGCAAAAAGTGCATTTTATCCCTATGTTCCATTTTAGCCATAGTGGCTATGTTTCTTGACGTACAAGGAAATAAAATACAAAATTTATACAAGATACCCTGAAACTCATTCAGCCCAAGTTTGGCTGAAATTGATTAAGCAGTTTCAAAGGAGAAGATTTTTTAAAGTAAGCAAATTAGATGATTGAATTGTGAAAAAAATGTCTTTAAAGGGAAATAAACCTTAAAGGGTCAATTGACAATTTTTGTCATATAAAAACTTATTTGTTGATCTTACTTTGCTGAAGATTTTTGCTGTTTACAGTTTATCTTTATATATAATAATATTCAAGATAATAACCAAAAACTAAAATTTCCTTAAAATTACCAATTTAGTTGCAGCAACCCAACAATGGATTGTTAGATTCATCTGAAAATTTCAGGGCTGATAGAACTTGACCAAATGAACTTTTTTACCCCATTTCAGATTTGCTCTAAATGCTTTAGTTTTTGAGATATAAGCCAAAAACTGCATTTTACCCCTATGTTCTATTTTTAGCCATGGCGGCCATGTTTTTTGACGAAACAGAAAATAAAACACAACCTTTATTCTAGATGCCCTAAGGATCATTCAGCTTAAGTTTGGTTGAAAGTGGTTCAGTAGTTTCAGAGGAAAAGATCTTTGAAATAGTTTATACCGGACGGACGACGGACGACAAGTGATGGCAAAAGCTCACATTTCCTTTTAGGAAAGGTGAGCTAAAAAAGGACTACCTCGAACACGATAATCTTGTTAGTATTCCAAATGTATAGTATTTATCCAAGAGAATTTCAAACTAAATCCAAACTTCTGTCAAAAGTAAAGAAAATATTTTGCACATAGTATTTGAACTTTCGATGGAGACTTTTTATACTTTTTGTGGTTAATTTGTTCCATTTTCTTCTTTTTTACCCTTTTCCCCGATAGCATTTTTAATCTACGATTATTCATTGTCATTATACATACCATAAACTTCAACTTCACACAGTTCTAGAAGCGCATGATTGGAGACACAGAGAGCTGTAGAGAAATTAGCTTCCGGTGGTCTCTGTATAATGACGGTGATAATTCTCCCTACAGCTTTACATTGAATTTCTTGGTATAACTCTGGATAGTTGTCTCCTTCGTGGTGATAACATCTCTCGCCAGATGGTACTGTTGTACCATTGGAAACATAAACTGAAAATCCGGCGAATCGCTTCTTCTCTTTAAATATCAACAATAAAAATAATTGTGGCGTTAACGTTATTGGGACATCAATCCAACAACACAACAAATAAAAGCGATATCAAAAGAGTGCGGTGTTCAACAATAGACAGGTGTCTAAGAATATTGCAAGCTCTATAATCCACCCATTCTACTTAAAGTGTGTGACAATCTTATTTCCGGCACCTATTCTCCACGAAAATTGTTATTCCTGATATATATTCCCCTGAAAATGGTATTCCCGATATATGTTACCCATGAACGAAAATATTGCTCCCGATATATCTTTCCCACGAAAATTTTGTTCTTTTTATCTATTCTCTATGAAATGTTATTCCCGGCATCTATTCCCCATGCAAATGTTACTAATATCTGTTCTCCATGAAATTGATCTTGACCCTCCAAGTCTATTCCCCATGTGAATGTAATTACATGTACTTACGAACATAAGGTGTTTCAGTTTCCTTGTAAAATATGTGTAGACTGTTTATAGTAGATACTTGTCTAAGTCTAACTTGCCACCACGCTTCAGCAACTTGTGTAGTGGTTTGAATACATTCCATTTGATCAGTATCACCGTCTACAACAAGTTCAGGATTATATTCTAATTCAGGTTCACTCATATCTGTTGGTCTTCTAATTGCTAAATTTTCTGTAAATATATTTCTTAATAGATGTATGGAATCGATTTACCATTTATATACTTTGATCAGACATGCTGATCAAATTCTGAACGTAGTGGCAATGATTTATAACTCTCATATAATATGGCTAACAAAGAACACAAGAAGAAACGCCAATCAATAAGGAAACAGTATTCTGACTCTGAGCTACTAAAACACGTGCTTTTCAAGAAGGTAGCAAATACCATTTTGATTTTTTGCTTTTACTAATCATTTGTTACCCTGACCTCCGACACTTGACAGGAGCCTACCAGTAAATGGTGGTACAACAGCACTGACAGAGACAATAATATGTTGTTGACGAGACCCATAAATGCACAAATGTATTTAGTAATTGTCTGTTAGAAATAATGATTTAAAGAAACGAGTATATTAATTGAGTTTTTTAATTGTTGATTTAAACTCTATTAATAGTCATAGATAATTGTAATTCATTTGTTGTTTATTCTTATATCAAACTGTTTTAACATATTGACGGGGAGAGGGAACATTCATTTCTTTGTTAGTAAAAGATTAGTAATTACATGTAGATATAAGAAGATGTGGTATGAGTGCCAATATTATGAGACAATTCTCCATCCAAGTCACAATTTGTAAAAGTAAACCATTATAGGTCAAAGTACGGCCTTCAACACGGAGCCTTGGCTCACACCGAACAGCAAGCTATAAAGGACCCCAAAAATGATTAGTGTAAAACCATTCAAACAGGAAAACCAACTTTTTAATCTATATGAGAAACGAGAAACACTTATGAACCACATCAACAAACGACAACCACTGAACATCAGGATCCTGACTTAGGACAGGTGCAAACAAATGCAGCGGGTTTAAACGTTGTAATAGGCGCCAATCTTCACCCTAACCTGAAACAATAGTGTAACATCACAATATAGAAAGACACACTATGGAATATCAATTGAAATGGCTTTGGAATGTATGATATATGTAGTAGCATCCCCGTCTGTGCTTCATTTTTGAAACGTCACTATAATGAGCGAATAACACTGAATTTTAAAAGAACAAGATGAAGAGCTACGACTACACGTATAAAATATAAGGATTTTGAGTAAGACATCGTTTCCCGCAAGTACAAATGTTACAGTAAGTTGTCTTACCTGACCCATGAATTTCGTTTCCAAAGAGTAAAATCCCAGTCAAAAATATATACAAATTCATTGTCGTATTTTGTAGTTTGAAATAATCAAATCCTGCAACAAACATACAGTTTTAAGAGGATTATCTTAATGTTTATTTCGTCATTTGTATGTCACTTATTAGTCAACTTCTTATATCCTGAAAGAACATCTATATTTGAACAATTACGGATTATTTTGATTGACTAATAACAGATACAAAACAATGAATAACGGTTTTGGTAGCTTTACATTTGATTGAATTTGTAAATTTGGGACCTAGTTTAATAGATGTCAAATAATGTGTATGTAGAAGTAATTTTGATCTTTATATTTGATAAAATTAAAAAATTTAAACCAAGAAAATTATTCCAATTTGTCCGGTTCTTAAGATCTAATCACAGAAATAAATAAGAATATATCACACATTTTTATAGTTAATTTTGGATTAAACTCAACTCTGATTTCGTCTGGGAGTACCTTTCGTCAAATAGCCAGTGTTTCGGTACGGAGATGACTTAACATTTAGACTGTCAATTTTCAGTTTATAAATTTGATATTATGTAATCGCACAGATACCTCAGGCAGATTTGACCTTCGATTTTTTGCTGAACTGTTTAGTCCCCATCAGATATGTGGCTTCCTGAATTTTTTGTTGGTCTTGAGTGTACCTTATGAAGATTCACCAATAAATACACGTCGTGTGAAATCGTCTACATTTTACAGACATAACAGCCTCTAAGAATGTCGTCTTCATTTTCTTCCATTCACAAGTCCTCTTTTGAATACTGTGCTCAAACTGACCATGGATCAACCTATCTAGTATACCATTTAAAATGTTATTCCTCCCTATTTTGATAACATAGAACCACCTATTATTTCGTATACACACAAAAATAAGCAGTAGATGTGGTTTATTTTTTAGTTACACGTCAGTTACATCAGACGTCAATACAGAAAATAATGCTTCTTCAACTTGAGACTGTGAATCATCGAATTTTAGATATGATCACAAGGGCCATGTTATTAAGGGGGATCTCAACATCGATAAAAACCCTTCTTAAAAAGGACCGAAATATATATCGTCCTCAAACTTGAATAGATTGGAAACAGTGTCGTCAGGTCATTATAGGGATCTTTTATCCAATTGTAAAAATTTGTGTAAACAGGAAAGATCTGATAAAAGATCTCTTGATTCTTATTTAAATAAATGTATGCATATTGTGGATATTCGAATAACACATTTTGAAAATAATTTAGAAATAAATAAAAGGGTACATAATACGTTGATTTCTAGAATAAGAGGTTTGTTTTCGTACCGGTCGTCAAAGCAGCTAATAATGTGGTGGTGGTTTGATGTAAATACTACAAGGAAGTTCTTAAGAATGCAATTATAAATTCTTCTACATTCAGGTCAGTTTGTTCCACAGAAAGTCAAATAGTAAAAAATCATACTATTACCACATCTCAGCTTAAGTCCTCTTCGGAACATTTGGAGGACCTTACTATGTATTGGTTACCTAAACTACACAAAAACCCGTAAACTATCGTTTCATCTCGGCCTCTAGTAAGAGTTCTACAACTCATGTTTCACTGCTTTTAACTAGTTTCTTAACTACTATCAAAGAAGTTATCATTAACTTTTGTAATAAAGCATATGCAAATAGTGGAATTAGCTCTTCTTATTTTTGGAGTGTAAAAAAATCTTTCGGTGTTTTAGATAAATTACGTGCTTTTGATGGTCCTTTTCATTCGGTAGACAGTGACTTTTTAACTCTTTACACTACACTTCCACACAATCTTATCAAACAAAAGTTATCCTATTTAACTAAATGGTCGTTTGAAAAATCTGATTGCATATGTATCTGCTGCAACTTCAATACAGCCTTCTTCTGCAACCAAAAAGTAAATATGCTAGATATACTTACTGGAAGTGTGATGATTAAATCTGTACATTTTCTCCTTGACATCATTTATGTACATTTCAACGATTAAGTTTATTGACAAGTTGTATGTATTCCTATGGGCACCAATTGCGACCCTTTAATAGCAGACTTATTTCGGTACTGTTATGAATCACAATTTATAACCAAACTCAGTAAAGACCCGTCTAAATTGCATTTAATTGATAAATTTTTTCGTCCACTATTGTTAATTTTTCTTTTTTGGAAGGTGATGTTCCTTTGGCAGCATCTTACGCTGCTTATATAGCCCAACTCGTTCGCTATGACCGTGTCTGTAGTGACGTTTTCGAGTTAGATAATGTAATCTGTGTATTACCGGCAAATAATTAAGTCAAAGGTTTCGTTACCACAAATTACTACAGACCTTTACTAAATCATTTCATAGATACAAAAATTTAGAATGGAAGTTTGGCTGTACCTGTAGAAAATGCATTCCAAATGGATAGCATATCCTTATTTGTATGGTTATGTTGTTTACCAAGCCCGTAAATTTAGATACGATCCGGGTAAACTTATTGATCTTTTAAATAAACTTATTGTGAAGGGTTACCAATTCATCCTTGTTATTAGATCTTTGAATGCTGTATTTATCGATATAAATATTGATTTTGTTATCAGTAAATTAAAACCATACTCAATATCATTGTTATACACATGTGCACATTCACGGTACTACACTCTGTCGATACCTGTACATTTCGGCATTATACCAGGTCATGTTTTTGACTGTTAATAACGTCTTTACACTAAATCCATTGGATGTTGGATATGTACTGATTGATATTTTAGTCTTAGATACATGTTTTGTTTTATTAGTTATTATTGGCATTGAATTAACTTTCATCTCAGATGTGTACTCTGTGTCTTTTGGGTTCTTGTTATTTTTTGTATCGATCTGATGAGTTAAGTCCTTTTCAACTGATTTTTATAGTTTGTTCTTATGTTATACTGTTACATCACTATCCCAGGTTAGTGGGAGGATTGGCCCGCCCGCAAACGTGTTTAACCCCGCCACATATTGTATGCGCCTGTCCAAAGTCAGGATCCTGGAATCAGTGGTTGTCATATGTTGCTGTTTATTGTTTTGTACATAAATCAGGCGGTTAATAGTAGTTTTCTCATTTGAGTTGTTTTACTTTTGTAATTTCGGGGTCTTTTGTAGCTTGCTAAAAGGTATGGGGTTTGCTCATTGTTGAAGGCCGTGTGGTGACCTATAGTTGCTATAACGTTCTACGTCATTTGGTCTCTGGTCGAGAGTTGTCTCATTCGCAATCATACCTCATCTTCTTTTCTTTTTTTAATATATGGGTACAATTTAAAACAGTCTTGAATTGAAAGGATATGGATGTCTTCAGACCAGTGCTTTCTAAGGCTCCAAAATGTGAGAGGTTGATCCAGATACCAATCACAAAAAGAAGATACCAAGGAGACATGCAAAACTCATTAGTCGAAGACAACTCCCTGGAACAAACATTTAAGACGGCGAAAAGACGAACAAGTACACAGAACACAACTGAGAAAACTAAAGACTGGGCAACACGAACCCAATAAAAACTGGGGATTATCTCAGGTGCTCCGGGAGGGTAAGCAGGTCCTGCTTTACTAGTGGCACCCGTCATGTTGTCACTAAGACTTTATACATAGCTTCCTCTCTCTGCTAATGATGGCGACTAAAAAGCATTGGTGTTTAGCTGTTATTCACTATTATAAACGAGTTTGACATCTTGGACATATCAGAATGTATATGTATTTTCTGGTATACATGCTCTACTGTAACAGAGGGAGATGACACCAAAAAAGGCAAACAAAAACCACAAGTCAGATAACACCCATGGCAAAACGAAAAAAGACGAAGCGACAAACAAAGACAATCTAGATCCCACAAAAGTCCGGGAGTGAACACATGTTCGGAAGGGGAATCAGTTTTCTGTTACTGCATATAAAACCATCTGACACTAATATTAGAGACATTCTTTCTGGTATTATGGTTATTACAACAATATTAAATTGTTTATACTTCACATCTCCTTTTATTCAATTTGATGAATATTGATTTCTTGTCATAAATCCAAATTGTACTTTTAGGGGGAGGGGGACTTAGAAGAAATTCTAATCTTACTTTATTTTGCTGCATAACTGGGACTTACTTTCTTGTTTGAACTGACCCTGGATTATTTTACATACTTCAAATCGAAGGTTGACGAGCCAGATTTGGCTGAGATGATCAGTCTATATCGGAGTATCTTCTAGCTGTTAAGGTTATATAACAAACTCACTATAACATGTAACAGTCTGCTTTATTTTATGTTCACTAAGCTGTTAGGTTAACCATGAAATTATTTGACCTTAGTTAAGGGATGGGATCCAAGGGAGTGTTTATAAAGGGCAAAATTCAGCCAAATGTGCCTGAAAATCTCTTTGGTATATTCTGTTTCATTTGTGTATTTCATTTGTATCCTGCTTTGGGGGGGGGGGGGGATAGGAGGGGGATAGGAGTGGTCCTGATCCCGAAATCCTGGGCTTAAAAACCTGCCGGGAATCCCGAGGTCCCGAATTTAAAAAAAATTAAATCCCGACATCCCGAAATTCGAAAAAAAGAATTCCCGGATCCCGAAAGGATCAATCCCGAAATCCCGAGCTTAAAAACACCCGATCCGAGAGTCCCGGTAAAGGTTCTACCCCCTCTCATGTCTTCCATAGGGGGACAGACTATTTCTGGAAAAAGCATTCTGCACACTTCGGTAGATCGGATAGCGGAATCTGCCGAAGTTTGCCGATTATTTAAAGTTGCCACAACAAACTGAAAGTAGAAATATCCTGTGGTGTTTATCTTTAAATAGCACTTCAATACACCCAATTACACGTGGAAGATGGGGTCAAAAGTAAAGGTAAGAAAATAAGACTATGTTGGTGGACAAATTTTTTTAATATTATTTTGGCTTATGCAGAACTGAATGCAGGTTTAAAGTTAGAATGAATTGTCAGAAAACACTTTTTAAAAGGTTTATCTTTATTAAAATGGCCGACAAGACCTAGATTATATAATATTGAAGTACATTTTATGTTTTAGAAAATTAAAAAGTTGACTGGCTTTTGTTGTGGTTATTTTTGTGGTTATGAATATGATTGAAAGGGGAAGACATCTTAAAATTCCAAGAGAAGAAAGCCTGTAATAATGGAGAAATTGAAGATGAACATTTAATGTAGAATGAAGAATGTAATAGATTTACCTCAAAACGAGTAATATTAGAAAATAAAATAAATGATATATTTAAAATACAACGTAACATTAACAATGTTGAAAAATATCTCTAATGGTAAACAATAGCTCAGCATTATTACTTAGACTGTCTTCATCTTTCATATCAGAGTGTCTAAATAAAGTCATTAAAGAAAAAGTGGATTAATATGATATATTAATATGTAACTTTTCATTCTATCATGTCAATTAATATAATATTGCAATAGGTCTTAACCATTAATTGTTAATGAGTTTGTGCCAATAAAATATTTGTATTTGTATTTTAACACTTATGTAGCAATGAAATAAATATGTCAAACAAAACCAAGAAAAGTTGTTAATTAACGAGGGTGGTAAAGGGTTATTTTCGTGTAACGTGATCACCGTTTTTTATTTCACGTTCAACGTGTTTTTACTTTTTTATTCAACGTTCAGTCGTGCAAGACAGGTGCCTCGTTCAACGTGTTCTGCTTATTTAATTTTACGTGCATCGTGATTTTCAAATGCTTATTTTGCGTGCTCGGTATTTTTCTAATAAAATTCAAACACTTGGCAGGGATCGTCATGAAATACTTTTCAAGTTAAAAGCCGTAAACCATTTACATCATCAATGTGTATACTAAATCGGGAATAACAAGTAAAACATAGAGTTTATATATACAAGAAGACAGTGACTCAGTCACAAAAGGTTCACAACAGTCTTTATTTTTCGTGCAACGTTCATGACAGAAATTATTTCACGTTCAACGTGAAATTATGTCTTATTTCACGTTTTTTCCGTGCAAGCACCCCGTCTTTACCACCCTCATGAACATGTACCTAGGTAATTTTATTACAATTTGAGGCAGACAAGAAGCCTGAAAATGCCCAGTGTTTACATTTGACTCCTGAAACATACATATGACATCAGCTTGTTTAGTTGTCAATGACGATAACATCATTTCGCAGAATTTCCATTTTATGAAATTTTACACTGAAAAATTAACTAAATTGGACTGATTTGTTTATTTTGCATTAGAATAGAGATAACCGTATTGTATTCAAAGCTTGGCCAATGTAAAACGTGGGTTTTACTGTCCAAATTTGGTATACCTGGTCGTATAAATATTTGAGATAGGTGGAACAGCCTATTTTGTGTATTAAAGCGCTTGCACTAAAAGTAGATATACTGTAATTATACTTGTTGGAGATATGTAGGTTTTCATATTAGAATATTAATTATATACCAGTATTTTGAAGTAATTAGAAAATTTAACTCCCATTAAAGCTACTAGTCCAAGTAATCTTTCAGAGGAATTGTTATCATTTTTGACACACTATGGTACTTAAAGCAAAATATTTTCATGATTTGTATCAAATCTTTGAAATAATGTCAGGAGAAGGACAAATTTCCATATGAAATTGTGTCCATATACAGACAATGTTTCATAGATAGATAGTATGAAATTTTGTCTTGTTCAAGGGAGGTTATCTAAGGTTACATATAGTGTATATTACTTACCAAAACACATTACTTGTAATGCAAGACTTTTTGCTGATGATTGTTCATTACAGAGAAATGTAAAAAATAGTTCAGATATTGTATTTTAGCATTTTAAGAGAGGGTCAAATATATTTGCATGCATGTGAATTTTGTAATGAGGTCGCATCCCATTCAAAAGAAGGTCAATATGACATACATTTCATGTCTGCGTGTCTCTTGTGTTTGTATAGATTACAATTGATATTTATATGTAGAGCATATGATTACAGATAGGCATCATTGGAGGATCTGGGCTATCTAAACCAGATATATTAAAAGGGGGACAGGAAAAGGAAGTCATCACACCTTTTGGGAAGGTAAGATGTTTGGCCTTTATGATTATCTTCTTACATTGCAGTACAAATTTATAAGTAACACAATGTTCATTATCACAAAAATTGATTTGGGCCTCAATGGCTGAGTGGTCTAAGTAGTTCTCAGTGGTTGAGTAGTCTAAGTAGTCCTCAGTGGCTAAGTAGTTCTCAGTGGCCAAGTGATCTAATAGTTCTCAGTGACCGAGTGGTCTAAGTAGTTCTCAGTGGCTGAGTGCAGTGAGTGGTCTAATTAGTTCTCAGTGGCTGAGTGGTCTATGTAGTTCTCAGTGGCCGAGTGGTCTATGTAGTTCTCAGTGGCCTAGTGGTCTAAGTAGTTCTCAGTGGCTGAGTGCAGTGAGTGGTCTAAGTAGTTCTCAGTGGCTGAGTGGTCTATGTAGTTCTCAGTTGTTGAGTGGTCTAAGTAGTTCTCAGTGGCTGAGTGCTCTAAGTAGTCCTCAGTGCCTGAGTGGTCTTAGTAGTTCTCAGTGGCTGAGTGGTCTAAGTAGTTCTCAGTGGCTGAGTGGTCTAAGTAGTTCTCAGTGGTTGAGTGGTCTAAGTAGTCCTCAGTGGCTGAGTGGTCTAAGTAGTCCTCAGTGGCTGAGTGGTCTAAGTAGTGCTCAGTGACTGAGTGGTCTATGTAGTTCTCAGTGGCTGAGTGGTCTAAGTAGTTCTCAGTGGCTGAGTGGTCTAAGTAGTTCTCAGTGGCTGAGTGGTCTAAATAGTCCTCAGTGGCTGAGTGGTCTAAGTAGTTCTCAGTGGCTGAGTGGTCTAAGTAGTTCTCAGTGGCTGAGTGGTCTAAGTAGTTTTCAGTGGCTGAGTGTTCTAAGTAGTTCTCAGTGGCTGAGTGGTCTAAGTAGTTCTCAGTGGCTGATTGGTCTAAGTAGTTCTCAGTGGCTGAGTGGTCTAAGAAGTTCCCAGTGGCTGAGTGGTTTAAGTAGTTCTCAGTGGCTGAGTGGTCTAAGTAGTTCTCAGTGGCTGAGTGGTCTAAGTAGTTCTCAGTGGCTGAGTGGTCTAAGTAGTCCTCAGTGGCTGGGTGGTCTAAGTAGTTCTCAGTGGCTGAGTGGACTAAGTAGTTCTCAGTGGCCGAGTGGTCTAAGTAGTTCTCAGTGGTTGAGTGGTCTAAGTAGTCCTCAGTGGCTGAGTGGTCTAAGTAGTCCTCAGTGGCTGAGTGGTCTAAGTGGTTCTCAGTGGCTGAGTGTTCTAAGTAGTTCTCAGTGGCTGAGTGGTCTAAGTAGTTCTCAGTGGTTGAGTTGTCTAAGTAGTTCTCAGTGGCTGAGTGTTCTATGTAGTTCTCAGTGGCTGAGTGGTCTAAGTAGGTCTCAGTGACTGAGTGGTCTAAGTAGTCTTTAGTGGCTGAGTGGTCTAAGTAGTTCTCAGTGGCTGAGTGGTCTAAGTAGTTCCCAGTGGCTGAGTGGTTTAAGTAGTTCTCAGTGGCTGTCTTCAGTAGCTGAGTGGTCTAAGTAGTTCTCAGTGGCTGAGTGGTCTAAGTAGTTTTCAGTGGCTGAGTGGTCTAAGTAGTTCTCAGTGGCTGAGTGGTCTAAGTAGTTCTCAGTGACTGAGTGGTCTAAGTAGTTCTCAGTGGCTGAGTGTTCTATGTAGTTCTCAGTGGTTGAGTTGTCTAAGTAGTTCTCAGTGGCTGAGTGTTCTATGTAGTTCTCAGTGGGTGAGTGGTCTAAGTAGGTCTCAGTGGCTGATTTGTCTAAGTAGTCTTTAGTGGCTGGGTGGTCTAAGTAGTTCTCAGTGGTTGAGTGGTCTAAGTAGTCCTCAGTGGCTGAGTGGTCTAAGTAGTTTTCAGTGGCCGAGTGATCTATGTAGTTCTCAGTGGCTGAGTGGTCTAAGTAGTTCTCAGTGGCCGAGTGGTCTAAGTAGTTCTCAGTGGTTGAGTGGTCTAAGTAGTCCTCAGTGGCTGAGTGGTCTAAGTAGTCCTCAGTGGCTGAGTGGTCTAAGTAGTCCTCAGTGGCTGAGTGGTCTATGTAGTTCTCAGTGGCTGAGTGGTCTAAGTAGTTCTCAGTGGTTGAGTTGTCTAAGTAGTTCTCAGTGGCTGAGTGGTCTAAGTAGTTCTCAGTGGCTGAGTGGTCTAAGTAGTTCTCAGTGGCTGAGTGGTCTAAGTAGTTCTCAGTGGTTGAGTGGTCTAAGTTGTTTATCTACGATGATCACTAAAGTATTAATATCAAAGCTGAGATTTTGAGTTTGAACCCTGCTTGTGGCAGGCATGTTAGACTCTGATCTTAGTTGATTCAGAATAGGATTGCCAGTTTTCCAGCAGAAATTCAGTGGTTCTTTCCAGCTTCCTCCTTCAACAAGAACTTGCTGACACGATATAGCTAAGAGTGCTGAAAGTGGCATTAAAATACAAACAATCACTCAACTAAAATTGATTTGGGTCCCAATCAAAAGTACAAGATGGCCACCATAATGTCCATTGTACAAGGTTTTGAAAAGTCACTTGTGGTAAAAAAAAATGTACATGCCAATTTTTTCTATTTTTCAGCCAATCATCACTGTTTTATTGCTGTTGATTATGAATTGTACATTTGAATATGCTATCATAATAATTATAACACAAATGAGCAAAGTTTGGCTTTATTTGATGCTTAAAATGCAATTTTATAATAGAAGAGAAAGGATATGGGGTGTCCATCCATGACACAAAATCAGGATATGGGGTGTCCATCCATGACACAAAATCATTATATGCACAGCAAAAAATACAAAAAGCAAAGGAACAGTGCTTTTATTGCTGTTCTTCATCTTTATAGTCTTTTTTGTACCTGTTGATTTTCAAAAGAATAATCATCACCCATTGATATGTTATAAAAAGATTTTTTTATGTATTTGTTTAGCCATCTGATGCTTTAATATGTGGTGAGATAGAGGGAGTACCTTGTGTTTTATTATCCAGGTAAGTATAATTTGTTAAAACAATGTCAGTTACCTGGGAGAGCAAGAGTGGAAGACTACTTTTACACATAGGTCCTTGCTAACTACAAAAATAGGTTAAACTTTTTAGCATACTTGCCATAAAATTGAGCAAAACCCATACTGTTTAGTAAGCTTTTAAAGGCACTTAGATGTCAAAATGTGAAGCAATTCAAAATAGAAAACAAATGGCACGATGTAAACTTATAACATATAATAAGAGACAATTATGCCAGACATCAACCAATGACAACCACTGGACTACAGGCACCTGGCTTGGGATAGGATCATAAAAAAATGTGCAGGGTTCAAACATGTTTGTCAGTGCTACTTCCAGTCACTGTAATAGAAAGCTTTATTTGAACTAATATATAGATCATGTTTACCCAGACTAAAATATGAAATAGTACACCTCTAAAATATTCTGTATAAAGACCTGATAAACAGTATAAGAAATCATGAATTTTTGAAAATTTAATGCCAAAAGTATTGATGGGATGCAGGAATGTAAGTTTTCAGTAATAGCTGGATAGCAATATATATTTATTTATGTAAATTATGTACAATAACATCAATATTAGAACTTAAAAAGACAATATTCAAAGATCTCACTACATAGTTTAATTGATAATCTTGATTGTTATCATGAAATTGTTGTTTTTTTATTATTACAGACATGGCAGAGGACACACAATTATGCCCACTAATGTAAATTTCCGGGCCAATATATGGGCTATGAAAGAGATGGGCTGTACTCATTTGTTGGTAACCACAGCATGTGGATCATTACAAGAAGGCATACATCCTGGGGATGTTGTAGTTATTGATCAATTCATTGATAGGTATAAAGTACATTAACAAAATTCATTTCTCAGTTTAAATAAAGATTAGCAAATGTTTCATTAAGTTAGCATTACCATTCATAGTATATTAAATCACACCTTGAGGTTTGTAAAAGAAGATGGTATGATAAGGTCATGATTTTACTTTAAATTCAAACATTTTAATTTTCAAAATCAAGACAATCAAATCTGTCAGAATAACAGTAATAAAATAGTATTTTGTCTTACCAATTTGCTTTTGGATTTTATAAACTTCTTGCATTTATGAAATAAGTGCTAAACAACAGTTGATATTGTTTCATTTTGTGGTCTAACAATTTGTAGCATTTTAAATTTCATATCTTAATAATTATATTGTTTAGAACACAGAAAAGAATCCAAACATTTTTTGATGGAGCTCCCCTCTCACCTTTAGGTATTTGTCACATGTCCATGGCAGATCCTTTCTGTTCTAGGACAAGTAAGGTAAGAAAAAATAGTTGTAAACGAAATAAATATATATTGTTCTAGTAAGTGTTTGTATAACTAATTTTATCTTTATTTATAACATCGTCAGTAAACTTTTTTCGGACTCAACAAGACTTAACAATTTTGTAAGGTTTACGTTATCACCTTGTTTTTACGCTCCAATATAAACATTTTCAAAATCCTCTCCTCTGAAACCACCAGGAGTCTTCATAATTCTGTTGCACATAAAAATCATGGGGTTTTGGCAATATGGTAGTCATAGAAAAAATTTCTTTTACATTCTTTTACATTATACATTCCTTACATATTTTTTTCCTTGGCTGGAAAATATTTGAAATTAGCTTGCCAGTGCCTTTTCATTTTCCAGTTGAACTGTTTATGTTATGTGGATCTGGCCCATTGAAAAACACAAATGATTGAAAAAGTGCAGTGTCAATTATTCGATCACTTGGAAAGTTATGACAGCTTATTTGTCTTTGGTATCTAAATTATCTGTTAATCTTTGTGGCAGTGCTTCTTATAAGCATTGTGAAAATGCCTTATGTACCTGATTGTTGGTTACCATTGGATACTACATTATAATGGAAATTATCAAAGGAATCGCACTTTGTCTTTTTGTTCCCTAAAAAAATTCTGATATAATTCATCCAAAAAATTACATTTATTTTTTTGATTTTCTCTATATTTCTTAAAGAGCACTTTCATTCTTTATAATAAATAATTTCATTTTTATGGTTCATCTTATTCTTTGTAAACAAGTATTGTAACCATGGTAGCAAACCTTTCTGATTGTTCTCAACTATTCCTTTCTTTAATTCTTTTATATCCATTACAGATGTTGTATGAAAGTGGGAAGAATTTAGGTTTATCTATTAGAGAAACTGGTACCATGTTAACCATTGAAGGTCCCAGATTTTCATCTAGAGCTGAAAGTAAATTATGGAATTCCTGGGGAGCGCATTGTATTAACATGACAACAGTACCTGAGGTAAGCATGTGTGAAAGTATTTTATAAAAAAAAAAGTTGAGTTGTTTATATCCATAATACCAATTTTGGAAAAGTTAAAAAAAATACTGATGATGAAATTAAATTAAATTTTTGATAATAAAAATTGAAGTTATTTACTGTTCCAAGATGACTGTATAATGATCAAGACACTGGATGCTTTAGTTATGTATAATAATGAATGCATTGAGAATGTGGATATTTTCATAGGTTGCTATTTTTCACGATTACAATGCATACACTTTTTGCATGAGGGGTAAAATGTGTGTATCAGTTGGTAAGTGGATCCTTTAAATTTTAATTTCTTGATTTGTAAATACCATTGGTGAAAGGGATATTAACATGTATTTTATTTGACAGCGAAATGGGCAAATTCAGCCCAGCACTAAAATTTTCAGACTCACATTATGTAACTTACATCTGGCAATACATTTTCTAAGTTCAGTAATCTGTAGTACCTTTGATATTTTAGGTAATACTTGCAAAAGAAGTTGGCCTTTGCTATGCTTCCATGGCATTGGTTACAGACTATGACAGTTGGAGGGAAGGAGAAGAAGGGGTAAGGACATCAACATAACAATAACAATAATTAAGCAGTCAACACTAAACCCATCCCTCCAGCAAACTTGAAGGATATAGACAGAAAAAATGAATTGGATGTTCCCCTTTAAATTTCATATCAAATAAAGATATTTTGGTAGCAGTGACTTCATTTTAACCAATATTTGTGAGGCATGTTTCTTGTGAAATCTCAATTTAAAGGGATTTTCTAAAATGTTCATGCCCTGCCTAAGATAGTAAGAGTTATTATTTCAGGTCTGTGCATGCATCCATCTGTAAGTTTGATATCAGGTATTAAAGATTTGGTTTCAGGTTGCTTACCATGAAGTTTTCATATCAACTTAAAACTTTGCACACATGTTCATTAATGTTGTGAACTTTTTAAAATATCTGAAAATAGTGTTTTGATTCAGATTTTTTTTTCATTGAGTTCACTAAACATGAAAATGTGATGGTGCGAGCTGGGAACAGTGTTTTTGGACACATCTTCATGTTCTTGCTATTTCTTCATGCATTCTGTACATTTATACTTCTACTTAACCAATCAACTATATGTTAGGAATTTAAAAGTAGATACTGTAAATTCAGAATTAATGCATGCATTTTTTATTAAAAATCCTTGACAACAGGCAAAAATGTGAAATCTAAATAATTGGATTGCAAAAATTTTAAGAAGGAAAATCATTACGGAAAATATGAATGTCAGTTGTTATTACATATACTGACACATTTGCCCATTAATAAAAACATTACTATAATTGCTGAAATTACAGTATGTAATTATGATATATATTCAGATGGAGCTGCACACCAAATTTAATAGAAGTCTGAAGGGTGCCATTTATGTACCTTTCATCTGAACTCGATATGAATGTGTAGATAGAAATGTATGATATACACTGGCTGCTAATATATACATTGACTTTTTTCATTTATTTTACAATTTTAGGTCAATGTAGAAAATGTTATGAAGATATTTAAACAGAATTCCTCAAATGCACTGAAAATTTTACTTGATGTAATACCAAAGATAGCAAAAGAAGACTGGACCAAAACATTGGAGGACTGTAAGGTAGGCTTATATGTTAAGGAATATACAAAAGGCAACAAGGTTATTGATTGGGTAACATCACATAGCTATAAAACTCACCATTCAGGTCACACCAAATCTGTTTTAGTTGTAATGATTTCCATATGTTTTATGTAAGAAAACTCAAAACAAGACTTCACATTGCTGCATGAAGTACAATTGAAATAAAACTAATCAAACATGTTAAAAACTTCCAACTTTATGTCTATAATTAAACATGTTCAAAGCTTCCAACTTTATGTCTATAATTCACTCTTCACACGTGATTGGTTCACTAGTAAAACATGTGGTTGAAAACACTGAAGAGGCAATAAAAAACCATAAGTAGAAGATTGAGCAACACAGGGGAGTGGGGGTCATTCCTTCTTTCCAAATGACACCCTTGGTGTTACTCCTTTTAAAATACTCAAATGTGTTATCTCATCATAGAATAGCAGATTGGTGAACGTCTCTTGTCTTACCCTAAATATGACCAAATCTAAATACCATAAGTATATATACATTCTCTCACCCTAAAATTTGACCACATGTTCAACATACTACACATTTTCTAAAGGAAATGTATGCAGACTTTGGCAAAACCGAGAATTCAAATATCAACAAAAATACTAGTTTTCCTCAATCCATGAAAATTGATACCCACAACAATACATGAATCCACAGTAGTTGTAAACCACATAAAATCATCTATGGAAACTGTAAATACAATAAGTCCTTTTTTTCTTCCAGAATGCTGTGACGATGAACACCTTGCTGCCACATAGTTATTAACATGATTTGGATATTTACGCAATATTTTACTTTTCTATTGTTAACCTGGAGCTACATTGCTTAAGATACATGAACATTTGTATTACAATCTTATTGAAATTAACTGGCAGCGATCAAGCATAAAAAATGAGCGAGTGCAGAAATTTAATTTAAAGTCGATTAATTTGTACTTGTATTACAGTAATCATTGGTAGCAAAACAATCAGTTGTAACAAGCCTTTTTAGTTTATAAATAGATGAAGTTAATAACAACAGATGTTATTATTTCCCTGAATCAATGTGTTCAGCATATATTGCATTTATGTACTTTTAACAATCATTATGTCAATTCGTTATGTCATAAATGTTAAATATTCAGATTCCTTTTTAAAAACATTTATTTAAATTTGTGTTTGTGTTGAGGAAAATTCTTCTGTAAATTCAATATATGTTAAATTAGAAATATCCCGGAATGCAACTTCTACTGGCATAAACAGTGAGACATATATAATGCCAAGGCATTGATACTTATATTTAGGAATTTTTAATATTTAGATAGTTTAAAAAAAAAGGTCACTTTGTAATATAAAATAAGGAGATGTGGTATATTTGTCAATTAGACAACTATCCATAAAGACCAAATGACAAAGATGTAAACAATTACAGGTCAATTTCAATCCAGATATGTAATACAAATGTGGTATATTTAATAATAAAAAATCATGCATTTTGTTTATGATTATATTCACATGTGCTGCTGTATTTATCTATCGGTTTTCAATAAAATTTTAATCAGGGTACTGGTAGTTGATTTTAATAATAACCACTTCCTATACTTAGATAATCCTTTCTATGCTTAAATAATCCTTCCTATGCTTAGATAATCCTTCCTATACTTAGATAATCCTTTCTATGCTTAAATAATCCTTCCTATGCTTAGATAATCCTTCCTATACTTAGATAATCCTTTCTATGCTTAAATAATCCTTCCTATGCTTAGATAATCCTTCCTATGCTTAAATAATCCTTCCTATGCTTGAATAATCCTTCCTATGCTTAAATAATCAAATATTGTTTTTAAATAAAGAATAAGGTAATATGTTATGATAATGAGGTCACCTTGTGGTCATCATTCAAACACACACTATATAGTAAGCTATGTCAAGCCCTTGAATTATCTAAAAGTGAAACTATTCAAATGAAACTAGTAATTTAAATTACATAAAACTCCAAAACTTGTGGCAGACAGCAAACAATGACAACCATTGGAAATCAGGTTCCTGGCTTGGGACAGGCACACAAAGAATGTTGCAAGGTTGAACCTTTTTATGAGTGCTTTACACTTCCACAGACCTGGTGGGACAGTGGTGTAACAGTTCAATTTTAGAACTTTTAAAAGTCAATTGAAAAGGATTGACTTATTAGATCTAATCACAAAGCAACTAAATAAATGACAAAAGACACAAACTACTGACCCAAGACAACTCACAGTTACTGAAACCTAGTTCAATCCCATTGTCAACTGAATAATAGAACACTTTTTCCCCAGACTAAACTATCAATCAGCACACCTCCAATGGATTTAGTGTAGATATACTCATAATCTGTATTTATGGTAGATATTTAGTAAAGGTTTTAAGTAATATGTGGTAATGTAATCTTGACTTTATAATTCACCTGATAAACACACATTATGTTCATTGAAATATGACATGTTACTACAGACACTGGAAGAGGGATCATTTAGGGAATAATAGATATTGCAAGAAGCAGCCAAAAGAACATCATTGTTAAAAAAAACTGACGAAAGGGAATGTGAAGTTGATTCTTTTGTTCTTCATTTAGTATGAAGTTTTCCTTGTAACACAGAAATATCCAAATAAAAAAAAGCACAATTTGTGTTGTTCATGTTAGATTGATTTAAAGTCCGTTTCCTGGTTTAAAAAAGTCTGTAATATAATTTGAGCATTCAAAATTATTAAAGCAAGGATTGATTGATTGATTTGTGTTTAGTGCCACTTTCCACTTTATTGTGCTATTTTGTTGGAGGAAGCCGGAGTGCATGGAGAGAACCACCAACCTTTGATAGGAAAATTGACAATCCCAGTCAATTAAGATTGGAGTCTAGCTAACCTGCCACAACCAGGATTCGAACTCACAATCTCAGTGTTGACAGGCTAGTGATTAAAGTAGTTCAACTACTAAGACCACTTGGACACCAGGGCCCCCATTAAAGCAAGATTCACTGAGATAACGGTAAGTGTAACCAGACTGTCAAGTGAGCTATTCTCATCACTCGGCATCCATCGTCTGTTCACTTGCACAAAAATAGTCTCCTCTTAAAATACTGGATCAATTTGGACCAATTTTCTGTCACAATCATCATTTGGGTATCAAGTTTAAAAAGGGTGACTGATGATCCTGCTTGCCAACCAACATGGCAGACATGGCTAAAAATAGAACATAGGGTAAAATGCAAGTTTTGATGATTATCTTGAAACGGCTATAGAAAGAGAAAATCTGACGGATGTAGAAATGTTCAGAATAATGAGATCTTCCTACTGTGCATTAACACCAAATATGTCGAACAACTCCTTATAAGAGTAATTCCCCTTAAAGGATTTTTTTTTCATTATTATAGATAAATACAATGTTTGCATTTTTTGTCAAAACTATAAATAGAAAACAGAAATAAATGGGGAATGTGTCCAAGGGACACCGATGAGGCCCCCGCTTGCATATAATGTTATAAAGGGATATAACTCAAGACCTGTGAAAGTGACGCTACCCAAATTTGTACTTGATCTGAGTTTTGTGGTAATAAGCATTGTGTATACATTCCATAACATTTGGTTGAGGCAAACTAAAGTAAGAGAACGGAAACGAAAAATTCAGCAATTTTTCCATTTGTAGAGGGACATAACTCTAGAACAGCAAAAGTGACGCCACCAAAATTCAAACTTGATCTGTGTTTTGTGGTTATAAGCATTGTTTATAAGTTTCATAACATTTGGTTGAGGCAAACTAAAGTTAGAGAACGGAAACCAATTTTGGGACGTACAGACAAGGGTAAAACTTAATGCCCCCTCCGCTACGGCAGGGCATAAAAATGTAAACAGTAGAAAAGATCCCAGATATATATGAACGTGGCCGAAAATCTTTGACTCCTGACCTAAAAACTGGATGCCTAATAGGGGATCAAAACTTTTTGATTTGATATAAGAATAAGAAGTTGTGGTATGAAAGTCCAAATGAGGTGGATTATAAGCAAATATAGGTCACCGTAAAGCCTTCGAAAAATGAGAGAAACCCATAACGTATAGTCAGCTATAAAAGGCCTCGACATGACAAAATGTGAAACATTTCAAATGAGAAAACTATTAGCCTGATTTATGCAATGAAAAATGTGACAGACAGCAACCAAATAAAACCACTAAATTGCAGGCTCTTGTCTTGGAACAAGCACTTGAAGAAAGTGACAGGATAAAACATGTTTTTTTTAGAGATAAATCCTCCCCCTAACCTGGCACAGTGGTGAAAGAACAAACCTTAAAAATAAGTTGGAAATAGTTTGACTCATGGAAGACAGAAAGGCCATCAACAAAAAACAATTAAAATAAAAACATAAGACACAAAGTACCAATCTAAGAGTACTCACAGTTTTGAAAGCTAGTTCAGAGCCAATTACAACTAATAAATGATTCATGACTGTATGTACTATCAACTACAAAAACTTTTTTGTTGGCGTCTTTGTCAAATTTACTATCAACTACAACAACTTTTTCGTTGCAGTCTTTGTTAGATTTGTTTGTATGTTTGTTTGAATTTTTTAGTCGGTATTGTTGTATGTCTGTGATTTATGTTTACCAAATTATTGTCACATTAGCCTATTATGTCTTTGGGTTGCTCACCCAATTTTGTCGATAAAACGGAAGTATAAACAGTCACACAAGTGGGAAAATTTGCTAGCTATAAAACCAGGTTTAGCCCATCATTTTCTTAGGAAAAAAGTCAGGAATATGACAGTTGTTTTTCACTTTTTCCATTGGTTGATAACATTTGATTTTGTCAGTTTTTATGGACTTCCCCCTTTTGAATTTACCTTGGAGTTTGGTATTTTTGTTGTACTTTTTTATAGTATGCTCACATGAAGCTTGGGAAGATCTGATTCTGAGGTGCTTGAATTTGATTCTGACACAGTATAAGCGTGCTCACATGAAGCTTGACACCTAATTTCCTTATTTTGATACCAATTCGTAGTTTGTGAGAAAAATGTGACAAAAATTTCATGGGACAGACATTAAGCAGTATTCCCCTTCCATAGGGTGTTATTTGTGGTGATTTATTTACATTTGATTAATTGAGATCCACTTAAAGCTTACTTTACTTTACCATTCTTTGGCTATTGTTGAAAGCCATATTGAGACTTAAAGATGTGTAGATACCATTTATCTTTGGTAATGTTGGTGTGTTTTGTTTATTTATTTATGCATTACTTTTCTTGTTTGAATTGTTTTACATAAATTTCAGGGCCTTTTATAGCTTACTATGTGGTATGGGTTTTGCTCATTGTTGAAGGCCGTACAGTGACCTATAGTTGAAAACTTCTAAGTCATTTAGTCTCTGATAGAGAGTTGTCTCATTGGCAATCATACCACTTCTTTTGATTTTTATATTATTTGAAAACTTGTGAAAAATTCAGGCAGTTTCTAAATTAAAGTATGGTTTCATTGAATGGCTTTAACTATGTGACCATATGAATGACATCTAGAAGTAAGTTTTTACTGGTTTGCTGTTTCGCTGATTTGTTCTGTAAAATTGTTCCATTTGACTAAATTCCTGTAAAAGTAAAATTCAGAGTATCAATTTCAGTATTTTATTTAGGCCCCTGTTAAAATATCTACAGAAGGCAGTGTATAAATACATATTTAAGTAAACATTAATACATTTATATTGGTCTGGCAACATTGTGTGACATAACATTGTATAAAACAGTCATTCTGTTGGGATCATTTATAATTGTAAAGATAAACAGAACTCTTTTTTTTTAAATTTATACATAATTCATTTTTAATTTTAATTACACAGAATGCATAAAAAATTGAAAATAACATTTTATAAGAAGCATAAATTCACCAAAATTCAAACTTGATCTGTGTTTTGTGGTAATAAGCATTGTGTATAAGTTTCATAACATTTGGTTGAGGCAAACTTAAGTTAGAGAATGAAAACGAAAAAATCAGCAATTTTTCCATTTGTAAAGGGGCATAACTCTAGAACGGTTAACGTGACACCACCAAAATTCAAACTTGATCTGTGTTTTGTGGTAATAAGCATTGTGTATAAGTTTCATAACATTTGGTTGAGGCAAACTAAAGTTAGAGAACAGAAACAAATAAATGGGGAATGTGTCCATGGGACACAGATGATGCCCCCGCTTGCATACAACATTATAAAGGGACATAACTCAAGAACGGTAAAAGTGATGCTACCTTAATTGAAACTAGTCTGTGTATTGTGGTAATAAACATTGTGTATAAGTTTCATAACATTTGATTGAGGCAAACTTAAGTTAGAGAACGGAAACTAATTTCGGGACGTACGGACAAGGGTAAAACTTAATGCCCCCTCCGCTACTGCGGGGGCATAAATATTCAGCAATTTTTCCATTTGTAAAGGGGCATAACTCTAGAACGGTTAAAGTGACGCCAGCAAAATTCAAACTTGATCTGTTTTTTATGGTAATAAGCATTTTGTATAAGTTTCATAACATTTGGTTGAAGCAAACTAAAGTTAGAGAACGGAAACCAACTTTGGGACGTACGGACGTACGTACAGACAGACAAGGGTAAAACTTAATGCCCCCTCCGCTACGGTGGGGGCATAAAAAGATGTGTTATAAATCATGCCAGTACCAAAAATTAAAATGTTTCATGCTGTAAATTTTAAGAGTTTGATTTGAGAACATATTGTGTTGAAAACCTTAATGCAGTTGCAAAGGAAAGTATGTCTTGATTCTCCCCCAACTATTTTTGTTAAGTGTAGTACAGTTTAAACATTTATCTTTTACAAGATGATAAAACAGTTATCAAAATATTCAGTTTTTGTGTTTGCTAAAAACATTTTGTTATTTCAATGCTTGTTAATCTAGACAATATTTTTTCATTTGAAGTAAGTTTTTTTTTCAGGTTCCTTCCTTGCTTCAGCTCACAAGCAAATAAAAATAAGAAAATATGCATGATATAGCAGGACTTGATAAAAACACATCTTTACAATTGTTTGTCAAATCCATAAAAAAATGTTAAAATAAAAAAAACGCAAAAAAAATAAAAATATTCTTGTAATGAAGTCTCATGTTTGAATCTTGATTATTATTTGTTGAGTAGAAAGAACCATTTATGTATTGCAAGTCTTTAAAAATACTTTAAAATTATTGCAATCAGTCTTTTCATACCCGTGTCTAACTATCACTCCTCATGTTTATCTCTAATTTCAAAAGCAATATAACTAATTCAGTAAGATCATGTTACATCCTCAGGACCCCAATTTTAATGTCAACTGAAGCACCTTAGAAACTTTTTAAAGGAGTTATTTCCCTTTCTGTATATCACACAAGAAGTCAGTGTAACTTACACAAACTTTAAGCTGTAAAAGCTAATATTTCTTAAAGACAAAATGGCTGAGGAATTGAACATTTAATAATTATTAGAAATTAATCTGTGTCTAATTCTACAATAAATGTACTTCCAATTCATTGCCATGTTGTATATCTCTCCACTGGTTTCTAAGTAACAAAATAAATTTGTCCATTTCCTTTTCACTCTGAATGAACAACATTATTTCAATTTCTGGTGGAGATTGTCTCCCCTTGGAATCACTGTCTAAACTAAAGTGATCAGCATCCACCACAATATCATCTGGTTCATCAGAGAAGATGAGTGTCGCTATCTTACTGTCTTCTTTGAACAATAATATTCTCTTCAGAAAATCTACTTTCCTGCATTCAGTCAAGACATATCTTGGCGTGTTGGGAATTCCCCTTACAAAGTCTGGCAATGGATAACTTACAACATCTTCATTTATAATACACAAGTACTGATTGGTTAGAACGATGGACTTTGCAAATAAGTCAATCCCATCTGATTCAGATGACCTTATATAGCCCTGTAAGTACATCAAAATGTCTGCCTTTCTCTTAGCATTAAGAGGCAATCGTAAATGTTCAGTAATGACATACAGTAGATCTGTGATGACATCCTCTCCTGGATAAACAAACTGTACACGACTCGGGTGAGTGTATTCCATGCCTTCAATAGTCGTCTTTGTACGTTTATCAAATGCTCTATAAAAATCTTGTTCTAAGTCACTTGAACTCTTCTCTAACATTGGTGAGGACTGGAAAATGGAAAGCATTGCATTGAGGTAGTGCAATACCTTTTGTGTGACCATAGAATCACGAGTAACAATTGTGTAAACAGAATTCTGATCTTTTCCAGTGATACGAACGCATTGATCAAATAAGCCAATGTTGACCTGTTTGAGGTCACGGTAATTAAAGACATGATATGATCTGATGATTGTCCCTCTACTCTGCGAGCTATGAATTATCCCTGAACTGTGATGTTTGTCAAGATGTTTAACCTGGAATCCAATTACAGAGTCTGATTTATTACGGGAGTGAGTCATCCAGGACGGACGTTCAACCACTGGAGACTTGACAAGCTGTTCAGAAATAAAGTACATGGATCTTGTGCTAAACATGATCAGAGTAACAATTTCATGTTTAATATCTTGGTAGGGTACAACTGTACCCCACATGACATGATGTAATTGCTCCTGTTCTGAACCAATCAGAGAAATATCTGAATGAAAGTAATGCACCAAGTCATTACCAGAGGCTTTAGCTAACATTTCCAGCTTGGATGTTAATGGTTTTATCAAACTGTAGCATTGGAGTGACTCTTGTAAGTGTGATCCTAACTCAGGAGTTAGATAAGGAACATCAAATAATTTATTTGACAGTCCCGAAAGCCCTAATTGTTCGGAGTGGACATTTGTACCCGCCACAGTAAATGACCTATCTTTACATGTCACATTACTGGCTGGACAATTTCTGATATTTATATCTCCGTCATCTTCAGAAGAAATATCCTGACTGTCAGAGGATTCATTACCTCCTTCTGGTTCCTCCCTAATTGTAGGTGACATCTGGTGAGCATGTTCAGACCTAAGATTAGTTAATCTGTCAAGAAATGCATCTCTGGATTTCACTGAGAAAAAAGACACATGAAAGCCTACAGGGCCAATCAGTTCATGAAATATCATTGAAAATCCATATTTTTCAAATTTGATTTCATTTTGATGTGGCAGTGTTTTATGAGAGTGTTTCTCTTTGAATGTTATGTTGATTGTGATATCACTAATTTTGGTGCCAATGGAATGATTCTGAAGGAATGTGAAGTTAGGAGATTTAATGTCCTCTAATACTGTGATGTATGAAGGCTTTGGCCAGAACAGACAATCTAAATCAATTAAATATACACTGTTTTCTGATAAAAGTAACATGGCCATTTGTTCTATACCAGCTATGGTTACACACATGGCAAATGCTAGTCGTCCAGTACTTAGACCTTGTTCATCCTCCAGCTTAAAGATATGCTTAGCAAGGTCTCCATACTGAGAATGTTTGGTGATAGGTGATACTCCAGCCGAAGCTTGATCCTGCTTTAAGGAATTTTCTACTCCATCAGCGAATGATTTTCCAGCATCTGCATCAGTAACAACTAATGCAAATGTTCCGCTTGAGGAAACAAATGACTCTTCCAATCGAATAAATGAGTAGCATGCACCAATCAGAACCTCATGTATATTTGACAATGGCATAATGTAAAATGTCTCCATGTCTGGAATGTTCATAGATGTAGATTTTCCCTTTTTCAGTCGTAAAATAAAGATTCTTCTTTCAGTTAACACCACACAGCTTGGTTCTATCACCTGTTGGTTTGAATACTGAACAACCATGCACCATAAAATGTCAATGATCTTTTCTGCTACAGGTTCACAGTCGGTTAATGTTCCAAACAACCTTTTCTGCATCCAGTTAGAAAATTCTTTGTGGTACATTGTGGGTAATTTACTACAGTTAACTGCTGAGCTGTCCTTGGATGATTTCACCATTTTTTCTGTCATTTTATGTCCTCTAAAATAAAATAAAATTTTTCATAAAATAAACAATTTTGAATGAAATATAAATAATAACAAAATTGGTTCTTATAGGTTTTCCTCGTTGTTGCCGTACTGTGACCTATAGTTGCTTAAATTCTAGTCTTTCAGACATTGGTAAATGTCTGTCAGACAATCAATAGCTTTCTCCTTCAATTGAAAAAAAAATTGGACCATTAAACTAGCAAATTATCTAACTGCAGTGCAATATTTTCCAGGTTATTGTTATATCTTAGATAAAAGTTAGCTTTAATCATTTCTCTTCATAAATTAATCGAATTATTAACTGTTGGATTATATTATTTAAAACCTTTTTGAAGTTACGTTGACAATGCAATACAATTTCAATTTGATTTTTCCATGTCAGGATTTTACTTCGACAAAATAAGCAAAGCAAGCAAGCAATTGTCTTTATCTAAAAACAATTTTAAAAAGGGCAAATGGAAGAATATGACTTAGGATTTATATTACTGTGTATTCATTATTATTTATTATATATCAATTTTCATGGATTTCATAGGCATGGGTAAACCATGTATTCAAATGTTCAATGAAGTACAAATTTTCTATTATAGGCTATTTTTGTTGTTAGGGATGAGGGATGTATAAATACCCTGCCACGTCCGGACTGTGTTTTTGTTTGATGAGTTTTCAACTGATTTTTTATAGTTTGTTCTTATGTTGTGCTGTTACACCACTGTCCCAGGTTAGGGGAGAGTTGAGCGCTCAAAAACATGTTCAACCCAGCAACATTCTTTATGTGCCTGTCCTAAGTCAAGAGTCTGTAGTCTAGTGGTTGTTGTTGGTTCGTGTCTGGCATACTTGTATTCGTAAATCGTTTTGTTATAAATTAGGCTGTTAGTTTTCTCAATTGAATTGTTTCATATTTTTCATGTCGGGCCTTTTATAGCCCACCATAGGGAATGGGTTTTTCTCATTGTAGAGATAGTTGTCTCATTGGCAATCATACTACATCTCCTTATTTTTATATTGTATACAGACCTAGGTAAAACCACGAAATTACTTTTTTCTCAATCCAGGAAAATTGGTACAACCAAAATAAATGATTCCACAGTTGCTTTTTAGCAGTGAAATTTGTAATGTTAACACAAATACAGGAGCAGGCAATAACTTTTCCATTCATTTTAATATGTATTTGATGAAGTTAAGGCTTTTTATCTGTGGGATGCAACAAATTGTAATTTTTTAAAACAAATTTGCCATTGTTGTAATATGGGGAGGATGGGAGTACTTTTTTATAAATTAGAATTTAACTGTCCACACATATACCGCTGGACGCTAAGCAGCCATCCATAATCATCATCCACACTTATACTTACACCATGGTTTGTTCTTCCAGATGATCCTGTTTGTGCTGAAAATAACAAAATCATTTATTATTCCATGTGTGTATGTGTATTCAATGCAGGAGAAATGTTTCTACTATAAAGTATCACTTTATCTGAATCATATATAAAGGGTATTCATGGTTTGTGTGCCTTCATATTTTTATTTTTGACAGTTTGCTCTGAATACAATATCAAGTAGAAATTTGGGATTTTTTATAGGTGCTTAGGAAAATACCAATAAACACACCATCTATGGTCTTTCAACTCTTTCTCTGCTACATCTCACCGCAGAGAAATCACCATCAATCACATTTTAGCGCACAACTCCTCCTAGATTTCAAAATAAACATATTCCAATATGTATGTTTTATAAATTTGATGATTGATTGATTGCATGATTGATGGGTGTTAAATTCCTAGTGGCAATTCAGGACAAAAACATGTATATGTCATAAAATTACATTTTGCTATGTCTTAAGACTGATATGAGTTTAATTCTTAGCATGACAGCTTACAAAGATATAGCCCACAGGAGGACATAAATCTTCCAATACATAGAGTCCTACTTTAAGTTAACCAGTCTTTTTTTGTAACTGTAAGTACTGTAAATTGGTGATTTGTGTCCTGTATCATTCTATTAATGGGGGGTTGTTCTTTGTGCTTAGTACAAATCAGATAAGTCAAGACCTTTTCAAATGATTTTTACTGTTTGTTGTAATGTTGTACTGTTCCATGTAAGGGGATGGTTGAGGGCTCACAAACATATTAAATCCTGCCACATACTTTATGTATCCATCCCATTCAGAAGCATTTGGTTTAGTAGTTTTCATTGGTTGCTGTCATTATAAATGTTTTTCATTTAATGGTATTAGCTAAATCAGGCCGTTGATTTTCTCTTTTGACTTGTACAACTTCCTTCACCCAAGGCATGAAAGCTAGGATGATATTTCTCAAGTGGATTTTAAAAATATAAATTTCCTAAGGGCTTGCAAGCAAACATTTTCAAAACAAACTATACAAGAATGTTTTTAGGGTTTTGCAGAACACTGTGTCTTGCCTAAGATTCTACTGTCAGTGTAAAAGTGTAATTCTGACTGCCAAAAACAAAAAACAAAGTCTATTTACCAGTAAAATACAGAAAAACATAAAAAAAAAGATTTCTTCAGATACTATTTATACTTGACCATGAAGAAACTTCTGTCTAAGTATTGTAACATTCCACAAAGGTAGCCAGATGGCTATGTCTCACATCTGCAAATTTCTTGCAGGCTCAACAAAAATAAAATTGTTCCTCAATCCACAAAATTGGTGACCATAAAAATAAACGGTTGACACAGAAAATGTCACAATTTTTTGTAATTTGGTAGTATAATGAAAATACTGAATCCAAATGGTAATATTTTAACACGTAAACTATGCAAAACATTCAAAGTCAATGAACCATGACTTAGGGTGCAGGACCAATGGAACCTTGGTGGAAATTAAACATGCCAATGCTTATTAAACTGCATACCAAATACCATGACTTATCACCAAATACCATGACTTATCACCAAATACCACTGACTTACCATAAGTGGTTCCCTTGATACTAACCTAAGTTAATAGACCATGACTGAGGGGGCAGGGCCAAATTATCTCCATGGAAATGAGATGTGCCAATGTTAATACAACTGCATACCAAATACCATGACTTATCATAAGTGGTTCCCTTGATACTAACCTAAACACAAACTTTAACTTGTAAACAATTTAAAAGTTTCAAAGTCAATGAACCCTGATAGTGAGTGGGGCCAAATAATCTCAATGGAAAAGAAGACTTGCAAATGCTAATATTATCATTGACTTAACATTAGTGGTTCGTCTTAAATTGATCTAATCACAAACTTTAACATGCAAACTATGCAAATATTCAAGCCAATAGACCATGACTGAGGGGCGGTGCCAAATAATCTCCATGGAAATGAGATGTGCCAATGTTAATACAACTGCATACAAAATATTATTGACATACCACTAGTGGTTCCCCTCAAACTGACCTAATCACAAACTAATACATTGTTGATGATGCAGACGTCGGAAATAGCATACCCAATCTCTCGCTTTTATACTCTTTCAAGGCAAGACAATAAATGAATCTGCAGTGGTATCAAGAATTCCGCAAACAAAATAAATCACCACTGTAATAGAACTTACCTCTGATGTTAGTGAAGACATGCTTGAAGTGCTTGATGTTCTGTTCTGGCCAGATGATTTAGTGTTGGATGATTCTTGGTTAATACTTGATGATGAAAGACTAGTGGGACGAACTGTACTCCAACCTAATTCTAGAAATTCAACATATACATAAATATTTACTGCTGGTTTATATGACTGTTGCATTCCTTTTTGGTTATTTCAACTTATTAAACAACAAGGGGGGGGGGGGGGGGGAGAAATGGTACTATAAATTCTTAAGTTTTTATACATGTAATTGCAAAGTGTGACAGAGTAGGTTTTGCAAAATTAAAAACTCACATTTTAAATTTAATAATAATAATCATAATAATTTGTAATAATATTTGTATACAATATTTCCTCAAATTCTAATAATCTCACATCTTAGTGAATTGTTCAACAATAAATGCACACAGAAATTTCTTAACCTACAACACTCATCAGAAATATCAAAAGTCAATAATATATACACATCATGTGAGAATATGCAAATAAATGGATAAAAGACTCAAATGCCTGAATGTTTCTTAAACAACAGAAACATTCAAATATATGGAGATATAAAATGGGAATAAATCTCTAATCAACTACAAAATGAGTGGTGTACAATTCAATAGGTATACAAACTTTCTGTGAAGTTTCAAGGATCTATAGGTCACTTTTCCCTGACCGACCACTTACCCAACATCCTGACATCATTAGACTATATATACTTCCCATTTGATGTGTCAATCGTTCTGATATGCAATATGGGAAATTTAAATTTCAACTTTACTTTAAGAGTTTAAACTGTCTAAACTTCTCTTATATAAAGAACATTTTACAACACTAAGACTTTTGGCTTTTGAAATTTGAAGAGAATATCTTACATTGTACATGATAATTTATTATTATTTACGGCAAAATCCATTGTGATTTTATTTGATTTTATTTGTTATCAAACAATGACAATAAAGTTGGTGAATACAGGACTGGTAATAGTGTACTTGGGATGAGAAGATGGTGAAAGTTGGTGATAACAGCAGAAAGCAGGCATATGCTAATTAAGTATCTTGCAACTGTCAGTTTAATTTAAAATATAGCAATATTATTTAGATGAAACTACTTATGTGAATTTCACCACGCTATCAACTGATGCTTAATCTAAATCATTCAACTTGGATAAAAAAATAATCTATTACATTGTACATCTATAACTGTCAAAAAGAACTTCCTTATTCCCTAAATAGTTCCACACTTTTTACTACAATATTCTGTGTAAACACAGTGATTGGTAGATGACTGTAAACAAGGTGTAAAGGAAGGAAGATACATACTTCATTACCTGAAGTTTGACTGCTCTCAGATTCTCTTCTCAAACTTGTATAGGATGTCTGAAATACACAATAAACATAATTGAGGTAGTTCGGGTTAGGTGGGCGGGTTGAGTTTAAACCCACCACATTCTTTTAATGTGCCCTTCTTACGTCAGGAGCCTGTAATTCAGTAGTTGTAGTTTGTTGCTGTCTGGCAAATGTTTTTCATTTGTATTAGCATAAATTAGGTCATTGGATTTCTTTTTTAACTCTTTCTCGTTTTTTCAAGGCTATATCTTTTTATAGCTTATAATAAAGTTTGGGTTTTTCTCATTGTTGAAGGACAAACAGTGACTTATAGTTGCTTACATCCTTGTCCTTTGAATGAACCTTTGATCCTTTATTATGAAATATTTTATCAATATACCAATTTATTCTTTCTTCAATAAAACATTATCAGTGTATCCTATCAAATTTTAATGGATTCCGTCTTTGCCTATGAATTTACATTTTACATATTTTATCTATGTACCCATCATGCAGCATTCTGATAAATTCTATCAGGTATAAGAGATATCAGTTATATTTCTTTAAAAACATACAACAATCTGATCTATTTTTTCTACCATGACAATAAATAAATAAACATACAGTTTTTTCTTTCTCCATCTTTTCTTTCTTTTCTTTAGATTTCTGTATTGCTTGAACAACTCTGACGGTATCTAGTTCCTTCTCTGTCGGTTTATCTTGATCCAGTGTAGCCTGAAAGTAAGTTATGTTTTAAATGATTTTTAATGTAAATTATGTTTATTCTCCCCTTAATATGTAGATTTTAGTATGAACATAGCCTTATTCAGAAAAGTGATTCTTATATTTATACAGATTTACACACTTATAATGACAAAGAAAGGATATAGTGTATAAATTTATAATACAAAATCACTACAGGTAAATGTTTAAGTAGTTGAGCCAAGAGCGCAAGCAATGCCTTGCCTTTGCATGAAATTGTTGCCTGAATAAAATGGAATATTTAGAAGGTATCGTACAAGAAGTTAGAAAATGGCTCTGTAGAAAAATTTAATAAGGATATCCCAGTGTATGGATATTGCCTTAAATATGACTGTTAAAAAGACCTATAACTTTGGAAAGCAGTTACAGATACAAAAGTGAGACAGCAGAAAGGACAGACTTCCCCCATCACTATATACTGTCTGCTTTATAAAACAGGGGGTATAATAAATACTAATAAAGCTTATAGAGGGTAAGTAAGTCAAGTACTGATATGATAATGAAAAGTTGCATTCTCGTAATATTTGCAACTGCTCTGGTCAATAAGGGATTAATAGGTCAATCAATAAAAAAATCCTAATCAAGTCTCATACTTACTTCAACAACCCTGTCACCAAACATAGCTAAGACCTTAGTTCTGTAGTCTAGTACCCCAGTAACCGGGTTCCCCGTCAAATACAGACATTCTAAGCATGGCAGTCCACAAACATATTTAACTTCTGGTATCTGAAAAAAAAAATGAATATGAAAGCTTCACTTACAAATTTTATCAAAATAAATTCAGTTTCAATATTTTCTTTTCAAGTGGACTTTTCAAGTGGACTTGGAAAAAGGGTGAAGGTTTGGTACCATTAAAACGTTTAAACCCGCTGCATTTGTTTGCACCTGTCCTAAGTCAGGAATCTGATGTTCAGTAGTTGTCGTTTGTTGATGTGGTTCATAAGTGTTTCTCGTTTCTCGTTTTTTATATAGATTAGACCGTTGGTTTTCCCGTTTGAATGGTTTTACACCAGTAATTTTTTGGGGCCCTTTATAGCTTACTGTTCGGTGTGAGCCAAGGCTCCGTGTTGAAGACTGTACTGTGACCTATAATGGTTTACTTTTATAAATTTTGACTTGGATGGAGAGTTGTCTCATTGGCACTCATACCACATCTTCTTATATCTATTTAGACTGTATCTTACACAAACTTAAAAGCAGTCCAGTTACACTGTATTAAACTTGTAGGCAACAGGTTAATAAGTATATTAGAACAAGCATTCTGAGAGTATTGCATGGCAATACATAGTCCCCTACCGGGTAAAAATTCATTATACTGGAACAAAATGCTAACTTGTTCTATAACTTGTCATGGTGTAAACAAAATGTAAATATAATGTCAATATCTTCAAGCATGACTAAAAACAGTGTTGAAAACTGATTATATGAGTGAATTTTTCAAGTCCAAGGACCATAACACTGCACAAAATTATTATACAGAAACAAAAATTTGAACTTGATCTGTAACTTGTCATGATAAAACTATATACCAATTATCAATCAATATCTTATAAGCATGATGAAAAAAACATTAGATGTGATTAATAGTTCTCTAGAATTAGATATGATGTAATACAGTGTATATCTATTTCAAATTATAATCAGATATAATTAATAGTTCCAAATATTTTTTCTTTCATTTGTCACAAACTAATATAGATTTGTAACTTATCTATAAAATGTCAACAACTTTTATCTACACCATGTAATGTATTGAAATATATACATAAATAAAAATAGATTATTATCTAATTAAAGGATTTCTCTTCATAATTTTTTTTGATATATATAGCATTCAGAAAATTAGTTTATACTAAATAACAAACAAACCTGTCAAAAAATTCTTCAAATAATTTAACAAAGAATGTCTTTTAAAAAATGAGTTATCTCCCTTTGTACAGAAATATGGTTTAACATAGTACTCTAACATTAGATATGGTCCAGAGTTATGGTCCATAACTCTGAACTAAATCATCAGACTGGAACAAAATTCGAACTTGATCTATAACTTGTCATGATAAAACTATATACCAAATATCAAATCAATATCTTCAAGAACGAAGAAAAAAAGTGTGGAAAACTGATTTGCCGGACTGACGGATGGACAGACAGACGGACAGATGGATGGAGTGCAAACATAAAGTCCCCTTTGACTTCGTGGGTAGGGGACTAATAAAAGTTGGTCTGGTAAATGGGTAATAGGTGCAAGGTTTAGGTAAACATCTATTTAATATCAAATATTCAAATCATTATATCAACAAACAATATGAAAAACTAACCTGTGAGATGTTGTTATCCATAACATCTAAATTCTCCAATGAAAATAGCTTTGACAAACCTATAACAGAATACATGTATCAGAAAATTAACAACACTTTCTGTACCTTTGTTATCTGTCCTATCAAAGAACTTAAAAAGTCATTAAATACCTAAAATGTTATGTTCCCTCTAAAAAAATCTATATTTTCTGTGCAATGATTAATGACTTTTTTCTCCATCAAATTAAAATGTGTTATCATGGACAAATGTTACTTATATTAAGAAGCAAATGAAACCTTTCCACAGAATCAGTTGGAGTTTACCTGGACATTTAAATTCTGCAAAGTTAATTGTCCTATCAAAATGAACACAACAGCTATTGTTCTCTGTTCCACATGTGTTTTCATTACTAGGAGTTATTTTTTATACAGCCAATTAATCAAAGAATAATAGGTTTTTCAAAGAGAAATTTTAAATTCCTGTCCAATGAACTCCGCAAACAACAATAGTTATTGTGTTTATTCAATAGGACAGTTCACTTTGCAAAAATTAAATGGCCAGGTGAACTCCAAGAGATTCTGGGGAAAAGGTTTCATTTCCTTCACAATAACATTATCTATCTACAGTACAAGTCTTTTGAATCAGTATCCATATAGACAGTTAAAAAAGTTTTTCTGTTGATATGCTGAATGGTTTGTGTGTATAATTAGTGCACATAATTCAACTTTGCTTATTTGTAAAAAGAACCATGAATTCTTTATCAAATAAGACAAATACAGAAACCAACTGGTTCTACAGGTTCCCTCAAGCTTTCATTGCCCATTCCATTGTTTTACACTAATGACAGTCCTGCAATAGGTTGTAAACAAGTCTTAATATGGATTCATTATTATTTGTGGGTAACCCATTTTCATTGATTTCGGGGTATAGGGAAACCAAAAAGTTCAAGCTTCAACAAAAAATTGGTACCCACAAAAATAAATGAACCCACAGAATATTGATAAGGGTCTTACTTTAAATGCAAACTTTAATGAAAACATTGCACTCACTTAAACCATAAAATAAGGTTCCACCTACCACTGAGACTACTGAGTTTATTGCCAGCTAGATTGAGTTTCTTTAGATTTCCTAGTTTGGTATGTAGTGAGTCAAGATGACTGATGTTATTGTATGACAGATTAAGTATGGTCAGCTGACTTAACCAATTCAGATGTTCTATTGATTCTAGTTTGTTGTAACTCAAGTCAAGTACTTCTACTCTTGGTAATAATTGCTGTAAATATAGAACAAAAAGTGGCTTGTTAAGTGTTTTATTATATACTTACTAATAAATACACGGTAATGTTATGTGTAATACAATCAATGGCAATTATTCTGTGATGATATCAATATTTGTTGCAGTTCACACGCTTTATAGAACCTTAACAGAAAATGTCAGTTTTAAAGTATATAATGAAGTGCATATGATATGGCTTTTCAATATCGCACACCATGTTAACCCTCAACCAATTTAATTCATCTAGCAGAGCTCTACGGGTTATATTGGTGTCTCTGGTTGATATAGGTGTGATATTGAAAATGCCATATATCATTTCATTTTTATAACACAGAGTTGTGACGACTTACCACACTATCATCTATGTGTAATATAGAGTTGTGACTTACCACACAATCATCTATGTGTAACATAGAGTTCTGATTTACAATCCTATCATCTATGTGTGATATAGAGATGTGACTTACCACAGTATAATTTATGTGTAATATAGAGATGTGACTTACCACACTATCATCTATGTGTGATATAGAATTGTGACTTACCACACTATCATCTATGTGTAATATAGAGATGTGACTTACCACAGTATAATCTATGTGTAATATAGAGTTGTGACTTACCACAGTATAATTTATGTGTAATATAGAGTTGTGACTTACCACAGTATAATCTATGTGTAATATAGAGTTGTGACTTACCACAGTATAATTTATGTGTAATATAGAGTAGTGACTTACCACACTATCATCTATGTGTGATATAGAATTGTGACTTACCACACTATCATCATCTGGTGATATAGAGTTGTGACTTACCACACTATCATCATCTGGTGATATAGAGTTGTGACTTACCACACTATCATCTACTGGTGATATAGAGTTGTGACTTACCACACTATCATCTATGTGTAATATAGAGTAGTGACTTACCACACTATCATCTATGTGTAATATAGAGTTGTGACTTACCACACTATCATCTATGTGTAATATCTATGTGTAATATAGAGTTGTGACTTACCACACTATCATCTATGTGTAATATAGAATTGTGACTAAAATCAACTTCTATCAAATTCTCCCAATGTGATACAACCATAGTACCATCCTCGGCTTTCCAATGGGGAATATCTTGTAACATTATATCCTTTAATCAACAAAACAGTGAATTACTTTACATAAAGGTCATACAATGTTAGTAGTCTACTAAATTCTACTTTACTAAATTCTGTCATAGATACAAAGATTTGGTTTGAAAGTTTAGCTGTACCTGAAAAAATCTTATTACAAATGGGATAGCAAATCATAATATTAACTGTGATGTTGTTTAACAAGCCTGTAATTTTTGGGGCCCTTTATAGCTTGCTGTTCGGTGTGAGCCAATGCTCCGTGTTGAAGGCCGTACCTTGACCTATAATGGTTTACTTTTATAAATTGTTACTTGGATGGAGAGTTGTCTCATTGGCACTCATACCACATCTTCCTATATCTGTAAATTTAGATACGATGTTGGTAAACTTATCTATCCTTTAAATAAACTTGTTTTAAAAGGTTACCAATACAACACTTTAATTAGATCTTTGAAGACTGTTTTTATAATAATAGTAAATATTGATTTGTTTTATCATAAATTAAAACCCCAACTAAATATTAGTTTTATACACATATATATATGTACATTCAAGGTCCCACAATCTGTTTATACCTGTATTTTGGCATTGCACATAGTCATGTTTTTCTCAGACTGTTAATGACATCTTTACACTAAATCTATTGGATGTTGGATGTGATTGATATTTTAGTCTTAGATATATGATTTTTTCTGTGAGTACTCTCAGATCTGTACTTTAAGTTTTAAGTCTCTTTTGTGGGTTTTTTTTGTACTTTTTATTGATCTGTGAGTTAAGCCTTTTTCAACCGATTTTTATAGTTTGTTCTTATTTTGTACTGTTAGATCACTGTCCCAAGTTAGGGGAGGGTTTGGCGCCAGCAAACATGTTTAACCATGCCACATTCTGTATGTGCCTGTCCCAATTCAGTGCTTGTCGTTTGTTGTTTATTGTTTTGTACATTAATCAGGCACTTAGTTTTCTGGTAAGAATTGATTTACATTTGTCATTTTGGGGCCTTTTATAGCTTACTATGCCGTATGGGTTTTGCTCATTGTTGAAGGCCGTATGGTGACCTATGGTTTGTACCTTCTACGTCATTAGGTCTTAGGTGGAGAGTTGTCATACCACATCTTCTTATTCTTACAAGTGACATGCATGAGTTCTCTTGTATTAAAAGACTTACCCTTATGGAATTTAAAGAATAATGTATAAACAAATGTTCTATCGACTGTTTATTTGTCTCTAAACCAGATATCAAGAATGGATCACTATGCTCTATCTGAAAATTATCAATTGAAAACATGCTTATTGTTCTTAAGGTAAGTATAAAACATACTGTGATAGTTTATTTTTCTAATATATATTCCTTATTATAAACTACCACTGTAATGATCTTTTAATCTCCATTAATATGGTCATTTCAGTATCATCAATCTTACTCATCATTGCTTATTTATGAAAATAGTTTTCAATAAATTGCTTGTCGAGCGCAGCTGGATACGACCGCAGTGGTCCAACTCTGAACAGTTGGGGCAAAATTGGACGCAATATTCGCGCTTGATACAGGTCTGAATTTGGATTGTAATTAAATATTTGACACATAAAAGGTTTCTGACACAGAATAACTGTAGTCAAAGAACTTGGAATTGGTTATATGATTTGAATTTATATTCAATTTTTTGCTTTTGTGCAATACACTTTGCTGTTGCGAATTGACCCCCCATCCCCCCACAAAAAAAAATAAAAAATTTACCCCCCCTTTTTTTTTTGCTTTTGTGCAATACACTGTGCTGTTGTGTATTACTCCTCCCCCCCCCCCCCCCCCCCCCCCTCCCCCCCTTTTTTTTTGCAAAAAAAATAATATTTGAAGAATTTTTCTTTTTAATTTCTGAAATCTGAAATGAGAAAAAATTGACCCACCACAATTTCTTTTTACCCCCCCCCCCCCCCCCACATTTTCCCCCCAAAAAAATTCTTTCCCTCAAGATATGGTCATAATCTCAATTCAAATTTCCAATGGAGTTTGCAACCATAATTACCCATTTAAATTTACCATAGTCCTAACTTAATCTATTTTTAAATAGAAATTAAAATATGGTGTCAAATCTTTCATATGGATTTTTTTGTAAAAAAAAAAAAAGATGCAACATTTGCAGATATTTTTACTGGTCTTCCTTTATAAATATGCATTTCTTTAAACATAATTTAAAAGCAGTGTAAGGGAGGTAATCAAAACGTTGTATTTGGATTACCTCCCTTACACTGCTTTTAAATTGTCTTAATTGTTCATTAACCATTACTTTCTACATAACTTAAAAGCAGTGTAAGGGAGGTAATTCAAATGATGTATTTGAATTACCTCCCTTACATGGCTTTAAATTATTTTTTGTACTAAAGTTTTCGTCCATTAACCAGGACACCCTTGTTTTTCCCCCTTTTTTGCCCCTTATTCCTAAACGGTTTGAGCCATAACCCCCCAAAGCAAATCATAACCATCCCTTTGTGGTATGGAAACTAGTGGTATAATTTCAGAGAGATTCATACACTGTTCCACAAGTTATTGTCTGGAAACTAGAAAAATGCTTATTTTTGGCCCCTTTTTGGCCCCTAATTCCTTAACTATTGGTACCATAACCCCCAAAATCAATCCCAATCTTCCTTTTGTGGTATTGAACCTTATGGTAAAATTTCATGGAGATCCATTCACTTAAACTAAAGTAATTGTGCGAAAACCAATGTGTCCCTGGACGACAATGACGACGCCATTGCATACCAATATACGACCGCAAAATATAAAAACATAACATCATTTTAACTGAACTCCAAACAGAAAGAAAATAACATTCTAGCTATCGCATGGTATAATATTTATGTCAATGTATTATGCTGCTAATTAAATCATTATCACAAAACTGTAATATTTGTAAGTGCTTTAATGTGTGATGAGATTTCCATTTTGTTATATAATTACATATATATATATATATATATTAGGTTGATTTTCTAGGCACTTTATATATATATATATATATATATATATATATTAAATTTAAAGTTAAGATCCATTTATTACATCTTGTGATCCGTTTATTTGGCAATCGCCAATGGCAGTCAGCAGGATTTAAGAACATTTGTTGTTCGACCTGTTAGTCAAATGCGTTTTGTTAAAATATACTTTTTCACTTTTTTGGTCTTTTGGAAAATGTTGTTTGTGCTGTATTTAGACCCCTCTAACAAGAAATTTGTTTTGCATGCACACGTATAAAAATTGCGGTTTTTATCCAACGCAATCATAGGTTTGAACGTTGTTTTCAATTTAGACTTGTATATATATATATATATATATAAGAAAAATAATATAAGATAATGACGGTTTCAATTCATCACTTTTACTAGCGCTTTCACTGCTTTCACAGATCTTCACATCACTTTTACTAGCGCTTTCACTGCTTTCACAGATCTTCAGGTATTACCTGAAGATCTGTGAAAGCAGTGAAAGCGCTAGTAAAAGTGATGAATTGAAACCGTCATTATCTTATATTATTTTTCTTATATGTTACCAGCATACGGATTCTATTTGACTTTTCTTTATATATATATATATAAGTATCCTGGATTTTGATTGATTGAGAGCTAGTGTGTTTTTCATGCATTTTCTTAAGACAATCTATTTGTCCTGTAGGTACACAAAATTCCTGTGACTATTGCATTGAATAAATAAATAAAAAAAAAACATCATCATAAATCATCATCATAAATCATCTCATCATAAATCATCATCATAAATCATACTTCTAAACATTCCAATGACTTGTACAAAGTCAAATCAAACTTTAGCTTTGCCATGAGTATATTACTGGTTCCTACTTTGTGTTGTTGACCTTTGACCTTAAAATATATATAAACAATATCAATAAGAATAAGAATATCTATTGAATCCTATTAAAGGGCCAGTTTCCGAGCATATACATATATATATATATAATATTAATTATACAGTTATTTTTAAGATATATTACGTTAAAAATAAATGAATAAATAACTATACTCCATACCAGATATCAATATGATAAACCGTTTAAAGTTATTGCAAAAATTTCCAAACATAATTCCCTTAAAAAATTTAAATCAGAATGAAATTTCACCCTTTGATAATGATTTTCTCATTCATTCAACTTTTAATGAACAAAATAATTGGGTCATGTATCTTGCCTAATCAAAAAGATATTGTTTTGTCAGTCCATTATAGTTTTCAAGATATTAAGCAAAAATTAAAAAGGCGTTAAAATTGTTATTTCAAGGGCAACAACTCCTTTAAGGAGTTGATTGACAATCTCATTCATATTAAATTGTTTACAAAATTAATTGTTGCAAATTGTTTTCCATATTTCTTATAATTTTCATGAAAAATACACCCCTAATTTACTGAAATAAATTAAACTCTAAAATCTGTACATCTTTTCAAGCACAAAGAAGATCCAAAATATCATATGAAGAGTGAATTCCATGTAGTACTTCAGAACATTATAAATATTGCACAGTTACAGTCACTATACATACTACTATACTAACATGTAAACATTTAACTCTGGTTATAAAATCCAAAATATGTCCTATGTCTTTCTTTGTATCTCCACTATCTGTAAAACATATGTTGGTAATAAAATATCCATTTTTCCTATCACAAATCTCTAATTTTCTATCACAAATATTCATGTTTTCTATCACAAATATCCATGTTTTCTAACATTTTCTGTGGTTCAATACAAATACAGCTGATGGTCTATACAGTAAAGTTAGTGAAATCATAAAGATAATTCATAAACCTGTAAATGATCAATGGCCAGGCCTCAAAAGAAAAATTAATTCACATTGAATATTAATTCAAAACATCAATTCACATGTATATTTAAAAAAAAAATACATACTTTTTAAAAAGAAATCTAAATGCCAAGCTAATCATTTTAATCTAAATTAATATTTTTTTTTAGCTTGCAGTGTTTTAAAGTATTAAAAGAACTGTATCTGGTATTAAGAAAGATGTCTTTTAATTCAATGAAGTTAGCTACATTAATTCTGTGACATTAGTAATAGTACACCAGTGAGTTGTCAATATCAGACATACAGGTAGTCGTTATCTGTATATGCAAATCCCTAAATAGAACTGTCACAATTATTTGCCTGAAAAATCTTCAATAATTTTCCTTTAATATAACTAGAGCCTCTAAAGTGCCTGTGTCGCTCACCTTGGTCTATGTGCATATTCAACAAAGGACACTCTCCAACATTATAGACGAGAATAGAATTCATGACAAAAATCTGTTTTGTTGATTTTGTATTGCTGATCATTTAACCTGTTTAGTTTCTATCTTCTTTAATTTTTGCTCAAAACACAATAGAGGATTAAAAATTAAGCACAATCACTTCTATAAAGAGTGACAGTTTACTAACTATATGAGCAAAATTTAATTGTTAGTAGATCTATACTTGATGCTCATTTTTGTGATTCAAAGTGTATATTTATCTATTATAATTTTTATCATATAAGGCAAAATGCAAAAAAAAAATGGTGAAAATTGTCATTAATGGGCAATAACTCTAATAAGGAATCATAGGACGATTTTCTCTATATTGTCTTAACTGTAGTCCATGACTTGCTGATCATTTTTGCTTGTTTAAGTTTGTATCTATCTATTATAATTTTTAAGATATAAGGCAAAAACGCAAAAAATCGTAAAATTGTCATCAAAGGGCAATAACTCTAATAAGGCGTCGACTGACGATTTCGAAAATGCAGACTTATTTGTAGAAATTGTCTTGCTGGTCATTTTTGTAATTTCAAGTTTCTCTCTATCTATTATAGTTTTCAAGATAATAGGCAAAAATTTAAAAAAAAGGTAAAGTTTGTCATTTAAGGGCAATAACTCATCAAAGAAATCGTCTGACAGTTTTGAAGTATATGGACAATTGGTAGAGCTCAACATTCTGAACATTTCTGCCATTGTCAGATTTTCTCTATACAAGTTTTCAAAATATTAGACAAACTTGCATTTTACCCCTATGTTCTATTTTTAGCCATGGTGGCCATGTTGGTTGGCAGGCAGGGTCATCGGACACATTTTTTAAACTAGATACCCTAGTAATGATTTTGGCCAAGTCTGGTTTAACTTTGCCCAGTAGTTTCAGAGGAGAAAATTTTTGTAAAAGATTACAAAAATTTACGAAAAATTGTGAAAAATTGACTTAAAAGGGCAATAACTCCTTAAGGGTCAATTGACAATTTTGTAGATCTTACTTTGCAGAACATTTTTGCTGTTACAGTTTATCTCAATCTATAATAATATTGAAGATAATAACCAAAAACTGCAAAATTTTCTTAAAATTACCAATTCAGGGGCAGCAACCCAACAATGGGTTGTGTGATTTGTCTGAAAATACAGGGCAGATAGATCTTGACCTGATGAACAATTTTACCCCCATGTCAGATTTGCACTTAATGCTTTGGTTTCAGAGATATAAGCCAAAACCTACATTTTACCCCCATGTTCTATTTTTAGCCATGGTGGCCATCTTGGGTGGCGGGTGGGATCATCGGACACATTTTTTAAACTATATACCTTAATGATGATAGTGGCCAAGTTTGGTTAAATTTGGCCCAGTAGTTTCAGAGAAGAAGATTTTTGTAAAAGTTAACAGACGACGACTGACAACGACGACGGACGCCAAGTGATGAGAAAAGCTCACTTGGCTCTTTGGGCCAGGTGAGCTAAAAAATAGTAACTTTATATCATGGCTGAAGGAAGGTGAATTGTGTTTGTTTTTGGGAGGAAGGATTTCTGAGTGAAAAACACCAATTGAATCTTTCTATGGATTTTATAGTACATGTATAAACAAAATGACCAATTGAAGAATTTTTCAGTTTTTAACTGACATTTGTTGTACCACAATCCTATATAATTCTTCAGTTTCAATCTTGGCAATGGCAGCGTTCTATGCAATTAGTTTGAGATCATTAACTATACTGACGACTATGTTATATTTTTGTAACAGTAATTTATTTAATGGTTCAGTTGCTAACTCCAATACAATTTCTAATGTATATAGTCTAGGGAAGATTAACAGCCAAGGTGGATCTGATTTACCCTGAAGAGAATAGGTTTGTGATATGACCATGTGCTCCACATGATTTCAATAGCTCACAGTAATTTTTCAAGTAAAAAGAAACTTTTTTAATTTGCTCACACTAAAAACACTCTAAATTCTATTATTTGGTAGTTTGGACAGAATAAAACACAAAATAAAAAGAATCAGATTAAATGCAAGTAATAGTTAAATAAGTGCAAAAGCAGTGTTTTCACAAACAACTAGCACTACAAAAACATACCTTGAACTAAAATATAAAAAAGATATATTAAACTACTTATTTTTTTCTGTGCCCTTGTTTTATAATTATGTACTATGATCCTATCAACAGTAAATTTATTCTTTCAAAACTTTTATCATAAAATTTGGTTAATACTAATGCTATGATTTTTATCAAAAAGATCTGTTTTGAAATTACCTGTATTAATTTATTAGTCTGCATAAATGGTCTTGTTTCAAATAAAATTAAAGTGATATTACTGTGAATTCATTATTATTCGTTGGATACCAATTTATTTAATTAATTAATTTGTGGATTTCGTGGGTATAAATTAACCACGAAATTAAATGTCCAATGAAGTACAAACTTTCTATAGGTCTGTATGGAGAATTTAGCTAAACCATGAAATCAAATATTCATGAAAATATAATTTTTCCTCAATGCACGAAAATTGGTACCCACGAAAAATAAATAAATCCACAGTATTTGACAACAGTTTAACTGTATGAACTGTATATATTTACCACATGTAGGCTCTGGTAACTTGAGTCTTTCTGTCAAACAATGTAACTGTAATGGTGTAACTGAATAAACCTCCTTCAACTGGAGAAGTACATCACCTGAAGAACAAAATATAACTTAGGATGGAATAACAAAATATAACTTAGGATGGAATAACAAAATATAACTTAGGATGGAATAACAAAATATAACTTAGGATGGAATAACAAAATATAACTTAGGATGGAATAACAAAATATAACTTAAAATTGAATAACAAAATATTACATAGGATTAAATCACAAAATATAACTTAAAATTGAATAATAAAATATAACTTAAGTTTAAAGAACAAAATATTACATAGGATTAAATCACAAAATAAAACTTACAACTGAATAACAAAATATAACTTAGGATGTACATGTACTAACAAAAAAATAACTTATGATGTAATAACAAAATATAACTTTAAAAGATGGAATAACAAAATATAAATTAGGATGATAACAAAAATTAACTTCGAATTTAATAACAAAATACATGTGCATAGGACACCATGCCCCACTCGCACTATCCTATGTTCATGTTGAGTGAACCATGAAATAGGGTCCAAAATCGTAATTTGTCATATAATTTAAAAAGATAACCCCAAATTAACTTGTGCATTAAATTTCAAGATGTGGTATGACTGCCAAAGAGACAAACTATCCACTAAAGATCAAATGACAAAGGATGTAACCATTTTGCTCAATTCTCAAAAGTTTATTCTTAAGTTCAATGGTCTCTTGTTTAACATTAACATTTCTTTACATAAAGGTAAGATCTTACCTTTGTTGTACAGATCTTCTGCCATAGTCTGTGTAATGCCATGAATTTCCTGCTCAGTACAGAAAAGATGTTTCACATGATTTAACTTGCTAGTAAAATCCAAATTAACTAAATATTCACATTCAAAACATAAATTTTATATACTGTAATAGATTAATTCTGAATCTTTAGACAATTCTTATCAGATATTTCATTACAACTAATTATTTCATAAACAGAGGTCCTTTGACTCAATTTTGAAAGGGAACCATATATATCATTTCAAATTGGCCTTTAAATGGCCACCAATTTCTATTTTTAAAATAAAAGCTGCTTAATAACAGAAAAATTATCAATATTTGTCTCCCTCTTTTATTTTATTTTCTAAGCTGCATATGTCATTTTGGTTCATCAGTCAGAATATCAGATTTATTTCTAAAAAAATATTGTCACCTAATTTTGTATCAACTATCCCAATCATTTTAAGTGAGAAAGTTTTGGAACAAGTTAATGGATAAAGAATTATGAGTGATGGTAAAAGATCCATACATATTATTCATTGGAATAAACATTTATGCTAGTATGCCTGGCTTGACATTAATGTGTTTGTAAAGAAAGAAAACACTTACATACTTATGAAACTTACATAGTTATGAAACTTACATACTTATGAAACTTACATAGTTATGAAACTCCAAAAAGGCAGCCAAGGGTGGTGCAATTTTGTTTGTCATGTAAAATAATACTGTCTGTAGGTAGATCTCTAACTCAGTTTGTCTCTTCTTGATAAAACTCTCATTCTGGTTTCCAAACAACTTTTTGGGTGGAAGCAGAGTCTTATCTATTTTGCATTGTGAAACAAGCTGAAACAGTTAAAACTTTATATATACACATACACATGTTACACTCTTTCATATAAATACATATATATATATTTGAAAAATAAATAAATGGGGAATGTGTCCATGCATATCATATAAAGTTATAAAGGGACATAACTGAAGAACTGTAAAAGTGACGCTACCCAAATTTGTACTTGATCTGAGTTTTGTGGTAATAAGTATTGTGTATAAGTCAAACTTGATCTGTATTTTGTGGTACATTTTTTTGTAATAAGCATTGTGTATAAGTTTCATAACATATGGTTGAGGCTAACTTAGGTTAGAGAACGGAAACGAAAAAATTCAGCGATTTTTCCATTTGTAAACGGGCATAACTCTAGAACGGTAAAAGTGACACCACCAAAATTCAAACTTGATCTGTATATTGTGGTAGTAAGCATTGTGTTACTGTGTATAAGTTTCATAACTATTGGTTAAGGCAAACTAAAGTAAGAGAACGGAAACGAAAAATTCAGCAATTTTTCCATTTGAAAAGGGGCATAACTCTAGAACGGTTAAAGACGCCACCAAAATTCAAACTTGATCCGTGTTTTGTGGTAATAAGCATTGTGTATAAGTTTCATAAAATTTGATTGAGGCAAACTTAAGTTAGAGAACGGAAACCAACTTTGGGACGTACGGACGGACGGACGTACATACAAGGGTAAAACTTAATGCCCCCTCCGCTACGGCGGGGGCATAAAAACGAAAAAAAAACAAAGAATTACATGGAAACAATTGGCATGTAATTTGAAAAGTTTATTTATTGAAAATGCAGAGGGGTGTATTTTTTTGCTTTCTATGGCAGAAGGGAAGGGGTAAGGGCAACAAGGATGGGCCACCCTTCTACTTTGGGCAAGCAGGGACACTGCTGACTGTATAGGGCACTCAAGAGTAGGCAGATAAATGCACTATATAGGCAGGTGCCCTTTATAAAGATGCTGTTGATGATCATTTGTTTTAGTTATTGTAAATGCTTACATTTTTTCGTACATTCATCCTGCTATATACTGCAATGAATTCATGTGTTTGTATGTTTAATAAATATTTAATACAAGATACATAAATTATTTTTTGTATTGTCACTTATCATCCCAACATCAACATTGTTGAAAAATATTGAATAATACGATATTGGTGTGAGTTTGAAGGGACAATTTATTTGGTGTATATCAACCCTCTTCCTATACAAATATATCCATATTGGAGTGAGGTTCATGAACATTCATTTACAAATCAAATGTGATATACATAGTACATGGCACAAAATGTCTTCTGTTCCCACAAGAAGTCACTGATTTGGGTATGTTTGACAGTAGTTATCCGTCAATCAGCAGTGTCATCTGTATGTCCATTGTACAATTACTGTGGATTCATTTATTTTCGTGGGTACCAATTTTTGTGGATTGAGGAAAACTAGCATTTTCGTGGATATTTGAAATCGTGTTTTTGCAAAAGTCTGCTTATACTCCTATGGAAAATTTGCAGTTCGTTGAACATGGAAATTGTGGTCCCCGGGTAACCAAGAAATCCACGAAAATTGGTATCCAACGAATAATAATGAATCCACAGTATGTGGTTCATTTTTCAGTGTAAACCTTTTGATCTGTTGATATTCAAGTTCTGTTAACGACCATACTTTATTTTGATCAGAGTTTCAATCTGGACTATTGAAGTTAGCAGTTACAGCTGACTGACTGTCTAACCCCGCAAAAAGTTAACACTTTACAATTCATCAGAGCTGCTCGTTTTCAACAGGTTTTCAGTTCATTGTGCCACTTAAAATGGTGCCCTCTGCCCATGTTAGGCAGTGCCTGCTATAATATGAAGGACAATTATATAGGAAAATATGTTGGTCGAGGGAGGGGGGGTTCAGGACTGACAGTTATAAGCAGGTGCTTGTTTTATGGAGCTACCTATTAGACCAAGTTTGACTGTATATAAAAATTTCCAAAAGAGACTATCAGCATGAATGTAATCAACTATAGGTCAATGTACAGCCTTCAACAATGAGCAAAACACATATTGTATAGTAAATATATGTTACTCAGTCTTTAGTTTTCTATGTTGTGTTTTGTAGACTCTTTTTTGGAATTTTTTTTTGCCACAGCTTGTTGACAGTGTCAATTTATCTTCAAGAGCTTGAATATCCCTTTGGTTTCTTCCCCCTTTTTTTAGCCATGCAAATTCACAGAAAATTAAAATAAATTGCTTCACTGAGCGCAGCTGGATAGGACCGCAGAGGTCCAACCCTGAACAGTTGGGGCAAAAATGGACACAATATTCGCGCTTGATACAGGTCTGAATTTGGATTGTAATTCAATATTTGACACATAATAGGTTTCTGACACAGAATAACTGTAGTCAAAGAACTTAGAATTGGTTATATGATTTGAATTTATATTCAATTTTTTGCTTTTGTGCAATACACTATGCTGTTGCGAATTGACCTCCCCCCTCCCCTTTTAAAAAAAAAAAAAAAATTTGAAGGATTTTCTTTTTGATTTCTGAAATCTTGAGGAGAAAAAATTGCCCCCCCCCCCCCCCACCACAATTTTTTTTACCCCCCCCCCCCCCCCCTCCCCCAATTTTTTTTTAACCTCCCCCCACCCCCTTTTTCCATAATAAAATTCTTTCCCTCAGTCAAGGTCATAATATCAATTCAAATTTCCAATGGAGTTTGCAACCATAATAACCCATTAAAATACATCATAAAAGTCTTAAAATAGAAAATGACACACATAATCATAGCTAAAATTAATTAACAATAATCAGTATTTTCAAAATTATTAAAAATGAATTGACAGCTAATCAAGACAATACAAAAATTCTTTATACATAATTCAAAAGCAGTGTAAGGGAGGTAATTCAAAATTGTGTTTGAATTACCTCCCTTACACTGTAATTTGTACTTAAGTAATTGTCCATTAACCAGGACACCCTTGTTTTTTCTCATTTTTTTGCCTCTTATTCCTAAACAGTTTGAGCCATAACCCCCAAAGCTAATCCTAACCATCCCTTTGTGGTATTGAAACTTGTGGTATAATTTCAGAGAGATCCATACACTGTCATTGTTCCACAAGTTATTGTCATGAAACTAGAAAAATGCTTATTTGGGCCCCTTTTTGGCCCTTAATTCCTAAACTGTTGGGACCATAACCCCCAAAATCAATCCCAACCTTCCTTTTGTGGTTATAAACCTTATGTTTAAATTTCATAGATTTATATTTACTAATACTAAAGTTATTGTCCAGAAACCAAATGTCTTTTGAAGACGACGACGACGACATACCAATATACGACCTCTAAATTTTTTGCGGTCGTATAAAAATGTTTTACTTTTTATTTCATCTTCAAAATCAAAGCTTTCAGAACATTTACCTATGATGCCATTTAATTAATGCATGTCATAAGGCAAGTATATCAACTTTGGAATTATTAAATTTCACTATAAAGTGTATCCAAACCTTTTCATGGAGTTCATAGAAATCACTGTATCTGTGCTTGACTGTCCATGTATAGGTACCAACCGTAACCTCTATCAAATACTCCTGAAATAAACACAAACTATCATGATTTAAAGAAGATGTCTTATAATAAACATGATAAACACAAATTTGAAGATTAAAGGTGATCAAATGAATGCAAACTATCATGATAAGAGGTGATGAAATGAATGCAAACTATCTAGATGAAAGGTGATCAAATGAAAACATATTTGTTTAGGGGCCAGCTGAAGGACGCCTCCGGGTGCGGGAGTTTCTCGCTGCATTGAAGACCCATTGGTGGCCTTCGGCTGTTGTCTGCTCTATAGTCGGGTTGTTGTCTCTTTGACACATTCCCCATTTCCATTCTCAATTTTATAAACTATCATGATCATAGGTAATCAAATCAACACAAACTACAATATATCATGATTAAAGGTGATCAAACGAACACTAACTATTATGATTAAAGGTGATCAAATGAACACTAAGTATTAACGATTAAAGGTGATCAAACAAGCACAAACTTTCATGATTAAAGGTGATCAAATGAGCACAAACTATTATGATAAAAGGTGATCAGATGAACACCAACTATCATGATAAGAGGTGATGAAATGAATGCAAACTATCTAGATCAAAGGTGATCAAATGAACACCAACTATCATGATTAAAGGTGATCAAATGAACACCAACTATCATGATTAAAGGTGATCAAATGAACACCAACTATCATGATTAAATGTGATCAAATGATTACAAACTATCATGATAAAAGGTGATCAAATGAACACAAACTATCATGATTAAAGGTGATCAAATGAACACCAACTATCATGATTAAAGGTGATCAAATGAACACCAACTATCATGATTAAATGTGATCAAATGATTACAAACTATCATGATAAAAGGTGATCAAATGAACACAAACTATCATGATTAAAGGTGATCAAATGAACAACAACTATCATGATTAAAGGTGATCAAATGAGCACAAACTTTCATGATTAAAGGTGATCAAATGAACACCAACTATCATGATTAAAGGTGATCAAATGAACACAAACTATCATGATTAAAGGTGATCAAATGAACACAAACTATCATGATTAAAGGTGATCAAATGAACACCAACTATCATGATTAAAGGTGATCAAATGAACACCAACTATCATGATTAAATGTGATCAAATGATTACAAACTATCATGATAAAAGGTGATCAAATGAACACCAACTATCATGATAAAAGGTGATCAAATGAACACTTACTATCATGATAAAAGGTGATCAAATGAATCCATTTGTAAAGGGGCATAACTCTAGAACGGTAAAAGTGACACCACCAAAATTCAAACTTGATCTGTGTTTTGTGGTAATACACACATGTATCTACAAAATTTCCTTTAAAATTACCAATTTAGTGGCTGCAACCCAACAATGGGTTATTCGGTCGTCTGAAAATTTCAGGGCTGATAGATCTTGACTTTTGAACATTTTTACTCCTGTCAGATTTGCTCTAAATGCTTTAGTTTTTGAGATATAAGCCAAAAACTGCATTTGACCCCTATGTTCTATTTTTAGCCATGGCGGCCATGTTTGTTGATGGATCAAAACTTCGGATACATTTTATAAACTAGATACCATAAGGAACATTCAGTTAAAGTTTGAAGGTTTTTGGCCCAGTAGTTTCAGAGGAGAAGATTCTTGAAATAGTTTATGACGACGGACGCCAAGTAATGGCATAAGCTCACATGGCCCTTTGGGCCAGGTGAGCTAAAAAGGAGATGTGGGATAATCAACACAAACTATCATTATCAAAGGTGATCAAACCACTCAAACTACTGTAACTTCAGAAATGTTTGCAATGTTTTTATTACTGCGAAAATTGCACAGAGATAGGAGTTGCAAAAATAAAAACTAGCATTTTCGATTTATGGATAATGTAAATCATGCATTCTAGAAATTTGGGTCTGTCAGATTTTAAGGAGTTTAGTTTGTAGATTTATTTTATACTCTCCGAAAGTGAAAGATCTCAGGAAATCTGGGAAACCATTTAAAAAAAGAAGTAGGTCGTTGTCTTCTCAGATGTAACTGTAACTTATTTTATCATTACTTTTGGATACAACACATGCAACAGGAAATAAACAGAAGAACCAACGAAACCGTAACACAAATTAGAGAATTATTTTTTCACTGTTTTTTTTCCAGCCTATTACTGTTAGCTTATTCTTATCAGATCAAACTTTTACTTTTTAACAGCCAACACTGCGCAAAAGTATTTCCGAGGCATAATGGTCTAAGAAGACAGCTTTATAACCTGACCTAGACCTTGAAATACATGTATTTTGCACCATCAAGCACACAAAAGGTAAGAATCTTTATATATGCAAATATTTCTAGCCATCAATGATTATTTCATGGCTAAATTGGGTTTCAAAGTCCAGCCGAAAGAAATGGTTATGGCGTCATGACATTGTAGGAGTGTCACTGCCAAAAAATATAAAAATTCTTTCTAGTCATCATAGTAAGAAATACCGACTCTGGGCATTGGAAATTTCAGTACATTAGAAGGGTAATTTTCACCCTCCTACACACACATCTCTAGTACCTAGACTAGAGTTTAAACTAGAATGGGTATTTTGGGGGCCTTGGTAGGTCAAAGTTGACCCTGGCTTTAACCTGGAGATCAATCTGTAGATATCTCTTTGGTTTGTCTGTTTCCATCGATAAGCCTGGTGGTTCTTTCCAAGTACTTCGGCTTCCTCCACCATTATAACAGAGTGTCCTAACACTCCCTTTGTGTTGGGATGGGGATTGTCCATGTGGTGGGTTGTATATAAGTTAGTGACACATCTCCATTAATCCTTATAGGGTGTGTACACGGATTCCACTGTACCTTCGCAGCTCTCAAGAAGTGCTTTGCATATCTGAGTAATTTATGTAAATACATACATAGTTATTTGAAGTAGAGGGAAACAGACATATTTGTTGTGGCCTAAGTGGATATGTTATTTCTAAATGAGTGTGTGAAATTTCTGCAGAACATATCAAATGCAGGCAAATTTTTCATATTGTCTTAAGAGCTACGGTTCCGCAGCTTATTGGAAGCGAGCTGTCTAAAATTAAAAGCCAAAAGGGGGAAGGGTTAAATTACTTGAAGAAAGCGCTTATGCTGTTACCGTGTGCTTATCAATAATTTCGGATGATATTATTCTTATAGCTGCAGTGTCTAAATCTCTCCCGAACTGTGCCATTTCTTTAATCGAAATTAAATAGGCAGTATTCGAAGAGTCAAAAGTTGGAAGTCTCAACACCAAAATTCCAACTTCCTGTTGACATTTTCTTAAAAGTAGTCTGAAAACCAAAACACATTTGTAACACCCAATAGACTTGGAGGGACCTCAAATCAGATACGTGTTAACATTCTGAGAACTAAACGAATTAAAGAGATTTGGAGCAGACATGTGACAAAGTTGTCAAGTCACAAATGGAGATTTAAAAGTTATACTTTTCTGAGTTACATCCCCTTAATACGCAAAGTTAAAACAAAATGAAACCAAGCAAATATATTCTACTTTAATTTGTAAAAAATATGAATGATAATAACACAAAATAACGTAGTTTTGTTCATTTGAATGAAAATTCTTATTAGTAAGTTACATTCCTGCATCGAAATTTGCTGACCTAATTAAAGTTATAGACCTATTGTGTTCTGCTATTTTACAATCAAAGATGACGACAAACACCCATACCGAGAAAAAAGACTAAATCTCTTTAGGGATTTATAAACTGTCAACATATCGTTCAAAATACAAACCACGATTAAGTCCTGAAAAAACAAAAGCAAAAGTGTATGTCCTTAAAAAATTTGTAGTGCTAAGTTTTTCTTATGAGAATGAATAATTAAATGCTATATATTTTATTGTAGATGCTGTCTTTTTTAATGTAATTTCAGAAATGTTTTATTGTCACTACGAGTTTTATTGTATACGAGGTATTAACTCGAATAATTCAGTCTTTCCCCGTAATCGACCTCTCCTACTAGCGAGGTTTATGTTAGTACTTACACAGTAGTAATCGTAGATCAGCGGAATATGGGAACAGTATATCTGGCGGAATATAACTATGATAATGATGGTAAATTGAGGTAAAATATTTAAAGAAATAAATTTTAATATTTCATATAAAACTAAGTGAATCTTCCATGTAATTGTAGAAAATAACTAATTCTTGTATAAAAGTTTTCGTATAAAAAGATATAATTAGAGTGTCTATAATGTTATGTAACTTTTAGATATAAGTATCTGATGTGAAATTCTTGCTATTTGATTAAACTTAACACTTAGAGTATAAATAAAGTTTGACAGCTTAAACTCTTAGAAGTATTTCCTTTTGCAAATATGTCTAATTCTTTTCTTTTGTTCACCTAGAATTCTATCTCACCAATTTATCGGATTTCCACGAATGGTCGTAAAAACATTATCATTGTTATATTGATGTTTTGGGAGGCGACTTTCCTGGTATGGAACTTGCGCCCTACTTAACACTTATTGTGAGTATGAAAAAAAAATGTCTTAGTGTTTCGTATTGTTTCACTACACGTGAGTTCTGAAGTTGTGAGGTTTTTTTTTTAAGTCTTTAATGTGTTGTGAAGTTGTACTTTTGTAAGATTCTACAGATTTTTGAAACATTTTTTTTGTCATTGCTTGATGAATATAATCTAATTACATAGATAATTGCTTTGATTTGTGTGGTAATAGTAGCCAATAAATAAAAATAAATGTATATATGAATCTGAATGTCCATCGCTGGGGATGGAGATTATAGATATTGCTTCCTGATAGCCCGGTGTCAATTATTTAATGAAAAAAAATAGCCAAAAATATGTATGCATCAAATAAATAAAACATAAATAAATAAATAAATAAAAAAAAAACCATCGCATACTTCTTTCACCTACTTTGGGATTAGCAAAAAATAATGTATCTGAAATTCCAATAGATACCAAGAGACCAGTTTGAGTTATGGTCCCCTTGTTCAGCGAGGATTGTCGTGGTCTGCCCGACTGCCCTCACTGACCATGAGACCACCGAATAATCAATCTGGTAAGTAGATTTTTAACTGTAACCCTTTATTGACACCGTGACTTCGGGAACTACTATTACCGTATGTTTTGGACCCAGAGATTGGTGTCCTGATGCCAATGAGGCATATTGTGTTCAACTTATGTTATACAATGAAGGATATGTGCTACCAGCAGTACACTTTTCGTTTATTTTGCAGACTTTTCTTTTTCCTTTTTAAAATAAGTTTAACAAACATTTTATTCATTAACAAGTTTGATTTTTGTTGGTTTTTTTTTTTTTTTGGGGGGGGGGGGGGGGGGGGGGCAGATCTCAATGAGTTCTTCCTATGTAGGTATACCCCGTTTATTTTATTATTTTATACCGTGGCAAAATATAAAAACAAGTTTCTGCACAAGTGTCAATAAAGTAACACTTTTAGAGTATCAGTCTATTCGTATCTTTTACGTATGTATGAATCGGTAAAAAATTATATCCTGTAAGGATTTTTTTTAGTTGAAAGTTTTGTATTTGTAATTTTTTCAAACTGGCTAATAAAGTAGATCTTTGTGCGTTATATTGTTTGCAGTGTAGTAAAAAAAATGCTTTACGGTTTCTTCAACATTACATGAATCACACAATTTAGTGTTAGATGAGCATATTTTATGCAGATGTAAAAACAATGTATTAAGTGATTTAAAATAGTAACCTCAAATTATGTAAAAATGTAAATTAGATAAGAGAGATCTAACCAATAGAAACTGTTCTCATAAAATTGATTATTCTAAATGGATTTTGATTGGTAAATAAAACGAGTCCAATCAGTACGTGTTCTTAGGGTTTAAAATAGGAAACCCTAAGGGACCAAACATTACTCTTATGGTTGGACTCGAAATAAACATATATAGACATCTTTGTTTTATTCACCATGCAGGTTCGTTAACTTATAATTTTTGTTTAATGAAAGATATAACGTAACCTTATTAATCTTTTAATGTAAAACTTTTATAACAGAAAACTTTCTTTACTAAAGTTACCATAAATATCATGATAAACTATTCAATTAATTAATAAAGTAATTTGATAATTGTTAATTTAAGTTCATTTTAAGAATCAAACTCTTTTAATTCATATTAATGTATTTTATAAGATTACTCTTATGGTTGGACTCGAAATAAACATATATAGACATCTTTGTTTTATTCACCAGGAGGCCTAGAAAGAACGCGAACGACAGTCCCCCAATCTGTCGTAATTAAAAGTAGTACACAGCAACAATGTAAAAACCCTATCGCACAATACTCGCTTTAAGCGGGAGAGGGGAGGCAACGGCCTTAGTCTGCCCTTCCCCTCTTTCCCGCATAACAGAACGACTGAATTATTCGGGTTAACGAGGTATCAGTTTTTAGCTCACTACTGAACGTCAAAATTTCTTATTAAGGCATCTTTCGAAATTCTTTATTGTTCTTCTAATAAAATTTGATTAGATAAAAGTTATATACATTGTGGGTTAATAGTTCGGTTTTAAGCTTCTTGCTGTGACGTGGAATTGTATCTTCCATGTGCGAGACAACGGTAATTGTACATCTGTCTTTGTTTGGAATAATAGTTTTGCCATATGTGAATTCATTTTAATTTTTTTTTTGTAAATCGTATTAGATTGTATTTGTCTCTTTAAATATTTCTTTGTTTTAAGAAATACTACTTCTTTGTCTTTGTAGCTTTTTTTTTTAGCATGACCTATGATACTATCGAATAGTGTGGAAGTATATTGGCACGCAAGATCCGTGGTTTTTGTTGGTAATCTGTACACATCGACATAAAAAAACACAATATACATACTGCCCAAACCTTAATTCAACATATATACAAAAATTTGAACTTCCTCATACCAAAATGTAGATTATATCACTGATCTGAGTTTGTGGTCAAACCACGTTCCTGGAAAGTCGTGCATTTGCTCCATAGCTGTAAATTGACAATTATATGATTTGATTTCTGCGTTTTCTTGTACCGATATTTAAAGTAAATGTAATAGGGAAGCCCTATTATATTTGTCATTTATATACTTTGATTTTGCGTTCTCTTATATCAATATTGATAGTAAACAAAAATAGGGAAGCCCTATTTTTCATATATCGCTATTAATTATTAACTAGTCTTGTGCTATAGCCTATACAAAATATATAGTAGTTATAACAACCAAATAAATATATATATATGTCGGTGAGGAAGATTATAAAAGAAAGAAAAACGATATATCAAAGGGTTAGGGGAGCACATCTGGGAAGAGACACTATCTTGTTCACAGATAGTAAAGGTGTAGGCTTAAAAGACTACATCCCTGACTCTATTGGACAAACATTTAAAGTTTTATACAAGAGAGGAGGATCTGTAGATAGTGCAAGCCATATATAAGCACTCATAGACATCATTAAAGACTTGGATCACCCTATAATCCTTATATGGTTAGGTACATGTGAAATAACGCAAAAATTACACAAAACCATACAGTGCAGAAAGTTTTCGTACCAAAATATTGAAGAAACCCTAACTCAATACAGAGACCTCAAAGAACAAATTTTATTAACAAAACCATCAGCCACAGTGCTATTCATAAAGTGCCCCTACTATTCAATAACTAGAGCAAACAAACCAAAAGAAATAATAAACCCAAACCTGACCAGTAAAAAGAAGTTATATCCATCACTCCTGGTAAAAAAATCTATCAAAGGACACAGAAAAGTACAATTAGCCACAAACATCGACAAAGAAGTCAGTGAACTAATCGACTACTTCAACGATCATTTAAAACTGATAATTCGGCTATATACAACTCCGAGAATTTCACAAGATTTCATCCTATCCAACAAAACCAAAAAAGACGCCAAAGTAAAATATAGGAAAAATTACAACCTCACATCAGACAGGGTACATCCAATAAGAGCCGTTGAAATTCATCGAACTAGCACTAGCTGTCCGAACAAGGATGCTGATCAAAAATACTAGAAAAGTCAATATATAGCAAGCAGAGTAGTTAAATAAGGAAGCCTTGTATAACATACTGATCCAAAACTAAGAATCTATACACTAAAATTAAGGAAGCCTTAATTCTAGATGAAAAGATAAAAAAACAACAAGTATAGAACAAAAAAAACAAAAAAATAACAGGGGGTCAAAACGATAAATTAGATAGAGAAACTCTATCTATTATAAAAATATTAAGTAAATTAAATAGGTCGGATAGGGAAGCCCTATTCGACCTATCGAATAG